TCTTCAGGGGGAATTAATCTGGGCGGCCCTGCTCAGGTAGACACTGGGAGAGGCGTTAAAATGACATCAGCAGCATCATCTTCGCAGGTCCCAGACAGGCCTAGAATAAGACAAGGCTCCCAGCGGGCAGCTGTAGCAGCAGTTCCAATCGGCTGGAACTGTCAGCAGCCTGAACTCCCGGAGTATTAATGTCAGGACGCTGACATCCTGACAAGAGAAGGCGCCGCAGGTACCACAAAAGACAAGGGACATTACGAAGGGTACCGGATATTACAGTAGCCTGGTGCAACAGGAGAAAAGGCATGCCCCAGCATCTCACGCTATTGTGGTGGTGCTGGGCTCAGGGAATTGACGTGATTAATGTCTGCGAGCCCTGGACGATAAGGGACACCAAGACACAAAACCATCTAAGATACGAGCCATATGCTCTAATAGACGCCTGGGACACAGAGGAGAATCGCGCGCGGGTGATGACTTACGTGAGAAAGGGGCGCAAGCTCAAGGCCCAGCAGCGCTGGCCCATAGCCTCAAGGGACGCAATCTGGGTTGACGTAAATGAGTATTCGTTCCTGAATATATATAGGGAACCACACATCGACAAGATGATCAATTACCTCACCAGTCTCCAACCAGCGCCTAACCTGTTTGTAAGGGCGACCTAAATATACACCACCCAGTGTTCGAGCCAGGGGTTGAAGGCAAAAACCGGGGCACCAATATGGTGATGTGGCTTACTGATAGTGGGATGTACTTTACTGGCATCCCAGGCCAGAATACACACAGGGCCGGATACGTAGTGGATATAGCCCTAACAAACGTACCCTATGTTGAGACCGAGGTGTGCGAGGAGCTTGCTTTAGGGTCAGACCACAAAACCCTGCTAACAACAATACCGGGCAGAGGCAAAAAGGCCTTAGAACAATTTCATCATAAGGTCAATAAAGAGGATTTACCGCGCTTCTTAGCGCTTATAGCCACTGGGATAGCAACAATGCCGGACACAAAAGACATCCGGTCCAAACAAAGCCTGGACAACTACACGGCCAAACTTACTGAAGTGATACGGTCAGCGTTTCTAGCAGTGGCCAACCGGCTTCTAGCGGGGGACACACAGCCCCCTAGTGGACTGAAGAATGCTAAGCTGCCTACGACGTCTACAGAGCGTTTGAAGCTATTAGGCGCCCGGAGCAGTAAGAATTCACGGAAGAACACCGTCATTTCCTTACAGTGGTACGTAAGGCCAAACGGGAATATTAAAAAAAGATCATCAACTTGGCCAACACTGATAAAGCTCTATACAAGGTTATCGCCTGGCACAAGCTAGGTCTATGGCTCAAGTCCTTGCCGCTCAAAGTGGGTGATTGAGTGATAGAATCTACTGAGAAAAAGGCAGAGGTGCTGCGAGAAGAGATCCTGGGCCGCTTCTCAGGCGCAGATGACCTGGACTACGATCCCATAAAAGGCTGGCAAGAGTTAAAGACAAAGCTCTACTAAGAGACATCGGCTACAATAAAAGAAGTTAAGCAGTATACAATAGAGGTATCTAGTACATCCCCTGGTGTAGACGGCATCACGGTACGCCTGCTCAAGGCGTGCTAGGAGCATATCAAGAACGCTGTACACGGGGTCTTTGAGAAGTGCCTCTAACTGCGCCATTATCCTGCAATCTGGCAGGGTACAGATATATCAATGATACCTAAGGTAGGGAAGAAGGACCACTGTTCGACGCGGTCTTGGAGACTAATTGTACTTCTCTCTTGCCTGGGCAAGGGCCTGGAACGGATGTTAGCCAAGAGCATGGCCTGGACAGTGCTTTCATAAGGATTATTCAGCTCACAGCACGCCGGCGCTCTCCCAAAAAGAGCGTGCATAGACCTGGTGGCCTCTTTTACCCACGATGTGGAGGCTATACTGGCCAGGGGTCTCAAAGTCTCAATGGCTACACTCGATGTACAGGGTGCGTTTGACGCCCTGTTGATAAGGCGTCTGCTACTGGGGATAAGAAAGCAGGGCTGGCCGATAGACTGTTTAGAGCTAGTACAGTCTTTTTAAAAGAAACGGCGCGCCAAGGTACGCCTAGAACGAACATCTACAGACTTTGGGGAAGTGTATTGCGGCACCCCCCAGGGCTCATTATGGTCACTGGTACTCTATATGCTATACCTGGCTGAGCTACTACAGCGGGATCTAGACCTACGCTTTGGGTATGCTGACAACATAGCGCTCTACAGGGTGTCCAAGTCGTTGTAACGCAACATAGACCTCTTAGCCGACGACCTCAAGTAGGTCTTATAATGGGGAGATGAGAACAAGGTGTTCTTTGCCCCTAAGAAGTGTGAGCTATTTCATATTACCAGGGGCTAAGAAACTACCAACCCTCCTATAATAGTAGGCAAAAGGCTTATTATCCACCCCATACAAGAAGCAGAAGGCAGCAAGAAAGAGCCGGCACTGCAGTGGCTAGAGGTATGGTTTGACCAGAAGTTTATCCTAAAGAGATACATTGCTGAACGTGTGTGCAAGACAATACAACTTTGCAGGCACATACACAACCTAGCTAATACAAAAAACGGACCACCAGCGTCCAGGCTACGATAGGCTGTGATTATCTGTGTCGTCCCAATAGCACTATACGGCATAGAGGCATAATACGGCAGGTGGAAAAAGCCCGCAAATAACGTTTCCTCAGCAGGAAAGTCGGAAGTTAGTGCCCGTGTGGGAGGGCACATTGCCATAATACAGCGAGCCCTCACCATGGCAACGCGTGCGGTGCTCCCTGTATGGCGCACCACCCCTACCTACACAGTCTATAGAGATGCTGGATTCCCAACGGTGGAGACAGCTCTGGACCAGACCCTGTGGCGCTTCGCGTACAGGCTTCGAACTGTGGACAAGCTACACCCTCTCACGAGGCGGATCGACTTAACGGCCATCACACGGGACCGGGGTATGGGCGGGTTTGAAAGACCCAAGACCAAAGTCTAGGTAGTAGCACGCATGCTACCCCCAGTGCAACGGCCCTTATTGGTGCCACCAAGATTCATAAGGGGCTGTAGGACCGACCCAATAAGGGGTCAAACCAAAGAGCAGGCGGCAGAGTCCTTCAAAGCATGGTTTCAAACACTGCCCCAAGAGGATGTGGTGGTGTTCTCAGACGGGTCAAAGGACAGAACATGCATAGGATACGGCTATGCGGTTTACCATGGCGGGCAACTCCTCACCTCAAACAAGGGCCGCTTATACCCGTGCTCCATCGTATTCGATACGGAAGTAGTAGGAGCCTGGAAAGAGCTCCAGTACGTGACCAAGGCACCTCCGGAGCTGAGCCAGCGCCGGATCTGGGTATGCGTGGATAACACAGGAGTGATCTAGGGACTCCGCGGCAATGCCGCGGTCTCCTGCCAGTGGGCCTACCTAAAGTTCTACACAGCGGCAGAAATCCGGGACGTCACTGTCAAGTGGTGCCCCGGCCACTGCAACGTCTAAGGCAACGAGCTTGCAGATAAGCTGGCTAAGGCCGGCTCTAAGCTGCCCATCATTGATAGCGACTGCACGCCCACAGCCTACGGCATCAAGTCCATAGCGCGAATAAAGGGAGCTACGGCTTATGAGAAATGGTAGGACAAGGCACAAGCAACACTGTCGTCTCGTTACAAGGACTGGAACCTTGGTTATCACCTGCGCTGTCACGAGGAGCTACAGGTGCTTATAAGGCCAGTATTACATCACTATCTCGCCACCCGTATAGGGCATGGTGACTTTGCCTGGTATCACGACAAGTTTGGATACCCAGACGCCATCCGTGAATGCTCCTGTGGGAGAACAAAAGCCCCAGAGCACATCGTCCACTGCCGGAAATCTATTAAGCAGTTCAAGAAATGGCCCCTACGCCCCTCCCGGCGACCTACCAGACCGGAACGACAGCGCTACTTGCATGACATTATGGACACTCCTACAGGTTACCATGAATTACTCGTGGCCACAAAATTCTATAGTGGTATCTGTCCTTGTTACTAATGGCAATAGGTTTTTTTTTTTTTTTAGGCGTCCGGGGGATCTATCTTAAATCTCTTTTCTTTGTGGTGCACTTTCATGTGAAATAGGAGCACTAACTCCGCAGAACTTACCTTATAGCGCGAATCAAGCTATTTGAATTTGGGGATATGCTATGAAACTGAGCATTGGGAACGACGTCGGCACCATCCCTCACCCGGAGGAGGGGGGACACGATGGGAACCGCTGTTTAGATACAGTGGCTGTTTACGGACGAGACCTGCTAGCTGGGCAGCTGTATGTATATGTATAGTATAGGACCTAGCCTAGCACGCCCACGCGCCATGCGGCAGGCCCCCTGGCGTTCAAAGTTACAACAACAACAACAACAACAACAACAACAACAATGGTTTCTGCTTGACGCTTCCGGCTGTTCCACCAAGTGAATGCGCATTGATATCGCCATCCTCGGAAACCAGCGGTAGATTGGTACGCCCCTCGTCAAGAAGAGGCTCGATCTGGCAGATGTTCTGACCGCAATCCGGACAATTCACCCACTTCATGCCTTCGCGCCTAGACGTCGCCTTCAATTTCTTGAGTCACGCATCACAGATGTTATCTCCACACTGAGCTCCTATTAGTACACACAAACTGGAAAAATGTTTACCCATGAATGATAGGATGACTTGCCTTTAGTATGTTGAGCTTAGAGGTTGCCGGACACTGCATGCATCCTTCGATGTTTCCGTGGCTCTTGGTGCCTTGCACGAAATCATTCCCAGAGTCTCGAAGAAGCCTGGCCAGGTCCAGTTGGTGATTGCCATCCCCGGTAGAGTTTTGGCAGGGCAATTGTGAAAGTTGCGATGCAAGCTTGCGTCGTTCTTCAGGCTCAATCTTGTCCCGCACAAACTTTTCGAGAAGAAATGGATGGCTAACTGCTTGTCGTAGCGTGTTAACCAAACCATCGCATTTGCTTTTTATTCTGCCTGCTTGAGCAGGTTGTCGGCTCAGTTGATCGCGAAGAAGCCGTGCCTCAACGCCCAGCGCCTTCTCAATGTATATGTACAGTGATCAGTACGCTTCCTTGGACCATAAAGATCTACCCACATGTAGAGAGCACGCTCCTGTGCATTCATGCTGACACGGCGAATCTCCCACAAGGATTTGGGGCGGTCAGCGATTGGTTGTCCCATGAAGTAATCGTCTTTGCGTCTAATACAAATCAGCAAAGTCACAGTATGTCCTTTCTCAACCAAGGGACTGACCGTCGAAATGTTTGATCTTCGATGACTTTGAGTATGCGCTGATGCCCTGTATCCTAAGCGTCACTGTCAGTATCGTTGGCAATTCTCATCTCCATATGTGATGGCTGACACGTACCTCTTGGAGCTTGCCAAAGCGACTCTCGAACTCCGGCCGGTCTTCTTTCATGTCTATGCCAATGAAGATGAAATACGCAAGGGCATCTATAAAACCGAGTTAGAACACGTCACTGTTCGATGGGAGACTTAGTATCACCTTTCACTCGATTCTTCAAGGGCGAGCCGGCCATCACCCACTTATAGCTGGCTTCAAGCGCAGCACAAGTTTGCAATACTAGCGCAGTGGTCAGTAATCTCTTCATCGCAAGGGATGTTGGGAGTAAAATACTAGCACCATGCTCATTCTTGATGATGTCACCTTCGTCGAGGATGATTCGATGGAAGGAAACGTTGGCAACAAGCCCCCCTTCTTTTAATCCGTTAATAGCATCTAATAGGTGACAAGTCTAGAGATGTAAGCATGACGGTGGAGAGTACCGAAAGTGAGTAGAACGCACATGATACTCATACGCTGCAGGCCGATAACATCGGTCGTGTTCTTCCCGTTGTACTGGGTAACGCCACCCATGTAGCGACTATTCGTGTGTTTCTTAATTTCTTGCCTCAACTGCTCTTGATGTTGCTGGCTGGGTGCCACGAGAAGGCAAGTTTTCCCATCTTGTTTCTGGACTTCCTTCTTGGCAGGGGGATTTGCCAGTATGAGAGCAAATGCCTCCAATGTCTTTCCCAAGCCGGGGGTGTCGGCCAGAATGCCACCATGAGGGCCTTCCTGTCGTCGCTTGCGCGACAGCATCATGGCGACAGCGACTAGTTGATAACCGCGAAGCGGAGTCGTCATGCCGTCAAAAATGTATCCGTCATCACCGCTCTTGGGGTCCTTGTGTTTGGTCACTTTGGAGCCCAGGTACTGGATCGCCCGGTCCAGCGTCAGCTGGTCTTTTTGGCATTTTTGGTCTTCCTCGTTTCTGGCCTCAGTAGTTTCCGGTTCATTGGTCGAGATTGGAGTTGGTGCACTAAGCCTGGCGTCATTTTTCTCGAAGATGGAGCTGTTGAACCACCGAGCATGGCTCTTGCGCCGCCGTTTGTTGGGAGCGTTTACTACCTCTTGAGCTCGCTTTCTACCAGTCGCTTGTTTGCCTCCTGAACCGCTGCTGCTCAGGGGTCTAACTCTGATGGTTGGAACTGCACATGGCTTCCTCACGCTCTTCTTCTTCAAGGATACCGGGACGCCTAATGTGGCAGACATGTCGCGTGTATTGTCCGAACGTGCGAAGTTGTCGTTGGGTACGAAGAGTGACTCGTTCGGGTAATCCATGATCGCTGGCATGAAAGCAGTATGGTAGATCCGAGGTAGTTGGACGGTGGAAGAGATGACAAGTTCAATGTCTGTGTCTATGGTATGAGACAAGGTGTGATGGATGCGATTGGGCGGCACGGTTGATGTGCTAGACGGCCTTCAATATGTGATCTGTAAAGTAGATGCCAGGCGACCATTCAGAGGTTGGTGAGTGAGAGTGGCAAGTGGAAGCTGTGTCAGAAGTCGGTTGCTGATGACCTCTAAGTTTATCTGACTAGGGTATGGCAGATGGAGGTTAAATGATTGGGAGGTGGCCAGTCGGGAAGGCTCACGCCTCAGAGGGTCCTGTAACCTGATGTAGTGCGGCGCGGGTGAATGGCGACAAGTGATTGAGGAACGATAAAGGATGATGGAGAGATTGGGGGACCTCGGTCGCTGTCAGATCGGAATAGTGATGAGGAACAAGCCGGGCATTGAGAGTAGTGCCGATGGATCTGGAATATTGTTCACTTAGCTGAGCTTGGTGCCAGGAAGGCCGAGGATACTCTGAGGTAGGCGTGGTGAGTAATGGATGTGATGGTGGTAACGCGCGCAAATCCGAGGGCAGGACCACTGTAGGCCACTGGAGTAAGTTGTTTCAGTCCTGGCTAAGGAGAATGTAGATGTGCAGGACAACTCTCTTCTGGTAGTTGAGTGTGGATGTGGCTGAAAAGGGATAGAACTGTGTGTAGCGTGACTGCCGTTTTTAGCTCAGGGGCCAACACCTTGGAGCGCGGAAGGTACGAAATAGGGTCTGTCTGAGTACTTGAGGCGGTCGTGACAATGTGGTCGATTTGTGAGATGGCGAGATAGTTTGCGAACTGTCCACGAACAGGCCAACGATCAAAAAGCGTGGCCTCAAGTGCAGGTCGGTAGTTTTGAGGTGGAAGGCTTGAGGAAGGAAGCTTGAGCCGAGTCACGCGAGAGGGTTCGTATTCCTTGAGTGGTTGCCTACCCGCCTACCTAGTAGGTACATGTATTAATATACCTGAGGCAAATGGCTATTCTGCTGGAGGAGAGAGATGATTCAGGAGCCTCGGCATTGCATTCTCGTGAGCCATCCAGCAGGTCCATCATCTTCTGCTGATTGCATTCGACACCCCAAACTATATACGTCGCACTGTCTTCGGCTATGAAGCAGATTAGGCTGTGGCGTGCCAAAAGCGAACCGTAGCTAGATTGTAGGCACCTATGCATCATGGGAGCCGCACGTAAGTCTGTCTGGTATAGCAAATGGGTTTAGTACAAAGAATCAGGAGCCTTGGTATGTTCCCCTACAGCATGGTTCGCATCACGTCACCCGCTGTTTCTTCAGTACCCAGTAGACGGCTTAAGCATTGAGGAGCAGAAGGAGCGTGCGGAGACAACGGCAGCAAACGCCTACATGGTTACGTGCAAATAACCTGCACCTGCCGACGATTAGAAGGCAAAACTGAGGTATAGGCAGCTGCGGGAGAGAGAAGTTGATGGGATGCGCGACTTGATCCATATCAGACAGACGGGGTTGGGAGGTTGATCAATACAGTCATTACTGCGGACAGAGGCCTACCTACACGGATATGCTTCAGGATACTCAATATATGATCTAGCCCACTTTGGAAGCTCAAGCTATAGGTTGAACACACGCACCTGGCTCAACACGTGTCCGCATTCGATCAAACCGAGATATGAACTGCGCACGTATATATCCTGTGAACACCTCAGCGCTTCTGATAGGCTAGCCCGGTATCCGGCCATCTACTTTACGAAACGTTCCGCAGTGACAATTCGCTCCTGTGAGTGTCACGCTGACAGCGCAGAGGATAAGCAGGCGCTGTCCGGGCACACGGATCGAGCAGACCCATCGGATTCAAGGAAGGAGCTCTGGTATCCCATATTAACAGCGAGCGAAGTAAGGATAGGAGGGTGTCATCTCTGACCAATCACTCTCCTCAAAAGCGAGCAACTTACCTGCCGTCGACGGTGGCCAGGAGCTTGTCAAAGGTCGAGCCTCAACAAGATGACATCGTGAAAGCGGCAGTTCCGCTGATCCAGGGAACCGGACTGTACTGGGACACTCGTGTCTGAGAATCTCCCGAGATGTTGGCCTCAAAACCACCAGTCGAGTAAGTTGTACAGGCCGAGAAATGCGGCCAAGCCAGACCAATACCCAGTAATTACTACCAATTGCACGGCGAGAACTCCCCCCAGGGTAATATATAAGCGCCGCATCGGGTGGCACTCGAAGAGACAATATGGCAACTACATCGGGAGATAGTTACCTACCTCAAGTAAAGTACCTAGCCTGCGAGCATATAGGTAGTTCACCGTTGCTGGCTAGTAATGGCCATGAAGCGGACGGCAAGAGACCCATGCGAGATGTTGCACAGGCTGCAGTCCGGGACGCGAACAGGTAGTTTAGTTATCCAAGAGGCGTGAGCCTGCAGGGAAAAGGCTACCATGCCCCACCCACCACTCGGCCAACCCCACCACTCGGACCACCAAAACTGCTGTAGCCCCCCCTATTAAGTCAACATGTTCACTTATACCGAATCCAGCCGTTTCTGAAGGTATTCACACCGTAGTTAGTTCACTGAATAGCCCTTTTTGGGGGTTCATCCTAATTTAGATCAATCTGGCTAGACCCGGCGATGAGGGGGTCCCCTGCCCATAATTTCTACCCCTTATAAGCGCAAATTTGCCCTCTATAGAGCGGTTGTCTTCTTTTTCTGTATGTAACGCAGCATCTTGACTCTCGAAATGCCTTCTTATACAGAGGATACTATGGCAAATGCCATACTAGATATTACAGATAACAAGCTGTTAGTCCAAAAGTCTGCTTAGAAATGGGGTATCCTTAAGCAGACGCTATTAGACCGCATCAACAACAAAATCTCAAAGGAAGAGACTCAATAGCCAAAAAAGAGACTATCCAAAGAGCAGAAAATACGCCTAGCCAAATGGATTCTTTGTCAGGAGTCATTGGGGTTCGCCCCATTGCATAGCGCCGTCAAGGCTATCATGCAGGATACCTCAAAATTGAACAGCATCAATGAGACCGTTGGGAAGAACTGGATAGATGGATTTCTTTGCTGTAACCTAGAAATCAAGAGGAAAAGATCTCTAGGTCCAGTGGTTCCTTAAAGAGTTCAGAGAGGTCGCCTCCTGGCATTATATATACACTGATAATGGGTGGACGGATAACGCAGTCGTCGTAGAGTGGCTGGAGAGTGTTTTCATCCCTTAAGCCAATCAAACACAAGAAGATGACGAATTTAAAGCGGTACTCTTGATCTTTAATGGGCACAGGAGCCATATCTTTATAAGTACTAACTCCCTTAATTTTCTCTATTTTATTCCACTTGGAACTAATAGATGTGTAGCCAATCCTGGGAGTAGGATGACGATGTGTTTCCTGAACAACATACAGCTATGTTTTCTGCCAGCACACACCTCTCACGGGCTTTAACCACTCAATAAAGGCCCTTTTAACGCCATGAAGGCTGCTTACTGTAAGTACATTGCTCAGTTAGCTACTCTAACTCATGCTGCCCCTGTGAACAAGATCAACTTTATTAGATGCTATACCAAGGCACGGGACGATGGACTGACAGTCAAAATTTGTCAGGCTGGCTTTAGAACTACTAGAGACTGGCCTATTAGCCACAAAAAGGCGTTAATGCACCCAGAAATCCAAAGGGACAAGGCCGCTACCCCTGAGCCTGAACAGGTCAAAAATTATGAACGCAAAGACTTCCGGACGCCCGAGAATAGCCGGCAGATCATGGATATAGGGAAAAACAAGTCCCTAACCACTTGGCTTAAGCTACATAAGGTTGCTACTGTTTTTGAGAAAAAATCAGCAGAAATGGTATTAAAAGACCAGAAGATCGAGAGTCTGGAGGCAGAACTAGAGCATATGCGCCCTAAGAAGCGCAGAAAGATCCCTAATCTGAATAAACAGTTCAAGAGCATCCCAGAGATACTGGCGATTAGTGAAGAACAGTCTCAAAATCGCTACAGGGCTGTACAGACAGTGGTTTTTGAAGATTTGAGTAATGAAGAAGAGGAGGAGGATAGCCCGGACTCATCGGAAGAAGAAGAGATTACAGCCCTTGTGGAGACCCGTTCCGGTCGGCAGAGTTGCCGCCCAGTTAGATATGATAACTGAGCGTCTAAAGGCGATCAGAATGATGCGCTTAGCAGCTGAAAACACCATGAATTGACTGATATCAGTGTAAGTGAAGTTGTAGATGTTTACGCGTGTGCTACTAATGTTAGGCGTCCGAGTGGTGGGGGTGGCTGAGTTTTGATTGATTGATTGATTGTATTTATCGTGGGTGTAGTCCCTCCACAGGGCAAACCACGCCTCTCGGAGCCATTGCATCGCAAGGTTACAAAGGTGTTAGTCTAGATACATTCAGATCCGCGCACGAGCCTATCCTCGCTGTAGCGGTACCAATCTGGAGTGTCCAGATGGTTTTAGTCAATACCCAAACACGATTCCATCAGAAAAACCTCCTGTCCAGTGACAAAGCGACCCAGTGAACCTCAGTCTTCTGGTGTACACATCGTTCCAGTAGCCGTTCGATATATGTCGCATTGGTGGGTGAAGTAGGTATTTGTTATCTGCTGACGAGGGAAACCACAAGGGGAAAAACCTCGCAGAAGTGGGTGTTATAGAGACAAGCTACTTGGCTATTAGGCTCTGCGATAATGGGGCCTCTCCACTATCGTGTGCTGGTTATTGACTCGCACAAGCCGGGTCAAAAGGGGGCCATAGTTGTCAGATAAAACAGATAAGATCATCGTGCGCAGAATGACTGTACACCTTACCGTTTTGGTCTAGGGGTAAAATCCAACAATTAAGAGTCTCATCGCTTGACGAGCTAGCTGCGCACGGCGCAAGCCAATGGTTCCACTAGACCCAGCTTTCAGAAAAGGCGCGAGTTCAATTCCCGTAGAGGTCCAATAGCGACGAACAGAAGAAAAGTCCAGCTTACCTCCGAAGTCATCGCAGCCAAGCTGAGGGGGTGTGTCAGATAAAACAGATAAGATCATCGTGCGCAGAATGACTGTACACCTTACCGTTTTGGTCTAGGGGTAAAATCCAACAATAGTAGGATTCAAACCTACTTGTTCTCGTCGCCCACCGCACAAACGAGAACACAACCATGCGCATTTGACCATTGCGCCATACGGCCGGTTACAAGAGAGAAATGTGAACACCGACCTTGTTATCTACTCAGATGGATCACAATTGGACGACAAAGGCACAACCCGCACTGGATGGGGCTACACCATCAGGAAAGGCAACACTACACAAGAAGTATACTGGGGAAAGGGCAGACTTCTCTAAGTAGAAGTAGTAGATGCTGAAGTCCATGGCGCTTTCCAAGGTCTTGCAGCAGCCAGGGCAATTAGACACGGAAAACAGCTATATGTCTGCCTGGACAATACATCAGTGGTAGATGGGCTCAATGGGACCCCACCCGAGACATCACAGAACATTTTTCTACGATTCTAAGAACTTGCCACAGCACACACTCCTTGAGTGACCATTAAGTGGATTTCTGGACACAGAGATATTGATGGCAATGAAGCTGCCGACACACTAGCAAAAGAGGGTGCCATGCTAGAAACAGACATAACAAACCTTCCTACAATCTCTTGGGTCAAGAGAGATCTCAAAAAAAAGGACAAGAAAGAATTCAATCAATAGTGAAAAGACCAATCAGAACCCAGGTATCAAGAAATATACTCACATGTAGTAACCAAAAGGGACCTTATATCTTTTGAAAGGAGTACTTTACACAGACTTCTAGCGGCCAGATCTGGACATAACGACTTTGCTAGATACCACGAACGTTTTGGGCATACAGACTTGAATGATCACTGCAGCCGCGGTGAGAAGAAAACACCACAACACATTTTCTTTTGTAAGAGGCTTGGGAAAAACTGACTACTATCTAGGTACTCGCCTAGGACAGCCTGTTTACAATACTTAGGAGAGAGGAGCACAGAATGGGCAAAATTCGTGGAGAAGAGCAAGTTCTTTTCAACAATCTGTCACCGATAGATAGCTGTTCTTGAAGGACCAGATGGATGACCCCAAGGTCATCCCGCTGCAACAACGGGGATGGGCCCGTGAGTGGACTTACTGTACTTATTATCTTGAGACCTCCACAACCCTGCGATGCAGAGGCTCTGGGAGGCGTGGTTTGCACTACTGAGGAGCAACCCCCCACGTTAAATACAAAACAAACAAACAAACAAACAAATAAACATACTTGCACAAGGGGGCGCGACCACCATCCATGGCATAACGTTAAAGCTGTCTCTTGCCATTCTCAAGGCGGCAGGGCAGACAGGGTATACCGGAACATCGAGATAGCCGACCTGGGCCAAAAGATTGCTAAGCCGGACGGGACCTGTGATATACTCGTTTGTGGCGGCACCTTCACATACGGCCACATCGGTCCCGACCCTGCCTTGCGAGAATTTGTGCGGGTGGTCAAGAAGAACGAACTTGTTGTTGCTACAGTCCTCGGTGAAAACTGGCTGTCAAGAGGCTTCAAGGCCAAATCCTCAAGTTGGAGGCCAAAAACCTAGTTGAGTTCTTGCGTATGGACTTTCACGACAATCAGAAGGGAATAGACCAGGCAGATGTGATCCTTCCCCGGAATAAGTAAGGCCTAGGAGACACCAGCGAATGTCTCCCTGTCACCTTACCTCTATAGACGGATAACACCAACGTGAGTTGGTACTGAGTGGAGGAGCTGTCGCAGAGAGCTTTCATAATCGGGAAGATGGGACTTGTGACGGTCTGACCTTCTGGAAGTCTGTCAACCCATCAGGGTGGCCTGTACGCAGCATCACATGACCTGGCGCACAAGACGTGTGGCCACAACTGTACTAGGCTAGGTAATAGTGGGGCGGATGGAAGGATCATTAATCCCACCAGAATGGGCTGGCGGGTCAGATCCTTCTTTCCCTCCCCACCAAGAGATTCTTACACGTAGGTAGTGCAATCAGGACTTTTATGTCCTCATCTTATTTACGCGTCGTGACAGGACTCCCCTTGTTTCTGTGCACGGATGCCAGAGGGAGTCAAGACACGCCAGTAAACCGGTTATTAGTTATATCACGTGCAAGCATAGTGACAGGACTCCCCTTGTTTCTGTGCACGGATGTCAGAGGGAGTCAAGACACGCCAGTAATCCGGTTATTAGTTATATCACGTGCAAGCATAGTGTCGGAGACCAAAAACTATATTTCTTGGTAAGGCACACTTTGACAAGTGGTATGACAGGCTGAAGGGCACATATAGTTATTCGTCATATAGATGGCCTCATTGCCTTCACTAAACCTGCATGATTGGAGCTGGATCTATGTTACAAACGAAAACCTGCAACTAGAAAGAGACAGTCGCTCATAGATGTGTGCAAAGGCAGGTTTAGGAAAAACCCATAAGTGATGAAAATTAGTGGTATACGCAGGTAATTCTTAGGTATACAGCCTATCAAGAGTAAATTAAGCAGGGATACCATGCATAATCCCAACTGATCTCCAGGGTCCATATAAGGGAAGGTAAAGGCTAATACGGAAGAAAAAAAAAAAAAAACCTATGCTTTCAGTCAAAATCGAACCATACACCTGACAAAAAGGAGTTCGGCCGACCTACATCTCCTAGCGTGTCCGCCCAAATTTTACATTCACGAATAATTCAGTCCACACCCCATCGGAATTCTCCTCATCTGGTAAGAGTTTGGCTTTCTTTTGGCCATTATAAACCCTTCCACCCCGTCCCACAGTTTACCAGCCAGGTTGCCAGGCCACCCCCGATGCACATGCACCGGCGCATAGCTGCACGATCAACATGATCAGTGCCTTGGCGAGGGTCTTTGTATTCTCGTAATACTGTTAATTGAAATACCGCGTATGCCGGCGCATTGAGCCCATGCAGATGCGAGGTTTTGCCTGTGAATTTACCGTCGCCTAGGTACCCGCATGCATGATCCTCTCCCGTGATGCTTTCCCACGATGCTTTCCCATGAATTTACTGGTTCTTCCTCTGTGACATTGAAATGCCAATCCAGCGAACTGCAGGATGGTATCACGTATTTTTTTTTATTTTTTTATTTTTACCACATGATGCTCTACTCCGACCTTTGACCCAATCTGTTGGTTTCATCGTTTTCTTGGGGGTATGAAATTCATCCACCTTCTCTCCCCAACCTCGAGAATCTCCCACCTGTGACAATCAGGCCTGCAGCTGCGCTGGTCAGGGCTGATGGGATGAAATATCTAGATTCAACGATATCTGAGGAAGAAGAGGCAAGGTCGGAAGAGAAAGGGGAAGCTAGGGGTATATATGTACATAAATATGTGGAGGTATTATGTAATACCGTAACACCACCATAACTCCCATAACCGTGCAAGCCACCCATAACTCACCACCATACCTGAGGTAGGTATTCCAGCCAAGTCTCCCCACCAGAAAACTTCAAAACCCTACCACTACTCCCACTCAATCTCTACCGGCTCACCAGACTCATTAGTCCACACAATCGAGCGCCGGTCGCGAGGACGGCGAGGAGGGCGGATGGGAAGTGCATGGTGGTGAGTTGCTTGGCTTTGTGGTGGTGGTGATGATGGTGATGTTGAAGTTGAACTTGATATGCTGCCGCTGGCGAGTGAGTGCTTCGTGCTCGATATTGCCTGATGAATATGTGCAAGAAAGCCTCTCCAGAAGCGAAGAATCAGGCCAAAATAAATTGCCACCGTCATTAAGCGTAGGCCATCCGTTCCGATCCTCCTGGGAACCCGTGAAACTCGATCACCTCGCAGCTGTGACGCATCTCTTGCATGTACGTGAGCTCGCCGACCAATCCCTTGCGTAGATGAGCTGATGAGCTCCTTGATGACATCCTCACCTCCCGCTATTCAAGGGCGGTGAACAGACGCCCCGTCGCCGCAATGGACGGTGGTGTTTACTCTAGTATCCTTTTACAACTTAGGAGCTCCAAAGCTATCCGACCCTGGCAAGAACGTTCGATTTTTTTTTTTTTTTTAAATTTCGACCGAAAAGAAGAACTAAACCTAAATATTTTAAAAGATAGTAAAAAATAAAGCCCTTCTATTATACGTTAAACTTAATAAAATAAAACGCTATGATTTATTTTGATTTATTTAAACGGTAACTGTAAATAGTGTTTATAACCGTAAGTTAATGCGTTATACATGGAATAATATACGTGTAAAGCTTTTATTTATAAAGCTAAACTTTGTTCAAGATATTTGTTTACATTATATATATATATATATATATATAATATAATAAAACATGGTAAAAGCGCGCTAAATAGTATATTACGTTTTGTATTATAGTTGAAAAATAAGTTGTTACTATTTAAAAAGTTTTTAAAAAAATCTCCCATTTTAAAAAAAAACCTTTAAAAAAGCTTAATTTATTAAAAGTTTAAATTTCTAATTTTTTTGGATAATAAAAGTTAATTAAATAAGTTATTTTTTCGGGATTATTATAACGATAAGTTAAAAAACGGTAATTATATTATTAATTAAAATAGAAGTTATTGGTTTTCATTAAAAACGTATAAGAATTTGACGTTATATTTACCAATATTAAAACCAATAATTTTCATAACGACGTAACCTAGTAGTTAAAAAAGTTTAAAACCAACGAGAGATTACGCTTTATAAAGGATTATGTCGAAAACGATTAGTTATAATTTAAGAATAAGAATAAGGAGTTAATTTAAAAGATTTAAAAAGCGTAATTAAAGTCGGATAGGGAGCGACTCGAGGCGACTACGTTGGAGGAAATATAAGGCGGACAGGGTCACTAATAGTCCGTTATTAGTTTGCTGAATAAAAGATCTATTTCGCGAATGTTGAGTCTCAAATGCAGTTTAAGGTCGTGCCGGACCGGGCAGAAACGTTCATCATACCGGTCATACCAACTAGTGATTTGCCACCGGTCGTTGACCGAAAAGTTCATCGTCTCATAGTCGCCACGAAACCCCAGACACAGGAAGGGTTCCGCGGAGTCTGATAGGTGACATCAGAGAGAAATCTGGACGCGAGACCGATACCTTTACTAGACATGCCTTACATGTACCCTATGCCACACAAAAGCTCACTCGTCATGTCCCCGTGGGCTCACAATGCAATCTGCTCGGAAACATATCCTGCCAGGTCGTGAAAGATAGGTAGAGAGGGAGGGAAGCCAATCTCCATTAGCATAAGTAGGATTTTGTTTGTTTTACTGTCAAGTTTCCTTAGAACCACTGCTTATCCCAGGTGATTATGCCAGAAGATTTCACAGCCCTTCCTACGGCACGCCTGAGGACCGTTGGCTGGTGGCTCTCTCTTGATGTTACCCATCTAGCAATGGTCTTAAGGCTCTCAGCAACGAGTGCTGCAGCATTTCGTAACAGCAGTGGACATCACTTCTAGTGAAGAAGCTCACATGACACGAGTCTAAAGCAGAAGGAAAATAGCCAAGCGTATTTCATGTTGTCAAGTGAATTCATCGCAGGTCGAAACCCACGCGTGAGCTGCGAATCTGTCTATGAGCCTGTCGCTGGTCCATCCGCATTTCATAGACGTTGTTCCGTCAAGCACATCAGCCTGGTTCGTTACTGCCTGGCAAAATTCATCAACCTTACCATCCTACAATATCCATCGTCTTGCACTTCTCAAGCTCAAGTCTTGAGAAAGACTCAGGCAATGGTGCTCAATATGACGATGGGAGATGAACCACACTATCATCGGTCACGCGTTGTCGGTCAGGAAAAGAGTCCTCGATTTGGGTATATTTCATGACGTCGTAGGCTTCCGGCTATTAATAATCAAGAACCGCGCCGTTCAGGCTTGCAAGAGTGGAATGCAGGTCAGCTATCCCACTGGCAACCCATGGGTTTCTATTGTCGGTGTGGGGGACGCCAGCAGCTCGAAGAGGGGCTCAAGAGCGTCTCTCGCCACCAAATCGGTCCCGCAGCCAATGCAATGGATTACTGCTCGACGAGCTCCGGTTGTCGCGGTTGCGATCGCTCTGTTCTGATCCACGGCCTGAGGGCGAAGGGGTTCTAACTCTAGGCGAATCATGAACCGATGCAGGGTTCATTGGAGGCGAATTTGAATCTCGTCGAGGGGTTTCTCGTCGATCGTACGGAGTACCAGAGTTCCGTATGAAATCAGCACGAGCATCTCGAGCCTGACGAAGATTCGAACGCCGTCTGTCTGCAGCAGAAGGTCTGGAGGATGAAGATGCGGCAGGGGGTTCGTTTCTTGCATTTGATCCGGTAGCAGCGCCTGGTTGACCTGCCGACTCACCATCGATGGGCGCACGGCATATGGGGCATGAGTTGTGTTCCTTCAACCACAAGGTCACACATTCCTCGTGGAACCAGTGGTTACAGGGCAGCACGACGACCTCATCTCCCACGCTCATGTCATCAATGCAGATAGTGCATTCTCCCTTCAACTCCGGACCTAGCATCTGCTCATCGAGCTTCTTCCGAGGCAGCTTCGTTATGGCGGCTTCCGAGGCAGGGGCTGGGGCATTTGAAGAGGGATTCGCCTCCATCAAGTTCGTGATTATACGGTCTAGTGCCTCTTGAGAGTATACGGCATCGCCATGGACCGCATTTGGATTGATGAGTGTGGCGAAAAGCTGGTTCAGTGCATTCGCTAGGTCGCCAGAACGTCGATCGGCGTTGCCACCCTGGCCGGGAGGCTGCGGCTGCCCCTCATGATGCATGGGAGGAGGGCCTATACCGCCGAGTATATCACTAAAGATACTAAAAGCATGTCAGCGCATCAGCGTTTACATGGCCTGAAGAGAGCCATTAAGGATAGATAGAACGCTACCTTTGAAAGCCGGCATCAGGTCCTCCAGGGGCTCCCAGTCCACGTGCATGATGAACTCTTCCGGGCCCAGAACCAGTAGTGATGGTGAAGCTGCTCACTCCGCCAGTGTAACCCGGTCCGGTGAAGGTTTGGTATGTGACATTCGGAGATTCCGGACCGTGGCGGAATAGTGTCTCAGGCCCAGAGCGACCGACCATTCCAGGAGGTCCTCTCATGCCTGCGCCCATACCGCCCAACATCTCCGAAAACCTGTTCATGATCGCATCGCTATCGTCGGGTTGGGCGCGCGGCCTTGCCCCATAACCCGGGGGCCGAGGAGCGTGGTGGATAGTTGATTGGCCGAAGAAACCTCCAGGGCCACGTTCAATATGTTGCTCAATGTCCTCTTCTTCGGGGTCCGAATCTATATCGTGATGACGATGGTGGCGGAGGAAGTCAGGTAATGACTCGTTGTCGTCGTCGATGTTTCGAGGATCATTTCCGGGGGAAATCTGGTGGGTTATCAGTAAGCAGCCAAATAACGCTGAACCCAATAAACATACGATTTCGGTTATATCGCCATGGCAGGCAGGACAAGATAGGGTATCTGGCCGGTCATCTTTGTACCACTCGTGTTCGCAGGCGTGGCAGTAGACGACCTCGCGACCCTGAGTGGCGTCGAGGTGACTACTTCTGGACGCCATTTGGCCCTGCCTGGAGTGTTGATAAGCGGCGAGGGCGGTTATTCCGAGGCCGAGTGCTAGGCCCGTTGCTCGAAGTGCGCGGAAAGCCAGAGTTGCGGTTGTATGAACTGGTATCGGAGGGATAGTCAGGCTGAGGAAGACGGTAGTCAAGAGGGGAGTTTCCACGCAGGTAGATCGAGGGTGATTGCCGATGCGGGGAGATAGGTCAGAGGAGAAGCGGTGGATACGGTTGGTTGTACGGCTGCCGTGCAGAGGTCGAACAAAGAACTCGTAAGGCTGACTTGGGAATCAACCTAAAGATCGTTTGACAGTCAGCAGCTAACAGCCATGAGTAATTCCATTTCGGCAAATGCAGGCGCTTGGCGCAGTACATATGTATGCAAGCGTGATGCGACGCTGGGGTTGCAGGTACCTGACAAACAACTAACCTGCCGTAAAATACACAGACGCGCGATTGCTATCACCAGCGGACCTCTGGCGGCGATGCGTTCATCGAAGTATTGGGGTCGAGTCGGTAGAAGCCCCCAGACCTTGGAGTAGCAAAGGCGGAAAGGATCGAGGTTCCTATGCTGTCGGCTGCCTGCAAGAATCCAAGCTGAACAAGGCGGATGATTGGGAAGCAGATGGGTAGATGCGGTAGATATGCAGAACGGGATGTCTGTCGAGGGAGGCTGTCGGTCTTATCTGCACTTCTGGTCAAGAGCAGCCGAAGAGGCGCATCATTGTGGTGTTTCTGAATGGGCCAGAGAAAAGAGGAAGCTGAAAGAAATCAAAAGGAAAGAAATGCAGTCACAGTGAGTGAGTCGTCGTATGGTGTTGTAGGTCGGGTAACTCAGATCCCTGGTTGTTAGTCACCGACGTAATCAGCGACTATCTGACAATCTGTCTCGATGGGATGGAAGGATTGAAGGTTTGGAGCTTCAATGCCGCCACCTGACGCAGCTCCCGACTTGCTGTGCCAGATATTCGGTCGCTTTCGTCATTCACAGTTTCCAGTCTCCAACTGGGTGGTTCCCGGCTTTCTATGGGCCGCGGGGCAGTTTGGCGGGGCACAACGGTCTTCCGGCTCACTCCCACGTGATTGCGCCGGAGTGGCTTGACTTAGGTACTTACCTAAGACTACATGTACCGTACTCAAAAGGTCAAACATCAAGTGCATTAGGTACATAACATATCACATACCGGTAGTTCTCCTTGCGAGTTACCCATGTTGCCCTCGGCCTGCATTGGTGCTGGCAACGGGTAGGACAGGTTATGGCCCGCTAACGAGAATGTAGACGGCCTGTTTCGAATGAAGTCATGCTTGCTTTGTGGTTGTTAGGACTGTACGTAGATCAAAGCAGCACTACCCCGTTGATGGATTTCATCAAACGCCAGCCACCTTCAACTAGGTGAAATAAGGCCTGATCTTAAAGTTTTCATGGGGTATGCAATCTGTTATTGGGGCAAATCTACTTTCTCGATCTCTCTCATTCGACTTTCTCGCCAATACGGCTCAGTAAGAGCATTGTTGTTTCTTGCGTAGCTGATTGACCAACCACGCTTTTCTCATCAAACAATCCCATCTTGTCTTTCACTGCCAATCACCAACACTACATCTCTGTCACCATGGCGGGCAAATCCTGCGTCACCAGACGCCATGGATGATACTCCGCAGCTCAATACAAACAAGAATATCACACTGGATGACTATACCTGTGGAAGTTCGATTCCTGGTCACAGAGGCAGTCACTTATCAGACGTATCCTGGCTGGGCCTCTTCTGCCTCCGTTTGCAAAGAGGGGTAGATCTTGATGGAGAAGAGAAACATTTTACCAGCTGAGACTACAAGTGTCTTGCCTCTATGGCCCTGAACGCATGGTCGTTCGGCAGAGACGTCTCTGGTTCACCATATGGGACTCGATGTTGAGCTGCCAAATTTCAAGATATACATGCTAATGTTGCGCACGGGTGGCGTCGACTCGGTGGAGGAAGATGACAGCGCCAGCATCAGCACCGGAATCCGAAGATTTTGCCCCATACGAGTCGGTCAACCATTTCAGATTGGGACTCAGAGAAATGTGAGAAGTAGGTTCTCAACTCATTTGCATGAAGCCAACAACCAAATATGTACCTATACACAAAGAAAACATGCAATGAAAGGGGAAGTTTCCTCCAACTCCAACCGTCCCAACGCCGTCAGCGGCACTCGAGTTCGTATCCTCTCTTGCCGGACTTGCTCCCTTCTCTGATGCCTCCTCAACACGCAATGGCCACACCACCTGTTTAACGTCTACCGTCTCTTGCCGCGGAACAGGATACCACCGATGACCCCAGCAGCGATTGCGACGCCGCTAATGATGGCGACACCCTTGAGTCCCTCCGTCGCCACCTTGTCGTCGATCAGTCTGCGCAGGTCGGCCGCCTGGAGGTTCGCAGGCTCCTTCTCCAACAGCAGGTCGTTGTATCGTCTGGCCTCGCCAAAGTTGCCGAGCTTGTAGTTTCCCAGCGCGAGGTAGTAGAGGCATTCGCGGCGTCGTTCGGGGGAGAGGCGGAAGATTTCCGAGAGGAGCTGCACGCCCAGCTGTTGGTCGTTGCGGGAGTTGGACTTGACCAAGCCCTGCGCATGTACAAAGTCAGCACAAGTCCCCTTGGACTGTATAACTCTTACTCTGTCGAACTCGCAGACGTACCCATGCGTAGTTGAACTTGGTCTGCACGCCCACCATCTCGCCCTCCTTCTCATATTGGTCTCGCAGGACCTTGAGTTCCGACGGCTTCAGCGGGCTATCGGGAGAAGTATTAGTCTGGCCGATGATCTCCATGACTCGAAAGGGTTCTTACGTTTCCGCATCAACGGCATCTGCAGAGGACAGACCAAGTCAGTACAAAATGCGATCCTCTACGTTGACGATCAGGCAGGCTTCCACTGGGAGAGACTTACGAGGTAGAGCGGCCATTTTGACTCGAAACACAGCTCTGAAACTAACAGGTTGCTTTTCTGATAATAGGCAGGCTTCTGAAAAAAGATAAAACCGAACACTCGTTTCGCGGTTCTTCGTGTAGGTCGGAAATGGAGGAGATATCGAGGAGACTTGTTCTTTGCGACAGAACGCCGGATGCCAAAGATGTGGCGGAAGCTACATATGTACCTCCTAAGACAGATCCCTGCTGTGGCTAGAACTCCCAAGACAATGACACAGCGGGTGGGGCGCCCTCGTGCCCCTGCAAGTTCCCGCCGTAGCGGCAGATAGTCGTCCAGGTGATTTCGCGCCTGGTCCCTTGTTTTGGCCATTACCGCATTGGGGTTTTTAGTGGTGATCTTGCGCGACCGAGTGAACCGCATCAGCTCTGCAAGACGACGAAGCAACATTTCTATTGTGAACATACGATTGAACCACTTGTCGAAACCCCTATCCTCCGCTTCAAAACTGGCTTTGTATTGAAATCCATCACGATGCTGCTCGACGAGGATCCCGCTTCGGTACGTGGACTTTGACAACTCTCCAAGTTCCGACAAGGGGCAACGATTGACTGACCGACTTGCCGCAGCTCATCCACCACACCATCAACAACTTCAACACCGCGCCCGACAAGGCTGCCATATCGCGCATACAAAACAATCTCTCCGCGCTAGAGCAAGAGCGCGAAAAGCGAGTCCGCGATGCCGAAATCGCACTGAAGAGTACGTCCGTCGCACGCAACAATACCCGCGGTCCCAACTTCCCTCCCTCATTCGAAGCAGTCGAAGGAGACACAACACAACACAAGCGCATACTGACAACCCATCCCACAAACAGAACTCTCGCGCCAGCTCAACACGCAGCAGACGCAGTACGAAGAGCTCACATCCGCGCACTCGTCCTCAGCGCACGCGTCAGAGATCTCGCGCCTCGACACGCAGAAGTTCCGCATCGCCAAGGCGACATCAGACACAGAGATGGAGACGGAGCGGCTGTCATCACAGGCGGCGGACCTGGCGTCGCGGCTGCAGGAGCTGGAATTACAGGGGGTCGAGGGGGGCTCGCCTGACGATGCGGACAAGCGCCGACGTGACCCGACCGTCGAGGACGAGGTGCTGCTGCGCCTGCGCGTTTATAGGAGCTTGGGCATCGAGCTCGAGCGCGACGAGCGCGACGGCGAGTTCGCCAAGGCCGTCGTGCGCAACGACCGCCGCGGCGACGTCCACGTCGTCAACATAGACAAGAAGTTCTCGCGCTTCTTCTACGCCAACTACTTCTGGCAGACGCTGTAAGAGGACAACTCAACGGGACTCATATCCGGTATTGAGCGCAGCCTCCACAACGCTCGCCGAACTAGGCAAGCACCACGGATCGTCGTTATCGACGAAGACGACGAGGAACATGTAGAAAAACGTCAACAGCGGATTCAAAGCCCCCAAATCAGGCAGGCACATGGCATGAAATTCACGAGATGGAGTCTGGGCGTTGTGGGAATACCATTGGGTTTGGATTGAAAGACTGTCTGCTAATAATTCAGAGCCAGTTGCAAGTATATAAGCTGCGTGTACAATGATACTCCTGATCAAGGCTGTGTCTTTTCCTCGTTCGACTAAAGCGCCGAAGTTGCCGCGGAGTCCTGAACCCCGTATCCTTGACCGATTCCCCTGAACCATTCCTAACGCCCAAGTTTCCAAGCGGTAGTTCTACACCCAGCGCGCCAAATCCCCTCTATTTCAACAAGTTGCTTTTACATGAGTCATCATTGTCTGACTCTCCTTTTCCCAAACTTCTATCTTCTCCGCTAGCCACTGACTTTCTTCTTCAAAGTCTTCCCCTCGTACGGGGGAAAGTAGCCATCATGGTCGACTCGCGTGAACGTGGGTGGTTTAGTGGTCGTCGGTGTCCTCGACCTCGCGCTATTCGGCGACGTAGTCATCCTCAGTCCCACGGGGCTGTGGGCGTTGCTCCTGGTCCCAGCTTTCGCATATAATCCCACGCCGGTGGTTCCGCCAGCCAGCACGGCACCAGGTCCGCTCTGGGTCCTAAAGTGGTGCCGTCGGTCGGGTATCTCCAGCCGCGAGTTGAGATTGTACTCCGCAGCATCCGCGTCGACGTCTACGCTGTCGAGCCTCCACCCGCCTAACCCTTCAAAATCCCTGTCCAGGCCGGCGCTGGACGGCCGGGCATACACACCAGGAGCCCCCACGCCCGGTGTGATGGGGACGCTGGCGCTGCCTTGCCGCTTGTTGTTGCGGCGATGCTGCCGGTATCTGGAGGAGGAACCCCCTGATGAGGACGCTGGTGAAGACCCGGCGGAGGATGAAGGAGGTAGCGTGTCTCCACTGTAGGGCCCGGCTACTGGGTGGCTCGGAGAGTTGCGCCGGGATGCGATGTAGCGGTGCTGGGCGGAATGTCCCACGATCATGAGGTGTAACGTTTCCAGTCCGATGTCGAAGTACACGGCAAACAGGCGTAGGAACAAAACGAGGAAGGCGAGGATGGTGGTGAAGCCGGCGCAGAGGGCCAGCGGGAGGGCAATGAGGAAGACGAAGGGGAAGACGAGGAACTGCAGTGGGTTGAACAGCGCCATTGTGTCGTTGTTGTGTTACTGCTTTTCGGAGGATTTGCAAGTTTGCGCCACTTGAACAAGGTAAAAGAAGATTCGAGAATCAAGATCCTGTCGATTGTTTCACATGGTTGTTGCTGCAGTGGGATGTCGTCGAGAAGGGCGTGTCGTTCATCATCAGGTTTGGAATTTGATAAACCGAGCAAGAGGGGTTGATGGTGGTACAGAAGAGGAGGAGCGGCAGATCAATATGTGAGGCGTCAAAGTACGCATGAGGGTGTGACGACGACCAAGCTAGAGATGACTTTAATATCTGGGCGTTCTGGTTGGGTTGCTGCCCAGGTGCGATAGGAAGTCCCCGCGAGTCGCGAACAGCCCATGGCCAGCCCATGGCAACTTTCACATGCAGATTATAACTTTGATTCCGGCAAGCGGCAACCGGAGTCGGGCGCAACGCCTGGAACATTGGACTGGGACTGGGATGCGCTATCCGTGGCGCTAGCAGTGGGGAGCTCCCGAGCGAACCTCCAGACCGTCTGACTCCAGTGACGTCGCGTCATTCAGTGAAGATGCATAGGTTTCGCCTGCCTGCCCGGACGCTCTGGGGTAGTGTGACAATACATCTAATCACATTGAACTCTGAAGCAAAAAGAGCACCGGACGGGAAACCACCAGGGTCCGAACTCAATGACACATGTACGTCCACTTGGCGGCATTTGGCGGCATTTGGCGACATCTAGGCCAATTGATATCATCAATCTGCCCAGGTGCTCAGCAGCTGCATCCTCAGGAACCCTCCATCTTTCAAACTTTGCGACATCATATCAAACGTTGCTGTCAATACAGATACTACAAACTGGGGTATACACCAGCAGCGCTTGTAAGTGAGACCAGTACTCTGATTGGGTCCGTGGTTCCGAGGTTCCAGTCCTCCACACACACGGATATGCTGCGTCATATTCTTCTGGTAGTATCTTCAAAGTTCACACCTTGGCAGTTGCTGACCGAGCACACAGCTTTTAAACCTTGAGTCGCTTCGGCCGAATCTAGACTCGACATCACAGCCGCCTCGTTCTTATCAGGGTTCATGGAGTGCATGTGCCTGGGTCTTTTTTCGTCTATTCACGACCAAGGTTGACAGCTGAAGACTAGAAGGCTGTAGGTATACTTTACACCACCAGACACCGAGGTCCGAAACACAGAACCCGAGCGAGCTCGCCCTTCACGAGTGTCACACTACCACCACCACGCCTGACCACCACCATGTGTCAACAGCACTCCGGGGAAGCCTCCACTTCCCCGCAAGCCTCGGGGGAACCCCTGACGCACGATGCTCCCGCCACTACCCTAGAACCTTTCCCCTGGGAAGCTGGGGTCTTCGACGCCCATTGTCATCCTACAGACACGATGGCCTCGGTGCCGTTTATACCCCATATGAAGGCACGTGTTCTGACTGTCATGTCCACGCGTTCTCAGGATCAGGACCTCGTGTCCGAAGTGGCGCTCCAAAATGGCCTTAAAGACCGTGACACAGCATTAGCATCTTCGCCATCGAGTCAACGCCGCATGGTTCCCTCCTTCGGCTGGCACCCGTGGTTCTCATACCAGCTTTACGATGATTCGGTCTCCAATCCAACCTATGATGGGACTCCATCTGGCAAGGTAGCACACTACGATGAGGTACTCGCGCCTGCACCATCTACCAAAGATGTGTCTTTCAGCGAAGGGCTCCCAGATCCAAGACCACTATCCGACTTCATCAAGGAAACGCGGACACGTCTCGAGCAGCATCCTCTGGCTATTGTAGGAGAGATCGGGCTGGATAAGGCTTTTCGTCTTCCTCAGAGCTGGACTGCAGCCGATGAGGCTCAGCGGGATGAAGGTCTCACCCCCGGCGGCCGAGAAGGTCGGCTCTTGAGCCCCCACCGCGTCAAGATGGCTCACCAGGCTACCGTTCTTCAGGCTCAGCTCAGACTGGCAGGTGAACTGGGCCGCCCAGTCAGCGTTCATGGTGTCCAGGTACATGGTGTGCTTTATGACACTATAGCCGAATGCTGGAAAGGACACGAGAAGGAAGTCCTGTCTAAAAGGCAGCAGCGCCGTATCGCACAAGGGGCTGAAGACTTTTCGGAAAAGTCCAAATCTGATCACGACGACGAGGACCCGCAGCATGACCACCACAAAGGTAACCTAGAGAACGCGAGATCAGGGCCTCCTAAGCCTGACCCGAAGCCATATCCTCCTCGGATCTGCGTCCATTCCTACAGTGGCCACGTTGGCATGCTCAAGCAGTATATCCATCCATCGGTCCCGGCGAAGGTATACTTCTCGTTCTCCATAGCCATCAACTGGGGGGCTGGCGGCGGCGAAAAGACCGAAGAGGTGATCCGCGCCGTGCCCGACGACCGTATCTTGGTCGAGAGTGACCTGCACACCGCGGGAGACAGGATGGACCAGCTGTTGGAGGAAATCTGCAGGAAGATATGTCAGATAAAGGGATGGGGTCTCCGCGAGGGAGTTGAGAGGCTGGGCCGTAACTATAGGGAGTTTATATTTGGCTAATGGTCGTGGTAGATGAACGATGTCTTGGGACGTACACCTCATATACTACTATTACAGCCCCTGAATTGGTGTATTACCTTAGGTAGGTAGCAGCGACCCTTACGGTACCTCGGTCCGTTTAGCTTTGACGAACACGGGACGGTGACGCAGCATGCATGCCCTTGGCACGACATCGTGATCTGCCGAGGGGTTCCCAGCCAAGTCCTCTGGTTGGTAGCCCTTCTACCTACGCAGGGCCGTGCCTGAGATAAAAGTGTCAATCACTTGAGGGTGTATTGCTAACATATACCTGCTCGTACCACCCCGGCCTTGGTTACCAAAAGTCCCTGGGTACCTCATGTATGTACGTATATTGGTAGGTACTCGCTGGCATGATAGGGCTTAGTACGACCAACATCTTGCTGGTATGTCTCGCCCTAGCAGAAACTATTATTGGCCCATATTTGCGTTTCCGAATCTCAGATGCCATGCCACATAGCTGTACTGAGAGATACAATCAGAGATGGATCCGAAGCAATACAATGATTTTTGTAGAATGAGAACTGGGCTTCCAAGGTTGGTGGTGATAGATGACCCCTCACCTGATGAACAGGCATCGGACCGTCTCAGCGTCACACAGCAGTCGGGTATCAAGATTACGATAGATAGTATGCGCCACACGCGGCAGCCTCAAGCATCCCCTTCCCCCATTCTGATCCTGATCGATCCTCTCGCATGTTCTTCCACTCACCCGGTCACCCACGTCCTCTATTGCTGATTGCTACATACCTACTAGCCGAGCCCGGTATCGACTTCCTGTCTCTCATGTGGTATCGTCCCACAAGCCATCCCGGTGCTGGTGCTGGTTCTGGTGCTTGTACCGGTACTGCATGAGGCCGTCGTCCATCGTGTCCGTCACCGCATGGCACCCCTACTACTAGTTCCCTTAACCTAGTTGCCGCTGGCCGCCAATTCGAAACACGCATCCAATACATACGACAGTACATTGCCTGTACCGGCCAAAGCCGTTGGCAACTCGCTGCATATTGCCTGGTTTCGGCTTGACTCACACAGCAAACAAATCCCCGGCTTTCGTCTACACAGAGCTCCAAAGTATCCCGTCAAGGAGGGAGATCCCGATGTGCCTGACGCTACTGTAGCTCCTGGCACCACACCCACCCTGCTACAGCACACTACCTGACCTTACCTTGGGGAAACAGGTGCTAGGTATCTGCGGGCGTACGACTCTACTCTGCCTACATCACAGGTCCAATACCCGGTGGCAGTGAACCGGAGGGATTCTACTCAAAAAACTACATATCAGCTCTTGCCTGGACGTGGTGCTGCGAAGTCACTGCTGCGAGGCGCTGTGCTGTGCTGGCCTGGCGCATGGCTGGCATTCGATCGCCGCACCCCCTGCCATCTTGGGACGCACCCCACAAGACGCGCGACGCACCTTCGTCTGAGCAAATTTGAGAGCCCCAACGAGTCCCGAGACCTGTTCCAGATCTGCCTTGCTCGCCCACGCCCACGTCACGTCACGCCCACGTCCACGCCCACGTCCACGCCCAGCCCTGCCAGCTGTGCCAGCATTATTGTCACAGCCTATCGTGAGCCATGTACGCCGGCAACTATGGATTTCCCAATAACGCTGCTGCCGCTGCCGCTGGATCACCGTACAATGGCGCCCCACCCCCGGGTTCCCAGAACACACCTTTGCAGCCTGGCTCTGCTCCTAACCACATGATGTATAATTCTCAACAGTTCCCCATGGGCGTGCCACCCGGCGCTGGCTTTCCCGGTAATCCCAATGCGATGCCGGGTGCCGGTCCTGCAGGAATGATGCAGAGTACCGGTATGCCGCACATGGCTGCTGCCAATGGCCAGAGTAAGCATCTCATATTTCCTTGACATCGAGCCTCTCTCCCTCCCGGCCGCTTTCCGTCCGCACCTGGCGTCTGACGGTCTGACTCTCCGTGTAATCTTGCCTGCTGCCACGCCCCATGCCCTAAGGCGACTGGTGGAAGCTCCGAGCAGCATTCATGTTAGGCGACACGAGGCTACAACCATCTGGACCCGCGTGTTGTAGTAGTCCTTGTCACCTGCAAGGGCCGAGTCTTGTCTCCTTATAATCAGCTTGTCACTCACTCCTCTCGCGTAATGTTGAATGCTATGCTGATGTTTGGTTGATGTGTTAGTGCCCAATTATCAAACACCGTATTCGACCTCCCCCTATGGCGGCGGCGTCCCTAGCTCTGTCGCACCCCAGATGAATGTGCCCCCGAACTATGCGATGGGAGGTGGCATGCCTATGGCCGGTCTTCACATGCAACCAGGCATGAATGCGCAGCAACAGCAGCAGCAGATGATGCAACAGCGCATGCAGAGCGCTCAGTCAAACGCCGGCAGCATGTCGACTCCCACACCGCAACGAAACTTCCAGAGTCAATCTTCTCAACGCACGCCGACTCCGAACAGCGCGCAGCCTTCCCAGCAGTCTCAGTTCGCGCCACCTCAAAATGCTCAAGGCCCCCAGCAGAGCCAGACGCCAAATAATGCGCAACCGCATCCGCAACCACAACCGCAGCCGTCCCTATCCAATAACATCCAAACACCACAAACGCCGACATTCCCTTCCTCGATCCAGGGCAGTGCTCTCAATGGCACGTCCTCTGGTTCTGCACCGTTGAGCCCTGTTGGGGATTCAAGAGATAAGGAAAGGGTTGGCGTGATCCTCGAGATCAACAATGAGTTGCTCCTGGAAGCCATGCAAATTCAAAACACGCAGCAGATTTTGAAAAAGGAACGCTCGGTGTCCAACGGCACTGACGGCACCGCAAACGAGGCTGAAAAGCTATCAGAAGAGGAGGAAATACTGGCACAGGATTATCTTCAGTAAGGTTCCACCTGGCTTTGCAGTCACGATGTCTAACCCTTGAGCCTAGGTGTATGCGCAGGCTTCAGTCAAATCTAGCTTATCTGGCAGCATTGGCTGATAAGAAGGGCGGTGCAGCGGCGCCGAATCCCGCATATTTGAGAGCACCTACTCTGAATACGAGCGTCAAGTTAAGGCAGATGCCAGGTGCGGATGAAAATGAGGTCAAAGCGGAGGCGCCAACGCGGGAGGAAACAGCTAAATATATGGCAGAGCTGTACAGCAAGCTGCAGGGTCTCTATCCTGGCGTTGACCCGTCCAAAGAGCCGGTATTTCCAGCAACGGCAGGGCGGCCGGGCGCAGCGAAGCCAGGAACCCAGACACCTGGCCAATCAAGCCCCGTGCCCGGCAAGCAGAAGACGCCGAAGCTGGCAAGTTCGGCGCCGCAGCAGCAAGTTGCCACGGCCGCGGCGGCCCATGGGCTTGGGTCTCAAATGTGAGGCCACAAGGGCAACTATACTCGAATCAACGGCGTCAGTATATATAGAAGAGCCGGGGTTGTGGGTCCCGGATGAGGATACTTTGTTATTCTTTGTATACAGGCAATGCGGCTGGGGCGAACTCTGGCGTATATCATAGTTCTCGTCGTGAGACGAAGGTCTCGGCGTCAGAGTTGGACACGGTCCTGAACTGGAAGGTCATGTATATACCAATATCACGATGTTGTATGGTCGAATACCAATAGGTTGAGACTTGATCCAGTGACAAGGCAGAAGCCTTTTTACATGTGCACGAAACGGTGACTGCTCATTCAAGGGCGTTGGTCTGTTCAAAGTAGCTAGCTGTTTAGAAGGGTAGGGTAGGGTGGTTCGTTATCTGCCTGTGCCTCTCACCATTCGTTATCTGCCTCTGCCTCTCACCAAGGCAAGACCGCTAGAGTCAACCGTACCAGAACTTGCAGGTCTCAGCTAACGAATGTGTGAAATTTAGGAATGGTCTGTATTGGAAGAGGAATAAGGGTAGCTGATGGGGGTTACCATCCTACTTAAATAGGTGGGAAAGGTACCTACCTCTGACAGCTATCACATGTGATCCCACAGGATGACACATATCCAATGCTCACAACATCACAACAAGGCTAATAAATACGCCACTGAGCACGTATTCTAACAGTTTCTCGTGATTTGAATACCGTTGATGGACTGTGTATCGAAATCAATGAATGGTGATGAAAACGTTTAGGTGATGGCTTCAACCGTTTATCAGCAGTTTGTCAACCGATAATTGATTGTTATTGCCCGGTTGGAAAACTCGTCAGTGTGGAAGGTACGACGGGAACTCTTGAGCAATCGTTCACTGGAATCGTCGAGACCTGGTACGGGGTATGTTAAATGGGGATGCTATAGAGATGTGCTTGCCATCTAAACCCGGTGAGAACATGGGAGTCGGCTGAGATGCGCCGAGGAGGATCAGAAGTGAGGCTTGAGCATTGATAGCTAGCACGCCTCGCAATTTGATGTCGATAGGAGGTCCAAAGACGTGCCGGTTATTAGTGGCTGGTTCGTCCAGTCTACTGCAGCGAGCCTAGCCGGTTGGAGATGGGAGAAGAGCTACCCCCTTACTAGTCTGCACCCCTAATTGTGATGCATCCAGACCACCGGAAAGACCATCACAGCACGGTCAAGTATCTATGCATCTTGTCTTATTTGTGGCTTTCTAAGTTTCTATGTCATCCAGTCTCCGTAGTTCGAGGAGCGCCTACGATAATGGGCAGGAGATAAGGTTTGTTTACATGCTGCTGGTTTGGTGGTCTATCACAATGTTCACAGATCATGCAGGCCGGCAGGATGGTCGTTGCACTCGTTCTGGGTGGATCTGCAAACCTGCTGCAGGTTCATGCGCGCGTTGGCTGGTTGGACCGTTCCAAGCGTGGGAGGCTCTCTTGGTCGGCCAATCAGCGTGGGTGACCCGTGCCGGCGCCGCAACGGCATGAGCTGCCAATTTCATTCCATGGCGGGGGATTCGATGCGATGGATGATGGGATCGTCACAATTCACATCTCAAATTGATCATACCTTCAGATGATAAGGTAAGGTAAGCTCTGCATACGATCAATATTTCCAAGGAGTAGGCATGCTCATTGCGCTGACGGTCAGTTTGTCAAAGATTGCTCAGGTAAGTGCTACAAAGAGCTCGAGGTGTTTCGAGAACAGATGTCGGCTTTTGTAATAAGTCATAATGTGACTACCTCCTTTGTGTTGAGTGATAACTGGGAGCTTTCGAACAATGAACCAAGCCAACCTCATCAGGGAATATGGACAACACCTTGACGAACATAGGTACCTACATAGGGGGTGGTCGCGACTCGTGATATGCATGATGCAGCTTATCCAATCTTCATTCGCCGTGGCGGCGTGCCAAGCCAGGCCCGGCCTGTTACTAGCTAGCGGCGACCCTCTCTTTCTATCGCTCCTCCTTGGACTGGGATCTCCAATATCGATTCATCCCTTGTCGCCCGCCTCTCCTTATTAAACTCGTTGTGTCTGCGTCCTGTGTTTTTGATTGCCTTTAAGTTTTAACGCGTCGTTCGTTATTGCCACCGCTACTGCCTGTACATACCTGCCATTGACCATTGACACACCCACGCTCCTTCGCTGTGTCAGTCCGAGTCAATTCGTCCACTCCTTTGACGAGACAGCTCCGACGACAGCACCAACGAACGACCCGGCCTACCTTGGCCCGACTGAAGGGTCCGTCACTCTTTTGATTAACCACATTGAAGTCTACTCTCAGCCTTCTAGAGTCTGGCCAGGGTCCCTTTCCCGTTCATTCCGATACTTTATCCACTCGTTCATTGTGCGAACTGTTTCATGAACAATCTCGACTCATTCATGCGACAAAGAGAGCGCAGACAGACTTCCCTGCCCAAGATATACCGTACACCCCGACTCCCTGGCCCCGAGTCCACACCGCCAGCAGCAACTTCCCTGCCGCCCTGCAGCACGTCCAATTCCTTGCCGTGACGGAGCATCTCGAATTGTCTGGTGCTTCCTGCGTCCTGCTGTTGCGAGAAACGACGCCCCGTCCCCGTCCAGCGTTCCTGTCGCTGTCATTCCACCGTCGATGCCATAGTACACCCCCCGCCACCTCGTTGGAGAAAGCAACCGATACCAGTGGCACAGAGGGGGCAGGTTGGCATTCTTGTGGATTGTAGATCCGCATTCCAGTCCCTACCGGCCACCCCATTACTCCGGCACCACAGCCAGGAGCCCTGTGCTTCGCTATGGAGCTGCATCTCGAGCACCAGCGGAAAAATGATTCTTTCCCAGCCACAACCGGCGCGGCTTCGACTGAGTCGACGTCCATGCCCAAGTCTCCTTTCGAAAAAGACACACCCACATTACCAGGCCACGACTCGATGGTGACCGTCCGACTGTCCGAGCCGCCTTCCTTGTCGGTCTATACGGACCTTCCACCGCCCGTCATGCCTTCTAGGAGGAGCATCTTTGGACCGGAGTGTACACCTACCAGTGCAACAGCACCATCCATGAAAGAGGAGGAAGTGCCTGTCGTGGAGAATGTCGAGTCGAAGACATTTGTCGAAGCCCCGAAGAACTTACACGACGAATTACAGGACATCGTGGACTCTGTTGAGAATGAAGAACAAGTAGAGCCGCCACAAGAAGACGACGACTCGATGGGGGAATCCGACTCTGAAGAAGTCAATTGGGAGGAGTTGCAGAAGACAGAAGACGAACAAGTTAAGAACCAGGATGACAACGATAATGTATGTTACGCGCCCTCATCCCCCGAACCATCCTGTCGGGTGAGATTATAGTTGCTGACTAGCCACTTGACAACTAGTCCACCGCCATGCTTCTAGAACGACTCGAACAAGAAAACAATAAGCTGGCTACGAATCCGAAGAGTATCAAGGTCAGAGTCGTGGAACAACCCGTGGTGCGCCGACCGAGACCGCCCTCGATGGCACAACTACGAGACATGGTCCACGGGCCAACACCCACCGCTGTACGATACTCTGTCCTCCCGCCTCCCCCGATGACCGACCTGGAATTCTATATGGCATTGGTTAAGGACTACCAGCAAACAGCTGCCAGACTTCCCACGCTGCTGTCCAACAAGATCAGGAAGGGAATCCCGCCTCCGCTGAGGGGGGTGGTTTGGCAGAGCATGGCTAGGGCGCGCGACTCGCTGCTATTGGAACAGTTTGACAGTCTCAGCAACGAATCGAGTCCCTATGAAGGAATCATCGGCAAAGACCTTGGCAGAAGTTTCCCTGGGGTGGACATGTTCCGAGATCCAGAGGGCGACGGACAACGAATGCTCGGACGAGTGTTGAAATGCTTCTCACTCTACGACCAGAAGATAGGATACTGCCAGGGACTCGCTTTCCTGGTCGGTCCTCTCCTGATGCACATGCCAGACAACCAGGCTTTCTGTGTTCTGGTCCGGTAAGTGCCCACTGTCGCACCATGGTCCGTGAAAAGGAGACCCAGCTAACCAAAACATTGGATGACAGGCTGATGGAACACTATGATCTCCGATCGTGCTTCCTACCCGACTTGTCAGGGCTGCATGTCCGAATCTACCAGTTCCGGGAACTTCTTCGGCTGAATTTGCCTATGTTATCGAACCACCTGGATGATCTTCAGGTTGATCCAGCATACGTTTCACAATGGTTCCTCTCCTTCTTCGCCGTAACTTGCCCGCTACCCATGCTGTTTCGCATCTACGATGTCATCTTTGCCGAAGGCGCGTCGGAAACCATTATGCGGGTGGCTCTCTCGCTTATGCGAAAGAATGAGAGCCGCATCTTGGCCTGCACCGAGCTTGAGGATGTTATGCAACTCCTCTTATCTCGCGGACTGTGGGACTGTTATCATTACAACGCAGATGAGTTCGTCGATGATTTCGTTAGTCTATCCAACGTCGTATCGAGAGAGAGATTAGCCCAGCTGGAGCTGGGGTACAGAGAGGAAAAGATCGCCAGTGCCAGCTCCGCCCGGACGGCAGATGTCACCAGCGCCGCCTCCCGCTTCCTGGGCCGTCTCTGGACTACGAGCACCTCGTCGCCAAAATCCGCGTCTTTGTCTCCGGGTCTGCCTGCACCGTTGAGGCCGTTTAGCATGCTCCGTCGCAGCACGTCGAAGCAGAGCTTGGCGTCGACGCTCAATTCCATCGACGCCGGTACCGCTAGCGTTCTCAGCACTGCATCGACCGACGCCACGACCATCTCCCGGGACTCGTCCACGGCTGATGACTCGTCCATCCGCGAGTCAACACCGATTGCCCAGAAGCAGTACGCTCACAGTGCAACCGACAAGAACCTACACACCCAGATCGAGGACCTCCTCACTGCTCTCAGCGAACTACAACGGAACCACTCCCTACTCGCCACAGAACTACAGAAGGAAAGAGAGGATCGAGACGAGGATAGCAAAGCTGTCAAGACTTTGTTGGCGGGGCTGAGGAAGCAAGTGAAGAACGACCAGATCGCTACCGTAAACAGCGGCGAGGACTCAGAAGACACAACAGATGAAAAAAGTGAAGAGGTCGAGACACCTACTGAGAGCCTGTTATCACAACTTTTGGATACCGTGAAGGGTCGTTTTGGTGCGAATGATGAAGGGCACAAGCGGCTGTCGTCGGTGCAGACCAAGTCGCAGCTCCGCGACGAGTTGGCCAGAACCAAAGAACATCTCATGATTGAGACATCTAAATCACAGGAGTTCAACCGCCGGATCGAGGAGCTGGGACAGGAAACCAACACCCTACGGGAACAGCTTCGGGAAAGCCATACCCACGCCCGAAGCCTCCACCAGGACAAGCAACGTCTCGAGAAACAGGTCCACACTATGCGCGTGAGAGCTTCTGCTGAGACGCCAGTCGCTACGGCCGAGCCCGGCGGTTGGTTCTCGTCGACGGCGACCCTTTCGGCTGGCAATGCCAGCGCCAGTGGCGGCGGAAACAGCGGCGGCCTTCGCGAGTTGAAGCTCGGACGTAGCAAGTCGACGCCCAACGGACAGTCCACCTTTAGCAAAAGGACCTCGTCGTTGATCCATCCGCAGACAGAACCGATTCCCTCTAACGAACAAGACGCTCTTGTCAGTGAACTGGTACAGGCGAAGACTGCCGAAGCCATCGCTCGGCAGGAAGCGGACGAGTACAGGCAAAAGCTTGAGACTCTGCGGAAAGCCTGCGGTCTTGCTCTGGGTGACATATCGGCGGCTTCGACGGCTTCGGGCATGATCGGACGATCCACGACTTCAACAGCCGAAGCGAGCGCTGGAAGTGGTGCTAAGAGCGCTGCTCCCGCTACCGCGTCGACAGCCACCACTAATACGGGTTCTGGCGGCTTCTGGGGCTGGCGGCGGTAGTCACTGCCACATGTACAGTGCCTTTGTCGTGTGTAGCATTTTCATTCGCGAAGCATAGAAATGAGGAGGCAGGTTTCGATTTCGGGAGCGGGCATTGCGAGATAGATGCATTAGACCAAGTTGTAAGTGGGAGGAGCATTTTCAATGGTGGCTTGTCACAACCAGCATCTGTATGGACTTCAATCAGTTTAGTCAGGGATGTTGTTGGCATTCGATAGATTTAACGAGGGTGGCACATCAGCCTCGGACAGGGGCTTGTTCCGGTGGTGGGACAAAGCAATGAGCAAGCAAGCAGCCTTGGAAATACATGCGTAGAGATTGCTCTTGCTCGGGGTTCGACCATGCAACAAAAGTCCGGTGCGGTGGAGATGGAAATACTGTCGATGATAACCAAATCAGACCAAATCCAAGTATTTACCAACTACCTAAGTACCCAGTCTACCATGCGCCTTGCTTCGACGTTTTTTTGATAGATGAGACGCTGGCACGCCGACACGCTGTCTCCGCTTGGGTGATGACGAAGCGAGTGGTTTCGTCGACGGTCGAAGATCAGAGAACGTCCTGGTGCAGATCGGGGAGCACAGGACCAGGTATGCCAGGTTATGCTGGACAGTGGAATGCGTCATTTGGACCTGTCAGCTTGTCACCCCATCCGTGCCATCCATCCACGACCAAAATGGGGGGTTGGTCGTGTGCCGTTGCGATCGATTCACATTTCACATGCAAGCTTGCCTCAGGTGGGGAGCTCCCCCCTCCCCTCCAGTGACGACATGTCGTTTCTTGGACTCTGCCCGGTCTCTGGCAAGTTCATCAGCCTTACGTACCTCGATCAAAAACCTGTCTATACGCGACGCTAGATTTAGCTAGAAGTATGGGAGGCCACGTTATTTGTGCTTTTTGAGACAGCCAGTTAGAGGTAACAGGTATGGATGTTTGTGTTGCTGGAGTTGGATGTGGGATACGATGATGATGGTTATTGTACTCTTTTGGCGAGGCAGCTCGTCAGTGATTCAACCAGTGATGGCAATGGATGGGCAGCAATTGGCGGCAGGTGGGGCCCGGAGCTTTTGAGCAGCGCCAGCTGCCAGGGAACTTGCCTGAAAATTGCCTGATGGTGGTTGGTCCAGGCTTCTGTCAGTGGACCTGGCCCGCTACAGACCGTTGTTACAGGTGGGAACTGGGCAGCTCGGGCACTGCGAAACTGGCGTGGCGTCATAGCAGCTCAACTGGAGTCACTAGCCACAGTGACACAGGCAGACCCGGGCACTAGCTCGCACCGTACCTTGTCACAGTCTTGCCTGATGAAATCACTCCTATCTGCCTCCAGCTTTGCTTGTGTGCCCATGCCCTGCTTCATCACCACCCGTCATCTCTGACCCATCTGCATCTTCCCCGACCCCATTCTCGCTGCTCGGTTCCTCTCCCACAACCAACACCAAAACCTTACACGAGCACCACCACTGCCTTCAGACTCCGTTTCTGCTGCATCTTCTCCCGCCTTTCTCTCCTGCAAGAGATACAGCATCGTCAGGTCAGTACTGCAGCTTCTTGTTTTGTCTCTATTGACTGAAAGACATTGGCTCACCCACAAAGCAGAAAGCATCCGGTACTCCGACCCAACCTAACATCGCTTCTCCTCTACCACAGCCCGACCACACAACCACAACAGCCAACACCACAAGAGCCTTCACAATGGCCGATTCTGCACCCGACCAGCACACTGCCAACGGCAACAGCACCGTCGACTCCCTCAAAGGCAGTAAGGTGAGCTATCCCGACGACATCCCCCCCGCTGTAGGATATGTCTGGCTAACTATCATCAAGTGTTTCAAATCAAATCAGCTCCCAAGCTGCTCCCCTCAATCGCCCGACGTCATGATAGCTGACATTTGTGAAACTTAGATGCCCAAGCTGCCTACGCCCAGATCTCAAATGGTATGTCCCTTCTGCTGCATTCACTACTGTTGAGCTTTTTATCGCAGCATCATCCCTAACACGTGCATCTCGCAGGCCCCGTTGCCCAGAACGTGAAGGACCAGAGCCAGAAGACCACCTCCGAGTTCTCCAACCTCGCCAGCGCCCGACAGACACCTTCGCAACCCGCTGCTACCGGCCAGCCCTTGACTCATTACCACTCTTTCTTCTCGGAGCTGCTGTCGTGGAACAACCCCCGTAAGCCCCGACCTGCCCTCGTGACCCGAGTCTCAAGTACTGATAAGGATTCCTAGGAGCTTCCGGCATCGCCTATGCGACCGTTGTCGGCCTGATCTTCGCTGCACGATACCTTGATGTCGTTCGATACTCCTTCAAGCTCACCTGGATGGTCCTGGGCGTCACCGTCCTTGCCGAGGTCCTTGGGAAGACGATCCTTAGTAACGGTCTGGCTACTCAGCTCCGACCTCGCAAGTACTACACGGTCCCCCGCGACACCCTCGATGCCATGATTGGTGATGTCCATGAGCTCGTCAACTTCTTTGTCATTGAGGTCCAGCGAATCCTGTTTGCCGAGAACGTCCCGGCCTCTGCTGCTGTAAGTTTTCCTATCAGCGATACTCGGGCTTAATTATATGTACTAACAAGCGTTCGCCAGGCGGCCATTGGTGCCTTTATTTCCTACTACCTTGTCAAGATTGTGCCCTACTGGGGACTTGGCCTGCTGTCCACCACCATCCTGTTCTTTGCGCCCCTGATCTACACCACCAACCAGGAGCTCATTGATCACCACCTCAAGAACGCCTCCAACATTGTCAACAACCAGACCGAGCAGTTCCGCACCGTCGCGTCCAAGCACACTTCACAGGCAACTGAAATTACCAAGCAGTACATGGGAGACTACACTGCCAAGGCCCAGCAGATGCTCCGTGGAAGCCGAGCATCTTCCCCTGAGGCTACCTCGCGCCCTGCTCCTCAATCTGGCCTCAAGGACACCGATTTCCCCGAGGCCCCCAAGGAGGAATTCGGTTCCCGGGAGCACGACCAGTATCCTCAGGAGCAGTACAAGCACGAAGAGCCCGAGATCAAGGGCGAGGGCGAGCCCCTGATCGCTGCCTAATTTGGCATCGAACAGGCCAACAACTATCTCCCCGACACGTGTAAACCACATAGACCTACGCACTCTTCCACCCCCGACTGGTACGACACGACAACTTATATGACTCATGGCATAGAGAGACACGAAACATTGTGACACGGAGGCTTCCTGGACGGATGCTGAAAGTTCTTGCAGATGGCGTTCCTTTGACAATGGCGACGGGCGACGAGTGGTTAGGATCCTGGCGTAGGGCTATGGAGTTACATATCTGATACTTGTCGTTCGACAACTTTCTGTGGATGACGAACCTCTTGCTTGGCTTGGCACAGAGCAGAAATACACAGTAACTTGACAATCCGAACAGTGGTCTTCGATTACCTGGTATGGTTATCAGGATTGATGAGCACATGGATTGAGCAACGAAGCAAAATGGAGGATGGCTGGGTAGACGTAGCCATGGAAAGAATGGCCATTGCAACAGTTGTAAGGAGTTCACGCATGATGTGAGAGCAAGGGCTTGCGTATTGTTCAATATTAATTACGATGTTTTCCTAATATGTTTGATGCCCCGGTGGTGTGAATGCATATTTTGTCGTCCATCTGTGATCGTGATGTGTCCCGTGTACAGCTAACTACCTCTTTTCTATGGAATGGTCCAGCTGCATCTGTGAAACAGCCGAATGATCATGTTAGGTGTCCATGTAAGTTCACACGCTTTTCTTCTCGCCTGGCTTACTCGGCGGCGTGGTATGTGATTCCTCTACTGGCTGCTTCTCTTACTAAGTGGGTAGTTGTACTTGCTCTCCGACTGACTAGGGGGTGAAAGTGCCGGTGGACAGATGACTGTATTCCCATGTGAGATGGGCCCTCCCAGAGTCTCTCGCCTCGCCTCGCCCCGCACCGCCCAGCGACCAAGTCTTCGCGACTTCATGAGCATAAGATAAGGTAGGGACTGGAGCTTGGGATTGGGAGTATATGCTTCTTTGGGGAAACGTCCTGTCAGGCCATCGCTGTCGGTTGTATGATATCTCGATTCTCGCAGAGGGATTGCGTGCTTTTCCTTTTCGTGGTATTGATTACCTATTTGGTGTAATGTACTGTACTGTACTGTACGACTGGTTTATCTTCGTGGAATGGGTGGGTATGTTACCTTTGATTAGACATGCATGTGTATATTGAGTACCAATCATCCTGTAGGTATGTAACCTAGTATGGATGATTATGTGTGTATATTTTACCTTTGATCTTTGTAGATGATGGTAGTACTTAGCGGGTGCCATTCCATGCAGGAAGGCAGGCCCTGGAGCTGTCCACTGATAGAAACACATGGCCGGACATGTTCAGGCAATTGGTAAGACGCTCACGCGAGTCCAATCGGCAGCTGTCACTCACTTGAAGGACAATGAAGCGCATCTCATAGTTCCCAATGGGCAGTCGGAAAGGATAAAGCACCCCAGTAGGTATTTTGGATTGGAATAGGCAACGATCCTTTGGTTATCCCACCAAATCTGCTACGGGATCAACACTCGCTCCAGGTGATTATACAATTCTCCCACTCACCTTCTAGGAGCATCAAGCAGACGGTGGGTATAAAGGAAATCATTCAGCAAGCTCTTAAGGAGAAAGATCCCTATAGGAATTGTCATACAGTATACACAAGACACCCAAACTGAAATGTGTCGTGAAAGGCCCTCGGGAGCAACAATCCATCACACCACTAACGCCGTCGGCCTTTCGTCCAAACTTCATAAGGCTATCCCTGAAAATTAAGCAATGGTATACGGCGAAAGCATATCTGCCAGGATTGCCTCTGACCCAAAGATGAAAGCCTGTGACTTCCATAGCATGCTTGCTCGTCCGGCTTACTGTCCAAACTTCGAGCTCATTCGCTATCATCCATGGCGAAATCATCACTCTCCGGATCGTCAACTTCCATGACATCCTCCTCCTCATCTTCATCATCGTCGTCAATGATATAGACTGGCTTAGCCTTCGCAGCAGCCGCCCGACCAGGTCTGCCACGGGCAGCCGCGCGAGGGGGCGGGGAATCATCAGCCACCTGCAAATCATCATCGTCCTCTTCGTCCTCATCCATATCAAAGACGTCCTTTGCAGCCTTGGCCTTGCCCTTCTTGGCGGCATAAGCCTTTGCCGCTGGTGATAGTTGCGTCGGCTTAGGGGCTGCTGCCTTCTTAGCCGGTGCAGCCTCCTTCGCCTTGCTCTTCGGTGCTGCAGCTTTGCCACGGGCTTGCTTGACTGCGGGTCGAGTAGCAGCAGGCTTGGGCTCCTCCGATGAGGAAGCAGGAGCCTTCAGCTTGCTTGTCATCTTGGACACGGGAGGCAGATCGTCATCTGACAGGAAGCTGTCCAAATCGTCACCACGAGCTTTCTTTTGTGGTGATGACTTGGCGAGCATTTCGTAGTTCGTATCGTCTTGACTATCCACGTCGAATGTCTTCGAGGGCTTGGTCTTGACCTTCAAGGAGGCATTGCCGTGGCTGCTCTCTGGTCGTGACATAGCAAACAAACTAACGCGGCCAGTCTTGTCCTCAGACGCTTCGGCAGCATTGCTTCCGATACCCTTGACTAATGCACCAACATCACCAAGCATCTTATCGTCATCGCTGTCTGATTCATCATCGTCGACAATCCAGGTGTTTTTGGCCTTGCTTGCAGCAGCTCGTTTGCCTCGAGCTTTGACGGGCACGTCATCGTCATCATCTGACTGCTCAACGACTGCGGGTTCCTTCTTGACAGATTCCTTCTTGGCCGGCTTGCTCTTCAGAGCAGCGTAATCGTCATCGGAGAAGGGATCTGAATCGTCCGCTCCATCCTTTTGAGACTTTCCGAACTTCTGAGCAAAAGTCTTGGATGTCGGTTGAGGAATCCGCTTCTCGACGATCTTCTCGGGAGCCTTGCTAGTCTTAGCAGCAGCCTTGGGAGCAGCTCTTGACTTGGGAACACTAGGCATGAAGTCGTCATCGCCTTTTGCCTTACGACCGCGACCGGCACCAATCTTCTTGGATGTGCGACGTCCCATTCGGCGGATACCGGTGCTGATCTCAGCATCGAGGCGAAGCTGGGTCTCCCATTCGGCTTCAAAGTCGTCGAGGTCTTTGCACCACAGATCTTTCTCACTGAGGGCCTCCAGTTCATCGTGCTCAGCCTTCTTCTTGGCAATCTGTTCTTTGAGACGATCAAGACGCTCCTGTGTGAAGGACCAGATGGGCATCTACCAAGTGTTAGTGACAACGCTGGCCCAGCAGGGGGCCGAAAACATACCGAAAGGAGGTAATCATAGCCTCGTGCGCCTTCATCATTCTCAATGTCCTCCTTGAGCTCGTCGTTAGCGTTGTTGTTGGCCTCATCTTCCTCTTCCTCTTCCTCTTCCTTGGTCTTCTTTGCGTCTATGTTCTTGGCAAATGCCTCGTATTTGCGCTCGCGAAGTTCCCCAACGATGATCTGTTTCTTCTTGCGTGATACCACAAGCTTATTGTCCATGATCTCTTGGATGAACCGGGCCTGGTTCTTCAGCTTTCGGTAGTCTGAATGGTAGACGCCGAGCCAATGGGTCTATGCATGTTAGCAGTGCATTGCAGGAACATGACCGGGTATCCAGGCTTACCTTGCGCTTGGTGTACATGTCCATTCGGAACAGGTAGAATTCTTCCAGAATGTCCTCAACCTTCTCGTACTTGCGGATCATACCACGGGTGTCAAATGCAACCAAATTGGAGGTGGCCACTTGCTTGACAAGCTTGAACTTTTCGAGGAGGCCTTCTTCCAAGGCCTTTGTCATGTGTTTCTCGTCCATTTGGATCTCGAAGTGGACATTCTGATGGTCGTTGAACTCCTTGTAGTCCTTGATGAAGGACGGTGCCTTTTCAGCACGGATGATGTCTTCCAGTCTCGCCTTGAAGTCGTCCGTCCACATGCGAATGGGCAGCTCGCTAATGATCACCTCATTGGGCTTCTTCTCATCCTGGTACGCAATGCCGTTAAATTGGTACCGGTTGGCATCAGCAGCTTGAAACGAGGTGCCCTTCCATCCTCTGAACCAGGGGGTCATTGTCTCGAAAGGTCTCTCCTCCTCATCACCCTCGAAACGACCCATGCGTCGTCGAATGTTCCTGATGATTTCCATCGGGTGGTAGTTCGGTATGGAGGTACTCCAGCCAGTGCCGATACCATCTGCGCCATTCACCAAGACCATTGGGATGACAGGGGCATATACCTTTGGTTCGATCTTTTTGCCGTCGTCGACATTTTGTTCCAGATTTGGTTCGTCTAGCGGGCAAAACACCTTACGGGCAAAGGGTGAAAGACGAGTATGAATGTATCGTGCGCTGGCAGCGTCCGAGCCGCCCGCAAGTCGAGATCCGAAGTTTCCACTGGGCTCCAGACAATTCACGTTGTTGGACCCGACGTAGGTCTGGGCCAGACCAATGATGGTCTGCTGCAGAGACATCTCACCATGGTGATACGCCGTCTGCTCAGAGACATAACCAGCCAACTCGATGACTTTCTTGTCCTTGGTCAGGTTGCGCTTCAGGCAGGCATAGATTACCTTTCGCTGACCTGGTTTCAAGCCATCCACGACCGAGGGAATAGAACGCATGTTGTCGGCCATACTGAACAAGATCAACTCTCTGTTGACAAAGTCGTCATAGCTAACCCTCTTGGTCGAGTGGTCAAGAAAGGTTCCCGGCACAAACTTGCCCAGCCACTCTTTGCGAGCATCTGCCTTCTTCTTGGAGAAGGCAAGTTCGAACAATTCGGCTTCAGTCGGTTGCATGACGTTGAACTGCTTCAAGTGATTATCAAGGTCATTGAAGTACACCTGAGCATCTTCGTTGGAGCTGGTACCCAACCCCTTGAAGTACTTGGAATGCCACCGTTTGACTTCGGACTTGTGCGACTCTTTCCACTCCTCGTACTGAGGTTGAGTAAAGAACGACTTCAACTTGAGGGGCTTCTTTGGGTTTGGTCCCTGCCAGATTTTGACAATAGGTGTGATGAACTCTTGAAAGAAGTCCGGAATTTTGAGGAGCGAAGGGTATTGGACCTGGAGGAAGTTGATCAGCAGACCTTTGATATGGCTACCGTCGTGATCTTGATCTGCCATGATCATCAAGTGTCCATACCGGAGGCCTTTGGTGTCGGTGTAGGTCTGCTTATGCTTCAACCCCAAGAACTGTTTGATGTTTTGAATTTCAGAATTCTTGGAAATCTGGTCGATAGAAGCATCACGGACGTTGAGCATCTTTCCTCGAAGCGGGAACACTCCGATGCGATCTGGGTCCAAGATGGCACGACCAGCCACAGCCAAACTTTTGGCAGAATCTCCTTCGGTCAAGATCAGAGTACAATCTGGGCCATGCTTGGTGCCAGCCAAATTGGCATCGACAAGCTTTGCGTTGCTGATCCTGGATCGCTTGTTGCCATCGCTCTTGGCCAACAACTTGTCAGCCTTTTGTTCAGCAAAGTGGATGATGTTGTTGATTGCATCTGTCTCGCCGATCTTCTTGAGGAATTTGTCCGTCAAGTGGCATACGCCTTTCTTGCCAAACGTGCTCGCCTTCTTGGTCATCTGCTCCTTGGTTTGTGAGTTGAAAGTTGGATTTTCGATCAGGCAGTTGATGAAGATGAAGATGTGGTTCCGGATATGGTTGGCCTTGAGAGAGTGGCCCTTCTTCTTCTTGTTCAACGTCTTCAACAGGGACTCGCAGATCTGATCGGCAATGTAATTGACGTGAGTTCCACCCGTAGTAGTGGCAATGTTGTTGACGAAGGAAACCTGCTGGAATGACCCATCTGAGACGGCGAAGCCGATTTCCCAATACGGATGGGCCTTATGGTCGTCCAGAAGGACCGTCGTACTGGCCTCAGCACCCTCTTCGGCTCCACGCTCTTGTGCGATGGCTTTGGCGTACATCTCGCAGTACTTCTTCCAGTCCAGCTTGAGATGGGTATCGTTCAAGTAGACTTTGATGCCGCGTACGGTACCAGCCATATCGTAGACACGGCGGTGAAGTAGTGACTCGAGATCGTCATCAATACCGTCATCCATGCCGAACTTGGCCCAGTCTGGTTTGAAGGAGACACGAACAAAGTCGCTGGTCTTGTTGCTGGTTATCTTGGCCTTTTCCACCTTGCCCATGTTGTCTCTCCAGGTCTGCTTGTATCGCTTCCCATTCTTGGAGTCTTGACATTCGAGGGTGAACTCGGTGCTGAATACGTTGCAAAGCTTGGCACCGTAACCGTTTCGACCACCGACAGTCTTCTTCTCGGCATCATCGAAGTTGGAACCGGCAAGGAGGTGACCGAAAACCAACTCTGGAATATAACACTTCTCCTTGTCGTGAATCTCGACGGGAATACCCTTTCCGTTGTTCTCGACTATGATCTGGCCTTCCTCGCGGTTGATGGTAATCTTCATGAATGTCATGCTAGGATCTCTCTGTTTGTTGTCGGCAGCATTGACAAGAATCTCATCAAAGATCTTGTACAGACCAGGAACGAAGCTGACCTTGGGCCGCAATTCCATCTGATTTGACTCCTTATTGTAGACCCACATCTGCTGTTCCATGCGCTCGATGGAACCGATGTAAGTATCGGGACGCTTGAGGATGTGCTCCAGCTGCGTCAACTTCTGGTATGTCTCAGTCGCAGTCTTGGCCTTGGGCTTTGTGTCGGGGGAGCCATCGAGTTGCATGCTGTCATTCTCGATCTCGACCAGGGGCTTGCCGCTAGACTTCTTTGCGGGGGCCTTCTTCTGCTTCTTGGCGCTGGGCGGGGTGTGGGAGAAACCAGACTCGTCATCGTCGTCGTCGCTCTCAGGTTTGGCGCGTTTCTTGGGAACAGTCTTGGTGGTCTTCAATGTTGTTTGGGCCATCTTCTTGGGTGCCGCCTTGGTGGCGGGCTTTGTAGCAGGTTTTGTAGCAGCCTTCTTCGCGGCGGGCTTGGCTTTGGGGAGCTGCAGCAGTGGAAGATTAGTACTGCACAATGACATGGGAGACGCGTGAGTATGTGGTCGGACGAAGGGGGGCCTCGAGAGGGAAGACATTGCATACCGGCTCGGGCGAGAATGCGTCTGACTCATTCTCGAAGTCGTCATTGAAGACGGAGTCCTCCATGAGGTCGGAATCCATGGCGAAGGAGGACGCACTCGCAAGGACTCGACAGATGAGCGGGGTGCTCTTTGCAACCCTCGACGGGTCAGTTGGAAGAAGGAATGCGACAGTTGGGCGGAATTGAAGAAGCTGCTCATGAACGGGCTGCAAAAAAGAAAGGAAGAGAAGCGCCGGTGTGTTCGAGGCACGTCACAATTGGATTGGTAACGAGGTGATGGAGGGATGGTTGTTGTGTTTATCGTCGGGGTGATGTGTGTGGTGCACCCGCATGCATGTGTAAACAACAAAATCCACGGGGTCGCGTCTATGCTAATAAGTAAGCGCCCGCGTCCCTGGCAGCACTACAGCCTGAAGACTCAAGTATACATAGGTACGTATCTTCCCACTAGTCAGGCTAGCCTCCCCTATCAGTGCATTAGATAATCAAATGGCAGTCTAGAGTGCACCTGCAGTGATGGCGGCGCCTTTCTGTAATGCTCTGAAGTGCATGTGAGTGGTCAGAAAAGCCCGAGTCTGATGTGGTGGGAATTGATATCGTGGTTCGCGCCACACTTAGTGCCTTGAATGTTGCTTCCCCACTATCTGCAGCCACTGCAGCCACAGGTGCCACAAATAGGGGATCCTTGAAGGTTAATACCACTACCAATACTATACTGCACCGGCTCGATGGTGAGATGCAATTGGCTGGTCTGCTGAATCGACTGGTTGACTCGATCGTCGGCGCCGCATCCAACAACAACACTTCGATCAATACCATCAGACACCACGTTGGCCAACCAGCACCACATCAATCATCGTTCGTCATCGATGTCGAGCAATATACGAGGAGAGCTGCTTTGATTCGCGGCTGATTGGACCCGTAAAGCCACCCCGTGGCAATCATTGTGCTGGCAGGAGGGCGATAACCCGGATCCAAGCAAGCAACAGACGACTGGAGGTACGAGGTAGAAATCTGGCCATGGGTAGGTGCGTGTGGGCTCGACCTGACTGTCCAGCTGTCCAACAAGCCGCAGCATTGGCAGCTGGCCTGCACCGTGCCTCGCCGTCTTCGAAGCAGCCTACTCGCCCAAGGACCTTTCAAGATCTTGGCTACATGCCTTCCTGCTTCCACAGCTTCTCGTCCCACCGCCGACACATGGCTCTCTGGGGTCTTTTGCAAGTCATTGGGTGTATTTCTCCGCTGCCATGCTTTGTGCAACGCCTGCTGCCCATGCTTCCCAAGATGAAAAGAGGCATAAATTTCCCGAAGTCAGCATGTGCATACCCGGGATTGTCGCACACCACACCTAACCTCACCTCACCTAAGAGCTCTTCCCTCCTGTCATCCTATGCTGTACCACGGGTGTAAGTCATCTGAAACCTTCTCCTGCCAGAAGTAGCCTTGAAGAACCAGAGGCATCGCCGCTTTGGGAACTGGGCAATCAATAAAGGCGAGCGTCCCGACGAACATTGATCGTTGGCGATGCCATTTGTCTCTACGGCCGTCGTTTCTTCCTCTCCCGTACCAGTACTTCCCGCGAAATGGCTGCAACCACAGCTGGGATATCCTTCCCAGCCTCCCGTCTCATGGAACAGGCGGGGTACACTGCCCCTAGCTGCAAGGTCATGACGACGAACAAGAGCTTGATTACGTACGAGCTGCAATTACACGGGACAGTACGGTTTGGCCTCAAGTCTCGCGTCTGCGCGCTCGACAAGGCAGGGTCTCTCGTCCGTGCTTCATCCTGTCCAATGTAAAAAGCCCTCCACTCACTATATCCGTTTGTAGGCTGCGCTCGCCTTGGGATGATTTGCCTAGAGTTGGCCAATCTGCTAGCCCACGGATGGCCGCATTTCGTAGCGCTCCCAGAGCCACAATATGCAGAGAGACAGGCTCAGGGGATGAGTGACTCGAGGACCCTCCTGCGCCCGCGGCAGCCTGGGAGAATGCCGAGCCTACGCTTGTCCTCCAAGCAAATACTGCTGGAGACTATGGAGGGGCCAATCACCGCCAACTAGGTCCAGGGCCCTGCTTTGCTCCCAGTCCAGGTCCAAGCCCTTCATCAGAGCTTCAAGTCGCCTATCGACGCCATCGTCTCTCGCCTATTGTATATCATGACTACTGTCGAATCCAAACATTTCTCATAACCAGCCTTTCTTCTTTTCACTTTATGGGAATTCCGCACAGCATATATCTCATTTCGCCAAAGGTAGCCGACGATCGATGGAGACTAGTACGGATGATGGTCATCGTTGTTCAGAAAAGGGTAAGCCTCCGCCTCTGTGTTTCCCTCGGACACGCTCTGTGCTTGTACACTTCCAGGCTCGTGGGGGAAACATGGGTCGGTGTGGTGACAGCTACAATCTCCGCATCTACTGCAGATGTAGCCCGCGGCAAGTCCCTTTCGGTGCTTTGAATGCTTCTCGAAAGACTCATCCGTGGATTCCTTTCTACTGGGAGAAAGGGGCCCTACGTGGTTCTCGGCTAAGCACAGAGACCTCTCCACCCAACGGAGTCGCCTTCTCGGCGGTCAAGCCCAAGCTAGGTCTTCAGTAAGGCTTTATGTCTTTGATACATGGCCAGCGAGGCTTTCTGTCGCGGCTGCAGGTGATAAGTTGACGGCAGTGTCTCCCTACCCCTCTGTGCTGGGGGGATGGGTACACGTGTGTCGAGTCAAGCAATTCTTGTCTGGGATATGGCTGCTAACCACAGTCCTTTCTTTGTTCTCCTATCCCCAGAAGCCCGCCTGGGCTGGGAACTTGGACGGCACCATCTGCGGGCTGCCGACAGGTTGCTTTCTGTCAAAACTCCTGCTGCATTCTCCAAACAACCCGGTCCCTGTTTGGGCTATCCACCAGAGGGTATTTGCTGTGCCAAACTCATTTGTTGTCTCTAGTGACTGATGCGCTGCGTCACGCGGTCGCCTGTGGTCGCCCCTTTCGGGCCTGGGCTCTGAACTGGTGGAATCTAATGAAACCTGCTTAACCTCGATGCTGTCCTGGATTCCGCGAATCGACTTGATACATCTAGACTTGCTTGAGTCCCCATCTCGTCGGCAATGAGACGGAGTCGACGGCACCGTTTGGCGAACCTGGAGTACTGGTTCCGAAACGCCCGCCAGGAGGTCGATCACTGTAACCGGTCAGCGTCCCTCCCCGTCTCTCGCTCTCTGCGTCCCGGCGCCGCTGTCTTCGTCTTGGATAGATGACCCACGACGGTCTCCGTCCTCGTCCTGCTTCGCAAAGAGCCCCCGTCATCTATCACTTCGTGGCTTTGAACTCGATCTTGCAAAAAGCGGTGGACGTGCACAAACGCGCTTCTCTACTCTCACAGGTCGATTCCAAGACATCTTCAACGAAGGAAGCTGCACCGAATACACCGGCCAACAAGGCAGCACCGGACACCGCCCAGTGCTCTGCAGATAGCTGCATGACTGGGCACAGTCAAGGAAGAGAGCAATCTCGGCCCCCTTGTGCCAACGTCGGCTCGTCGTCTCGCGAGGGTGTACTTCAGCGACTCATCTGTTTGCCCGGTTCAAAAGGACTTGGGTTTCCTCTCCCTCAGCTCTCCGACCTGCCGATGCAAGCGCTGTCTTGAGTTCTACGTCTCTCGTCTTGCGGCCTTCCTTTCCGTAGACGAGCCAGTTGTAACCTCACTTGCAGCAATACTCCATACAGTTCAGAGACATCCCCCCACAATCACTCACCGCCATGCTTTCCCTGGCATCTCTTCTTAATCCTGCCCCTCCAGGGCCACCAATCATTCGGTTCCCCCCAAGTCCAGCCTCGTCGTCCCCAACGACCTCTTTTGCTGACGACTCTGCCTTCTTGGACAGGCCTATGATGCCAAAGCACAAGATGCCCAAGGACGCAGCCGTGTTCAACAAGAGCAAGCCCAAGGGCGTTGTCAACTTCTACCCCTTCGAGAGGCTGGACGAAGCGTCGCTCAGCCAGGTCAGGAAGTTCCAGGTCTACCCTCTCGGGAAGATACAGGAGTACTCCCGGCATATCCCCTACAACAGCGGGAAGAAGGATTTCTACGAGAAGACTGGTCGAGAAAGCTTCGAAGGTAAACACTCACGCACGGTTCCGAGGTTCGCAAAGCCGCCCAGACGTCGTTGACCCAATCACAGTCTTTCAATATGTTTTCAGAGTCCCCGGAGACGACGCCGAGTATGCTGTCATGTGGGACTACAACGTCGGCCTCGTTCGCATGACTCCTTTCTTCAAATGTTGCAAATATCCCAAGGTCAGTCAGTCTCCTTTCGCGGTAACAAGTCCAATGAACTGGAACTAAGCTTTGTAGACAACCCCAGCCAAGATGCTGAATTCGAATCCCGGCCTCAAGGAGATCACCCACAGCATCACGGGAGGCTCAATCATGGCTCAAGGTGCGTGCACTGCACTACCAGAATTCCTTTCCTATTCCATAAGACATTTAGCTGACAACGTGCACAAAGGCTATTGGATGCCGTATCACTGCGCAAAAGCCGTCTGCGCGACCTTCTGCCACAACATCGCAGGAGCTCTGATCCCGATATTTGGACCCGACTTCCCTTCGCTCTGCACGCCGGCCGAGGCGCCAGAGTACAGCCGCATGATCATCGATCCCGCGGTCGTGATCCAATCCACACGCGAGGCGGACCACTTCCGCCGGCTGTATAGCAATATGGTGACCTCGGGGAGCAACAACGGCAACAGTAACGGCAACCTGAGCCCCAAGCGAGACCGTCGCGTGTTCCGGAGCCAGTACGACGACAGCGGTAGCGGCAGTAGCAGACACCACCCTCGTCACAACCATCGCATCCGGAAACCCTTCATCTGCGACAGCCCCTATGCTACGGACACCGACGGCGAGATCTCGCCCGCCACGGGCCGGGGCAGTATGGGCCGAGAGCAGCACCGCTTCATGTACTCGCCGATCACATCCGTAGCGCCCCTCCGACCCAGCAACGGCGGCGGCGGTTGGACGCCAGCCAACCAGCCTCCTCACCCTCTGCCTCTCGCTCTTCCTCCTCCGCATCCACACCCACATGGACACTCGCACTCCCATTCCCACTACGAGACCCCCGGTCCCAGTCCTTGGCTCAGCGCGGTCCCGCGGTTCACGACGACAGCGCATCTGCCGCCTCCGTACCCATCTCCGCACGCCCAACCGCAATCCCACTACCCACATCCACACCCAAACACTCACTCCCATCCCCATGCTCACTCCCAGACACAACCCCATCCGCATCCGCATTCCCACTCACAGTCCCATCCGCGCCTCCGCCCTCACCCACTCCCGCCCCCGCTCCCTCAGCCCTGGCGCGCCAAGCGCCCAGCCGAGCACATCGACCCGGACTACGAGTACGATAGCCACAGCCACAGCCAACGGAGCCAACACACAGCAGCAGCCACGACGTCGTTTTCCCGACCCTCATCCGCCTCCAAAGCCACGACCACGACCGCCACGTTGAGCCCGCTCGACGACAAGCGGACGGATGCTGCGGGTGCGTCGGCGCTTGGAGCGGACAAGAAGGCCGCGCTGCTGCTGATGAACCTCAGCGTGCGGGATTCGTTGGGGATGGGGAAGGGGAAGGCGCGAGAAGGTGGTGTGGGAGGGGGTGCTGGTGGAGGAGGAGGAGGAGGAAGCATGGGTGGAATGGGTGGTTTAGGTGGTATTGCCGGTGGTGGTGGAGGGCTTGCTAACGGGATGACGACGCCGGAGACGACTTCGCCTCGTGATGGGGCGTTCCCGCGGATCAAGAGGATTCGGTCCAATTCGATGTAGTTAGTTGACGGGCACGGTAGACGAGGCGAGGCGAAAAAGGAAAAGTTGGGTGCATTTTGGATAAGTACGTGTGGAATTGGATCTGGCCAGATTTGGATTGGGATTGGTGTGAAAGGAGAAAGGGTGGGAATGACCAATGGTTGGTTGGGTGAATGGCATGCATGTATCGATGGGATGGATGGCTTGTTGGAGTCCTGTCTATCTACCCTACCCAATGTCAACCAAGTTTTCAAGAAACACATGCTGCCCGTGGGATCATGTTGGATGCCTGTCTGGTGGAGGTGGAGGTGGTTGTTATTGCTGTTGCTCATCTTGCTGCCTCAACGCTAGCTTTGTGTGTGTGCTGGCTGGTTGTCTATCACCTGTGTTTCTCTGTTCCTCAGATAGGGCGCAGGGAATTGTACTCATACTGATAGAACACTGAAGGACGTGCTGGGAGGTTAGAGCAAGGCCACTCACTGGGTGGAGTCACTAAGAAGAACATGGAGCATTGACTGACCAAATTCTCACACGTCTACTATTCACTTCACATAGCGAGCGTGACCGATCATCAAACAGATCATAAATTGATGACAGTGAACCCCTTTCCTCACCCCACTATCCACCACACCAAGCACAAAACCACCCATCTATCCCCCACCCCTCTCGGCCGCCTTCTTCATCTTGAACTCCTCCACCCACGCACCCGCCCGATCCTTAGGCAGCACAAACACCCTCACAACCTGATCCACGACCTCGACCCTACCCCCCGCCAGCGCCTTCAGCAGCGGCGCCTTCTTGCCGACCTTGATCAGCCCGCCCGCCACCGTCTCCATGTAGCACTCCACACCGACCAACGTGTACTCCCGCCCCTTGTCCCAGGGGAGCGGAAACACGTACCCCAGGTGGTCGGCCAGGCTCTCGGTCTCGGTGAAGGTCTTGATGAAGTCGGATTTCAGATGTGCCGGGTACAGCAGCACGGCCGGGAACGCGAGCGCGCTGCGCGGGTCGTCGCCGTCGGGCACGAGTTTTATCTCTGCGTCCTCCATCTCGGGCGCCTGCTCCGTGCGCCTGGTGCGGATCTCGCGCGCGCTTAGGGCGGCCCTCAACAACGTAACCCTTCGCCGCTCGCGCGCCAGGCGCTCGTCTTCCTTCCTTTGCTTCGCGAGGACCTCCTCGTTCTTTTTGATGATGTCCCGCGCGACGGCTTTCAGGGACGCGTTGTCGGGGGAGATAGATAGACCCGCCGCACACGCCTCGTCGGCGTCGGCCACGCGGCCCGCGGCCAGGAAGGCCCGCGCGCTGCGGTAGTACGCCTTTAGGTTGCAGTCGTTGAGGCGCAGGGCCGCGGCGCCGTCGAGCCAGCACGAGCGGTGGTTGCGGAGCTCGAGGTGGCAGGCCGCTCTGTTCACATACAGCGACTCCAACACAGCGCGTTGTTTGTCGACCTCCTCCGCCTCCTCCTTGGACAGCTTCGTAGCAGGGTCAGCTTTCTTCGCAGCAGAGGCAAGCTCGCGGTCCTGCTTGCGCGCGCGCTCCTCGGCGGCCAGGATCAGCACGCCCTTGGTGTAGAACTCCTTGGCGTCGGCCCAGCGTTTGGCTACAAAACACTCGTTGCCGCGCTCCTTGAACTCGACGGCGTTCTCGAGCGGCGTGCCCTCGTACGCGAGCGCTTTAAACGCCTCGGTCTCGTCGTTCTCCTCTAATTCTGTCATGAAGAAGGGCGTCTTCTTCAGGTCCGCTACCACCTCGTCTACCGTCTTCTTCTCCGCCATCATGGCCCGGCCCGGCGACAGCTCGGGGAAGACGGCGGCTGGTGCTGTTGCTGTTGTGGGAGCATTTTGTGTTGTTGTTGTTGTTGTTGTTGTTGTTGTTGATGGCGGTGCTGCCGCTGCTGGTTTTGAGCTTGTAGGCGGTTGGGATGCTTGTGATGGTTGTGGTGAGGGTGCTTCGGGTTGTGCCTGAGATTGTGACTGTTCGAGCCTGAGGCGCTCTGCGACCTCGTCGCTGATCTCTTCGATGCGCATCATCTCTCACGGCGCGTCAGACTAGGTGGAATACGGCCTTGTATTTGTGTTATGTGTTGCGTTAAAATCTTGAATATCCAGGGAGTTGGCAAGAGTCAAATGAATATCAAAAGTATTATCATGCTTCTTATTGCTGCCTCGTGAAAGTGAAGTAAGAATTGTGCAGCCTTTCTCCGATCGCTGCTTGAGCTCATAGCGAGACTTGTGGGGCAGCCAGAGAAAAAAGTTTGGCCTTGTTGACTCCGATGGGCGGCGATGGGGTGACGAGATATGCACATATACCGTATTATTTGCGTATCTGTCTATAGCTCACCCAGACATATGGTGTCTACAAATCAGGGGCGACGCTGTAACGGAAACAGAAAACACCACCAAGGAGGCCGTGATCTTTTCGCAAGTTCAAATGTATTCGCCTTTTAATTCAGCGCCACATGCTCTGTCTATCCCAATCCCCGTCCAACCGCTCCATCTCATCTTACACCCATCTACCTACGCAACAACCCCACTAGCCTCATCCTCCCTCTTCTCCTCATCCGCCGGCACGTCAGCAACCGCATGCCCGTTGACCTCGGCCAGCGCACTTCCCAGCGCCTCCAAGAACCGCGTGACCTCGCACTCGGTACCGACCGTGATCCGCAGGCAACCCAGACACCCGTGTTCCTTGCCCCTGAACCTTACGACCACACCCCTGCTCTCCGCCAGCATCTCGTACACCTTCAGCGCGGTCGCGTTGTCGGGCTTGCCGTCCCCGTTCAGCATCTCGTACAGCAGGAAGTTGCTCTCGACGCCTCCGCGCAGGCGGCCGACGCCGCGGACGCGCGGCAGCTCCGCGATGAGGCGCTCGCGCTGCGCGACGAGCTTCCGCATGTTGGCGCGCATGGTCGCCAGCCCGTCGGTGGACACGGCGTGCGACGCGAGCGCGCTCGTAGGGCTCGAGATGTTGTAGGGCGCCTTGAGGCTGTTGAGCAGGCGCGCCACGGGCACTGGCGAAAAGGCGGCGCCCAGGCGGATGCCGGCCAGGCCGAAGGCCTTGGACAGCGTCTGCATGACGACGAGGTTGGGCCACTCGCTCACCCACTCGGCGAGCGAGGCGCCGTCGGGCGAGAAGTCGATGTAGGCCTCGTCGACGACGACGATGCCGTTCCAGGACGCGTGCTCGAGGACCTGGCGGACGTCGTCCTTGGCGATCAGCGAGCCCGTCGGGTTGCCGGGCGAGCACAGGTAGACGAGCTTGATGTGGTTCTGCTCGTCCGAGAGCGCCTCGCTGACTTTGGGGACGTCTAGGCCGAAGGTGGGTGCTGGCAGTAGCGGCACCTTGACCAGGCTCACGTCGTTCACCTGTGCCGATACCGAGTACATGCCGTAGGTAGGTGGACAGACCAGAATGCGGTCTTGTGCCGGCACGCAGAAGCACCGTATCAGGGCATCGATAGCCTCGTCACTGCCAACACCAACAAACAGGTTGTCCGGCGTGGTGACCTTGTCTGTGTGGTGGTGGGTATTCCGCAGATTGCACAGGAGCTGCTTCAGATCCCGCTGGTGAGGATCGGGGTATCTGTGGAGGCCCAGGAAGTCGATCTCGGGGCCGGACCCCGACTTCGCAGCCGATGCGGCAGAGGCCGTTAATGCAGGCCCGTAGGCGTTCTCATTGGCATCCAGGAGGATATTGGTCCCGTCGTCCTTGTAGTCACTATAACACATGTCAGGATCTGATCATGATGGAAGGTGTAGAGATTTACTCCCGAGCGCAGCGGTACGGCTCCAGCGCCAGGATGTTGGGCCGGGCACAGGTTTCGAGGTTGAACGGAGACATGGTTGGTGATTCACTGAAGACGCCAACGTCTTTGGAACCTCAATCACCTCGTAATGAACCACCGGGTATCAGAATATAATGGTATTAAATACAACCGAAGGTATGACTCCTATTATAGGAGATGGTCAATGAACAGGGACTTCGTGTACTGAGTCACAGTCGTATCGCTATCGTGGAGCCATGGCCGTGCCGCTTGGGGGCATCCGATCGGAGGAGCTGCTAGGAAAATCTCAATTGGCGCATAAGGTGGGGGTGCTGTACTGCTGAGGTACATACCTCTTATATTGCGGAGAGTGGGCACCACTCTAGTGGTTCAAGTCAAAAGTCAAGCGCATGGCGTTGATCGTCAGCAGCATGAGCATGGCATCAATCGTTTCAAAGTCGAGTTATGTGAATCGTATTACATTTAGTGTATATTCTAGGTATTCCGTAGTATGCTGTCCAAGGTCTGTCATAGGAACCGAACGTCCACGCTCATCCCAATGCTGTGCCGGCGCCTGCTCATTGAAGCGATCAGAAATGGCAAAACCCCAACGCCGAACCCATGCTCTCCCATTCTGATGCGCGGCATACTATGCGAAGCCGAAGAGCGGGACTATCAGATACAAGCCTCCGATATTCAAGCGCCAGTCTGCAAGGAGGATGTTGCCCGCGGATATCGATCGCTTGGTAGGTACTGGCGAAGCAGTAGGGGTGGCCGTTGAAGCCGTCCCGTTTTCTGTTCCGCCCACGTGCTTGATTTGGTCCGCGCGGAATGGCGGCAAAGCCTCTGTGACCAGAAGGCCCTGGACAGTCTCGAGAGCCGTCATCTGCTGACCTAGCCCCGGATTGCCATCATATCCTCCAGTGTACCACTTCTCTCCACAGACTGTACCATTATCTCCGCCTGAGCAGGCCTTTCCGGCTGCGATAGCAGATGCGTTAAGCAGCGTCTGCACGTCGGGAAGCGTCGAGGGCATCATCCTTGTCGTTGCCCACATGAAACGAGAGAGGTAGCCTTTGAAGGACAACATGTCCGTGTTGCAAGTATTGACCTGCTCGCAAGCATGCTCATACATGATGTTCGTCGCATTTGGGAAGGGGTTGAAGTACGAATTGGCAGCCTTCAGAAGACCGGTCGTCCGGTCGCCCCAAGTCTTGTCGCCGTTGGTGTGGTTGTAGAGCACCGCGGCGCCGTACATGTAGATACCTTGCGAATAGGAGAATGAAACTCCGTTGATCTTGGAGCAGTTCTCCTTAGAAGATGCACCATCGAAAACGTTGAAGTTCTGGTCGATAAACCCGACAGACTCGGACCAGTCATAGACTTTCTGCGCCCATTGCACGTATGTATCGTTTCCAGTGGCTCGGGCGAGACGTGCTGACATCTGGAAGAAACCGCCATTCGATACGGAGTTCTTGTAGTCCATGCCGTTCGTATTAGACTCGAAGATCTGCCACGGGAGTCCACCTCCACAGGCTGTGTCGTTCCATCTCACTACCATGGAATTCCAGATGTTGGTAGCGACATCCAGCCACGGAGGGATTGAATCATCTGGCTGGGGAAAGTTGCGCTCTGCGGCATCTAGGATGGCGAAAGACCAAAAGGCCTGGTCGTCATTGCCTTCGTCACCCTGGTGTTGCGGCACCATGAAGTCAAACGCAGGCCCGACCTGTGAGAGTAGCGCCTCGGTGATTACATCGTCGTAGCTGGGGTCACCAGTGTAATGCGAGTAATCAAGCATGGCACCCCAAGCAGCTCCAGCTTGCCACCAATAATGCGGTTTGGGGAAGATAGCTATGGTCTGGAAAGCAATCGGTCAGTCAGCTTCGCAAAATATGTACCGCAGTCAAGATCCATACCTCGGGCGTGTCTGTGACGTTTCCAGAATAATAAGCCATAGTGCCATAGGCGAGTGTGCTGGCAACACTCCTGATAGAGACTGTGTGCATGAGTTAGACTAGGAAAGTATAACATGACGCGAGTTTTCGAGTTGCTCACCTGGATCATTGATGTCGAGATCCTTGGGCGCTGTGAAGGCGGCTGCCAGCGCCGCAGCGTGAACAGATTTATAAATCATGATTGCGTGATGGTACGGTGGTTGCGGGTGCACCGGGTCAACGAAGGGGAATCGATCGCACAGCGATCTCGGGAAAAGAACCGTAGGGATGGTCAATAAAAGCGTCGGTAGGTGAAGGGAAACGCTCTCCAGAAATCAGAAAGGAATAGTAGGGCGGAGCAGGTGTAGGTGCAATCCTGAACTGGAAAGCAACGAAGAGGAAGCGAAGGAAGAGTTTTATGTAGTCTTGGAGGATTGGTGTGACTGATCAGCGAATGACCAATGACGCTAGGCAGAGAACAGACAATGGGCATCGGTCACCAATAGCTGTCCGCGGAATGAATGGGAAGAATGAATGGGAATACCTCAATTGATGGCGAGGAGACAATGTGATACCTGCTTTGAATGTTAGGATACCTCAGGCGGCTTGGAACGAAGCTTGAAGAAACTTGAAGGAGGGACGGTGGTAGGTCAATCTGTCTGGTTCTATTGACAATGCACACGAATGATGGCATCCGGCGGACAAAGAAGACGCAGCCGACGTACAAAACCCTACGTTACATCATGCACCATCCAGGAACTTGAGAGAAGAGCATCTCATTCACCTGCCAAAGCTGTCGACGGGGAGCCACGGCCGCATGCCGGTGATGATCTGGTTGGTTGGTGGTCTCGTTTCTCAGCAACACAGATCTGGAGAAGCACCGAGTTGGGGGCACAGGGTAACAGTGACAGTAGCAAGGTCATTTGACCTCACCTAGCAGACCATCGCTGGCGCGTCATATCCTCGTATCCACGTAGTCGACTTACCTATTTGCGCTGGATGGTCTGAATTGGCGACGAGGTTTGCTTGTGGTAGTGAGATACTGGTAATGATGGTTAGGATACCGAATGCTTTGGGTATTGTCGATTATTGGCAGAACCACTTTTCTTGCAATCTCTGCTCACCTGTTGGCTCCCCCAGATTGATCACCGGCAAATCAATGCGGGAAAACAAATTAGATCACGATATCAGTCAGTAAAATGGTTCTGCCAATAATTGACAATACTCAAAGCATTCGGTAGGCAGACAGCCCCATCCCCGCAGCTCGCCCGCCCTGCCGCCCCAGCGAACCCGCCCCCAGAAAGATATTCAGGGGAAACATGCGGGCGGCGGGCGGGGTGATTCTTAGACTGCGATGGATTAAGACCCCTGTCTGCCAGGGTTTGACTGGTTCTCAGCTCACAGGAGCTTCAGGGGGTTCAAGCACCTGAAACAAGAAACATCACCCCCAAATGCTGGTGGTGAGCTTCCTTTCCCAGTTGTTTGGCGCCCATCTGCAGCTTTCCCGCCCGCTTGTCAGATTGACAGACGCCACCATACCTACCTACATTCCATTAGCCGCGCGATTACAACCAGTGACGCGCGCCTTCAACTTCTGCTCAACCAATGATCAGATTCCTACTTGACGGAAGGTAAGGTACCGTCCAAACCACGAGGGTCTTGGCCCTCATGTCGCCTCCAGTTCGATGAACTGTCTGCCATGGCTCTGCCCGAACTCTCGGCTAGAATCAGCGCCATGTTGAAGGTTCATTCTTCAGGAAATGTCTCGGATATATCGGCCCAAGTGCCTCTATGGCGTAGGTGATGACCCGGCAACCCGGACATGTGTGGCTCCCTCAAGGACGACCCTGCTGCAGCCGTCGGCCCCTCGGAATCACTGGAATGTGCTTCTGACCATGCAGTCGTGGCATTCTCCCATAGGAATGAGTACCTTGCGAGGGTTACCTCCGACTCGTGTTTCGGTACGGTAAGCTCTATCGACGTTTGCGGAATGATTAGCCGATCAGGAGCCGTGGCGAGGCTGGGTCCCTGCTTGTCACATTTCTCGATCTTACTTCATCCGGGATACCGGTACTCCTCAGTGGGAAGGGCATGCATGGACAGCCGAGAGACGCGCCGTCGGGATTCAGCTCCAAAAATATATGTTGGGCCAGCTCCTGTCCAGTAACGTACAATCGACCCCTGAAGCCAAGCTCTGTGACACTAAATAATACCTGCACGCTTACTAAGGTGCGAGGAGCAGAACAACAATACGATGATGCACTGGACAACCTGCATACTCTGAACTCGCTTGCACCTAACAGTTCCCAAGCGAACCCGAAGCATGTCTCCCCTGCGGATGTTGTCCTCAATCAACCACGTGGTTTCGTGACGAACAGCCTCCAGCTTTGGACCAGTCGACTGCAACAATACAAGGGCAAATCATGGTGTGGCCTGCTAATGTTTAGAATTTCTGCCTGGGAGGCACCGACCCTGGAGCGAGCGAGCTTCCCAGGGAGCCCATGCACCCCCGTTTCGTTACCCCTGCTGCTACCTACTACGCCTTACGCCTTGCGGGGCAGCATACACGACTCCGACGAGAACCACGCACGAGCAAGTCCCTGTGCCTGTGCGCTCGTCGTAATCATCGACGTGCTGGTAGGGAATACGCTTATAAGTCTCGACGTGGTCGATCTTGCGTAGTCAGTCACATTGTTTTTGTGAGTTCGGTATATTGGAATGATCTCGTAAGCGAACAGCCCTTTTCCGCGATATTGTTCCGAGACCGACCCCCCAATCCAGCAGGGAGTAAGGTATAGCCCCGCCTTGCAAATCTGGAGCGTCACCTACGTGATGCCCTTACACTGTTCTTGATGAACCATCGGCGCGTAATACCTATATGTAGAATAAGTTATAGCTCCTGTTTGCTTTGCAAGAGACAGGTACCTATTGTTGCCGCTCTAGTATCGCGGCATGAAAGCAAATCGTCATGATTGAGCCTTCAAGCTCCGAGTTATGATAGAGATGGTGACGCAATATTGTGATAAAAGGAGCGTGTATATAGTATATGGTGGTAGTACAACAAGTTTAAGCGAATGTCGGTATGTCTCTCCCCTCAATTCCCTCCTATCAGGCCCTCCTTGCCCATCCTGTCACAGTAGCGGTGACACCACAGATCCAATGCACACTGGTATCATTGTCGACTCTCTACAAGTTGCACACCCAGCCGCCATCATCGCTGTCATCTTTGGTGCACGATCCCTTGTGGCCGTCCTCATCGACGCAGCCAGCCACGCAAGCCGAATATGACAACCACATGTAACCACTACAGGCGGGCAGGTTAGTCAAGTATCCATTGTTTTTCCAGGAAGTAAACCTACTCAGGGTTGAATTGGTTCACATCGGAGCCCGAGTGGTGGAAAAAGTGTCGTCGCTCACCGGCAACACCTGCGTCGTTGGAGCGCGGGGCGACGGTACCGGCAGTGGCCAGGGCGGCGAAGCTGAGGATGGCGAGAATGGAGAACTGCATCCTTGGTGATGTTGAGATTGGGTTGATTCCTAGTTGTAGATTGGAAGCGTTGTGTTGGAAGGATGTTGTGATAGTTTTTGGTGTTTGGTGTTGGGTCTGCTGGACTGTTGGAATGTTGTGATGATGAGTGAAGAGATAATCGTTTTCGAGGTGAGAAATCACTCCCCTTTATACCCAAAGGCATCAGGCATTGGGACAGACTCGTCAACAACGAAGACGCATTGTTGATGCCTAGATTCTGGTCCATGACGATCGAGTGCTGCCATGGCTCAACCAGAGGCAGGATACGTAGCATGTTGCCACAACTGACGATATCGAATCGCCGCCTGGCCTCCTCCAAAGCAAGTTCCGAAGATACGAAGACCAGGCAACCATGATCGACCTCCGTTTAGTCCTCGACGGACGGATTGTCATGACGTGCCTCTGCTTCCCGGACATGTAGGGCAAATGGTGATGGCTCACGACGGGCTCGCCGACCAGCCTCGACGTCAGCCTGATGTCCACTGCCAACGGAAGGGCTATCTACCATGAATAACAAAACTCAGGCAACAACGATGGCGGATGGGTTGCCAGGACGTGCCTTTGCTTTCCAGGCATGTAGGACGGATGGCGAATGTCTACGCTGGGCTCAACGACCAGCCTCTCGACCTCAGCCTGGTGTTCACTGTTCACTGCCAATAGAAGGATTATGTAGTGCGTAATGAAGTACAGGCAGCGACGATGGCAAAATAAAAATAGCAAGAAGGCTCGCACGTACCATAAGCTGTGGAAGATCCCATACAGGGAGGAATAGCTTGCTGACGGCTCTTGGGAACCTTGCAAGGGGCCCCAGCAGGCTGGGCACCGGTACAGTTGCACTTCAAATCTTCACCTACATATGCATCTATGAGTCGGTCACAATACGGTGCGAGGGATTGGTTATTCTTGGAGATACTTACTCCCTTATAATAAACGGAATCGAGGAGCATACGGGCTCCAGTGACTACAGCTGGCAGACATCTCCAACGCCAAAAACGCCAGGATGATGAAGTTCTTGGCACATGCTATGGTAACAAGGCAAAATAGGAGCCCTTGTTCATGTAGCAAAGGCCGTATGATGACTAATTTGCAATAGCTTTACCATCTCGACGGTTTTATACCACCAGATTTACTAGAACTCGTGGGCAAAACTGATAAGGGCACATCAAATTAATAATTCCACGGCCTCGGTAGCACCTTCTACCTCGGTAGTTCTTGCCTAGCCGAAGTATGCATCGGCAAAGAAGTATCTCTTCAAAACCGCACCGATTGAGTCCCATGTCTCCAGTACGGGGCTATGACATGCCCATAGAAGGGTTAGCACCAATAACTATCGCAAGGATTAGCTAAGCACAGACAGCAAATCCTCGCTGCTCTGCATAGGATTCTAGAGGAGCAACAGGTCGGTTGGGCAAAGCAGAAAGCATAAGCCGTCGATAGTCCCCTGCTGTGATGATTCGTCATCTCCCAAATCCACACCCATGCTCAAATACCAAGACTGCTTACGGCAGCAATAGTTCGTCCGTATAATCCATCAGTCTGCAGATCATCAGCGGAACAAATTGACCGTCTGACTGCCAAGAATGCCACTTGCTACATTCTACGTACTCCATAGCAGAGCGGGCCGGGGTCCTGGTTACTACGCTGCTCTACAGATGTCGGGGATGGTATATGTTAGTGGCTCCATATGCTAGGGGGTTCTGGGTCCGTATTCCTCTTGTTAGATATGCGTGAAATATACATCAGCACACGTTCTGATCGGCATTGCCTTGCAGTGCTGTAGAAGGCTCCAGGGGATGGTCACTTCCCATTGTGTAATAGCACAAAATATACCACCATATAGTGGCATATACGGACCCAGACCCCCCAGCATATGGAGCCACTAACATATACCATCCCCGATATCTGTAGTGAACATGCTAGTCATCAGGGAGACATCTTACCCCGGTGAGAGTTCTAGACCACGAACCCCTGTCCAAATGAATCCTTTATGCAAATTTGTACACCGCGTTGGTATACGACCTGCATCATTATATGCCCAGGTGCCCGCCTCTTAAATGTAAATAGGGCCATCACCCGCCTCACTTTATCTCTTCCCAGAAGCTTCAGCATTTTCAAATTGCCTTCGCCATAATATCCAGCGCAGAGACGCACAATATGCAACCTGTTAATTTGATCCTTATCGGCCTGGTCTTCTCTTTGACACAGTGGATTGGTGCAGACCAAGTCGGACTTTGTATCGAAAGTCACGGCCGCGAACTCCACCACGAGCGCCTGTACACCACTCGTACCGTCGCCTAGTTCACGTACATGCCCCCATCTTCTTCCATGTAACGGGGCTGCCGATGTCATCTGCAGTTGAATTCATTACCCAGGTGCATAGAAGTCGGCTGGAACGGATGAACGGCATCAACCATGCCGCCCCTTCCAGTTCGAGCCCGACGCACAACACACAACTTCCAACTACCTCGGTCATGGCTCGATTGCGAGCTCATACGGTCGTACCAGAAAGCTTATGTCACACTGGACCAGTAGAGGATCCACACAATGGAAGGCCTTTTGTATTCGACTTTGAGTCCAGCATTAGCGATGGTCAGCTGAAAATTAAAGTGCCCTAGAAACTGTCAATCTCCTGCTCTGTCTCTGGGCCCAAACCCTAAAATGATTCAACGTGAATTTGGCTCGGGCTTTGGAGCGGCTGCAGCAAATGGCTGCTATCCCGCACATCAGTATCGACCTCCATAGGACTTTGGAGGCTGATCGAGATGACATCGTGGCTTCTCTTGAAAGTCAAGGGATTCCTATCGGCATCGTGGAGCAGATCGTTCCTATAACACATATGCAATTGACTATGATGATGGCTAGCATTGGACCGCTATCATCATATATGCACCCCGACGAGTACTTTGTGCAGGTCGTGGACATCAATGCCTTCTGCGATGCTTCTGACGAGGTCGTATCGTCGCGCACGCCATCTTCCGGATTATGACCCTACCACCGGCCAACGTCCCCAATACATCTTCAAGACGAAACTTACTCCAAGTCATAACTTATACCGAACTCATGGAAACAGCTGACTAACTATCAATATCAAACCCATCGGGACATATAAGCGTATTCCTTACCAGCGCGTAGATGGTTAAGACGAGCGCACAGGTACAGGGACTTGATCGTGTTATATGGCACGCAAGAGGTGGCAGTGCACAGAACAAGGTCCTCAGTCTTACAGCTGCGGCGCTCCATTCACTTCGCTGAAGCCCACAATGTCAACCCGGAATACTGGCGGTCGCACAGGAAGCTTGACGACTCAGACTACCGTCTTGAGATCGCGACAGTGAGCCACGAGTGAACCACGACGATTTACGATTTATTTATTTTTAAGCTCTTCGACCGGAAGGGAGAAGCCAAACCCAAATACCCCAAAAGATAACCAAAAGCAGAGCCCCCGTGCTCTACGCTAAGTCTATCAAAATAAAATGCCACAAATCATCTCAATCCACCAAAACCTTAACCACGGAGGAGTGAACCACGACTACATCCTTCAGAAAAGAAGAAGCTCGCATCTCCAGTATATCTCGTGCGTGCAAGTCGCTGTAGAGGCGACCGGCAGGTTGTTAACAATGGAGCAAGGGTCGCCTTGATATCTACCTGCATGTATTACCAAAGCCTTCGGTAGATGCCGGGCCACTGTTTGCTCTCTTCGATAAACACTTGGTCAATTTCCTCCAGCGATTTGCCGGCCGTCTCGGGACACCAGAACCAAACAACTGTTTCATCCGTCAATGGACACACTGCGAACGGACAGCGCCGTACTTGCAAATGCAGGGGAGTATGCAGGCGCCTAACTGCCAGAACCAATATTGGAATCTCATAGCTTACTCGCTACAACACAATACCACCTCCAAAGACCATAGTGAAGGGTGATCGACCACTCGCCCACAGCACCCGCTGCGCCACCCAGATGTTGGTAGCTTGGTTGCAGTGTTCAAGGAATGCTGGATGCTGCGTAGCGCCATTCCAGCACCAAGGCTTCAGGGGCGGTGGGACGTGACAAGCGGTCCAACATCTATCTGCGTATGCTAGCTACGTCACCCAGATATCTGTAGCGCAATGGCGCAATTTCCGGCCCGTACTGGTTGGTGGATTGGTAGCCATCCATGCTGCTTTGCATGCCGCCACGGAACTTACGAGCCAAGGACATCCCATCCAGCCAAACTCAGTGATGAATTGGAAGATGGTCACGAATGCAACTGCGGTCCATTGAGTGGCCAACGTTTTGTGGGCCAAACCATTCATTGCTATGAAGCTGGCCAAGGAAGTAGTGCGTGGAAAGAGGACATCAGCTTCGTCTGTCCTTCGTATATCAGACGGACACGAGCTTGCGCACAGCCAGCAGCCTCTCCAGACCAGGTAGCGCTATTGTGCCTTCCTGACACGGCCGACTCCTCGAGCTCAAGTCACGTGGGCAACTCCGGCACAGCAAGAGGCTGCGGTTCTGATGCGAGAGCTGTGTTCGACCAACAGCCAAGGGCCAATGTGGGTGTCGTGCCGCAAGTCGGGCTCTCCCCGTGCTGTATGCCGACTCTCTTCCAGCTCCTGTGCCAGCTTCCGTACCACGTCGACTTCCACGAATATCAGAAATCACAGTTCCATCCCTAAGGTTCGTTGAATTCGCGCCGAGGCGATGAAAGCTCGCAGCAAAAGCAGATAGGACGAATTCCGGGCAAGGACCATGCGCTGTGGCTTCGTTGTGCCACTCAGTTGCGGCACGACGACACTTCGTGATCAAGACTGAACCCCTTCACAGCCTCAACCAACAACTACGTCGAGCTTCGCCGCAACAAGACATCCGCGATCGTCCTGAAGAACGACGTGACCAGTAGAGATAGGCATACATAAGCCCTTCCGTCCGGTTCAGATGAGTATCTCCAGCAGCTTCTCTTTCAACCAATTTCCTTTCAACAACACAACACATGATCATGGACGATGGGCACTCACGCTTTGGTTAGGCGTCTGATCGGAATCAGCTTCCTCGGGCTCGTGGCAGGCTAGGAACACCCCGGTATGCGGAATACCATTATGTCGACTGCGTAGTGGTGCTGATGATTCACGTTGCATTTGAGCAGTGCCAGTCTGGTGTCGCAGAAAAGCCTGACTGGTTCTTCAGTGCCGACATCGAGACTCTTGCCCACTCCTCCGCATCCTACACGACGTACGAGACCGACTCCGCGACCTTCACAAAGACATACGAGGCCAGCGCGATATATTCTTTGTCTCCATCTAGATCAGCTATGCCCAGTCCTACAACTTCTATCACCAATGCCAATGCACCACCTCAGGGCGATGGCGACCCTTCCGACCCCCGTCAAGTCGCGAAGAGATCAGACGACGCAGTCGCCGACTCCATTTCCACTTCTGTTTCGACGACTGCCGCAGAATCTTCGACGGATTCAAACAAAACTTCAACGGCCACCCCGAAATTGTACGCGTTCTCGTCAAAGTATAACACCAGTTTAACGACTTTCAAAGACTACGTCGAAAAGCTGGACAAGACCGCAGGTAACATGATCTCGTCGCCTCACGTGCCATGGCAGGGCTATCAGACGAACCTGACCGAGGCTCAAGTTGCGGCCGTAAAGGCGCAGCCCTGGCTAAGTTGAATAGAGGCAGTGCCGGATGTGGACTTTGACGCCGGCTACCCAGAGGAATTTTGACAGTTTACCGGTCACTGTCGGCAGTCCTCTTTGGGAGGAGTTCAATAAGCTTCTCGTGTTTGCTGAATACCTTATGCACCAGTTTCACCACCTTGCTTATAGTCCTAGTCCACGTTGTCGAGAATCAGCAGCCAGTTGACGTTGTCTCGCATGGCAAGCCAGTCAAGCACATCTCTTGCCATAGTCTTACGATCTTCTCTGCTGGTAGGGAATCTAGGGATACTTCTATGCCCCGTGCCCGGCACCTGGTCTTTTGAGATCTTGTCAGTATAACTAGCAAAGCCCTACTGTAGACGGTCTTAGGAAGTATTGAATATTATATGAGTTTATGCCACGAGGTCGTCGACATCCTAATAGGGAGGCTTGCACTGGCGCAGGGCAAGGCCTTGGCCCTTGGCCTAGCTCGATATAAGGACTCCAGGCGTCCCATTTAGAATCTTGTCGACTACACCATAGACACGAACACACCCAACATACACGATCTGAAGTCCCGTGAGACTTCCTTTCGTTCTCTTACAGAAGCGCTTCGGCCCAACTGGTGATCGTTGAGATGGTCGCCCCGTCTCACAGCCCCAGTCCAATATAATTAGACGTTATCATGGGTCCTTTCACCCACCTGGGTCTGGAATGGGATGCGCATATTCTCGTCGGTACATATTTTCGGTCGGTGTTGCGTTGAGTTTAACGACAAGGAGGCAGGGAGTCCATTCGCCTCGGCGCCGACAACCCACATGGGACGATTCCTGTCGTGAACTTTGATTGGTGGATTGGTTCATTTCTAAATTTAGGATCGATCGATATAGATACCACTATTCCGAATACAATCCTACAGTACAGGAATGTGAGGTTGTCGGGTTCATTGATGATCCTTCCACCCTCCAGCGGCATCCCGGCCAACTCCGCAACATACCCGCTCAATCGACATTCCTCCTGCCAGAGAGGATGTGACATGTCGGATGGTTGATCCTTGCTACACGTATCGAAGAGGCCAAGGCAGATATACCTATGGAACAGGCTATGTATTGACCTTGGTTCCTAAGCGCCGTGCGCTCTCCGACCAATGGCACATGGCATGGTGGTAGCCAATTACCCGGAGTCTAGATAACGCGGTAGGACTGTACTTACCGCTTGACGAGGTTCCGTTCGTTCAGGCCTTTGTCCCTTATTTGTAGGGCGTTTGTGGAAGTGAAATTGGGAATCCTGATTGCGTATCCAATTTTGGCGTGATTATACCCCGATGTAACCCTCACCTTGGGCATCTCCACACCGTTGACATCGTGGTCACCTTGGTCCCCTGCATATTGGGGAATCCTGCGGCAAGATACGGTATGCCGGCGGCTGTTTATAGAGAATCCGGGAATCCCAAGTGGGGTCAGGTCGCTTAACATCATGGTCCACAAGTTACAAACGCCTGGCCCGCTCTCACGAATCCCCCTTCAACTTCCTCGCAGGGCTGGGCCCGCGATCCGTCTGTGTATTCCTGGACATGGGACCGTACCTGCATGTCAGTCATGGCTGACAGGGAAGTCGGCATTCCTGGGACACCTCAAAATGCCTTGGACAGCCACCGCCGCAGAGTCGGATGTTGTGCCGTCTTGCTGCGCCTACTCGACAACCTGACATAAAGATGCTGTGCCACGCGGCAGCATGGAGTACCAGCTCTATCGCGCTCACCATCGCGCTTCTGACGACAATCAGCCTGGCAGGCGGGACTTGTTATAATCCTGACGGCAGCGCGCTGGACGACACATACCAGCCGTGTGACAGCACCGCAGAAGAGGTCAGCATATGCTGTCAAACAGGCGTGGCACTGCAAGATGGCGAGGACCACCGACACATGAGCTGCACGGATCCGACGTGGGAGTCACCGGCTTGTCTAAGCTTCTGTGTAGACGAAGACTGTGAGTCTCTGTTCTTACTTTTAACCAATGACTGTGCTAATTCCACCGTTGCAGATGCCGGTCAGGATAGAGAGATCACTGTCTGTGACGACGGCAGTTATTGCTGCGGGAGCAAGGACTCGGGATGCTGCTCCGAGCGCGGAGGGGAGCTCAGAAGGAGAAACGGAGGGGCTGCTCCACCCACGAGGCAGACAACCAACCCATCGCCGGCTTCACCCTCGGCCACACCAACCCCGACATTCACTATCGAAGTGAGCGACGTCACACCACCCGCCGAAACGACCAGCACCACCACCGCCCCGAGTTTCCCGACCATCACACACCGACCATTCATCGGGCGTCGCGGGCTCTCGAGCCAAGCGACCGCCGTCATAGCCGTCGGCGCTTCCTTCGGGGGAATAGCGCTCATTGCAGTATCGGTCTACTTCGCATCGAAAGTGAAGAGGAGCAAAGACGCCGGCGGCCAGGGATCTCTGCCGAGCGGGGCACTGCCGTCGCACCATGCGATAACGATGCAGGAGAGCTCACTTTATGCGTCGACGCAGGCGAAGATGGCGGAGGACTATTGGAAGTCGCCCGTCTGGGGCAGGACGACGGCGTACGGGAGGTCGGAGCTGGACAGCACAACGCGGCCGCTGGAACTGCCGGGGCATCTGCATTCGGCTGAGTTGCCCGCGTACCAGTTTTATAGGTAGCTAGGAATGAGATCTTGCAAGTCGTGTCTTCGTGCTATTGTGGTGGTCTTGGTTTCTGAACAATCGCATCATTGTGTTCAACAAACAAAAGACCGCGCGAGATGCGGTCCCTTAGCAGAGATCTCAGTCTCTCACGCCCCTTGGAGATATTGAAGTCTCGTGCATCCATCAATTTCGGCAAGTCGCTTCGCATTGGCTGAAACGCGATGCAACAAAACTGCCCAGGAAGCACCCGGTCGCGCAACCCCGTTCCCACCTGCGTCAAAAAGATGGACAGCAGCGACAACGACAGATGCGAAAGGAAACCAAGAAAAAGTAATGGTACAGGATGAATTTAACATCCAATTGATGGACTCGCGGGGAATCGAACCCCGGACCACTCCCATGCTAAGGGAGTATTATACCACTAAACCACAAGCCCGTATATCTATCCAATGATTTGTGCAAAATCTCCTTATGAGCTTACATATTGTCTCATCCAAATGTACCCGCGGTGGGGCCAATCATGTCAGCAATCCAGCATCGGTGGATTTTTCCTCGGACGACCTCGAAATTTTGTGACTCCTAGGACGAGATCGACTGTGCTCTTACATTGCAAACTGCGAATCACCAGGGGTTTCTGGTCTTGGAGATACTCTTGCTGGCAACCCTGTGCCTTCCGGCAGGGGCCCAGAATACCATGTTACGATGACTAGTATTCTGGATGTTCTGCTTCCTGTCTAGAAGGATGGGAGCTTGTCCCATCCGAAAGGTCTTTTTAGTCTAGATACACTGCAAACGGTACCTTGTCCCTTGGGCAACAATCCGGCCCAACCGACAAGACACCTGACAGCTGGAATCGGCTGGATCCACAACCCCGTCTTGGGGAGGGAAAGGTGGATATGGACACGGCGTGTGCTGCTGCCGGATTGCCGTGGGGCCCTTGCGTGTCGCGTGGCAACGTCATACTTCGATCTAACGAATCTTTCTAGGCATCTAGATTCTGACCAGGCCAACTTTTCATATCCTTTTCTGTCGCTCTTGTCCTTGTACATACATACGCCTTGTCTTTTGGAAAGAGGATGTCTGCTTGGGTTTCCACGGTCTTTGCATAGCTCCAGAAATTGCATCATCCGGCTTAAGCTACAGTATGGGGAGCGAACGGGAAAATGAAGAGTACGAGCTGTCCTGGTGCGCACGGCGGGAGATTGAGAACCTGAACGCTTCAGTTCAAGAGAAAGCAGCGTGCCAATACTGGTTGGACGAAGGTCGGAAACCTGTGCCCGGCCCACACAGGAAGTCGCAACAACCTTTGATCGCGCAGGTCACCAACAGTTGGCGCAACGATGAGAAAGCGCCAGGGTACACCTCGTCCACAGACGACGTGTATGACCTGCGATTGTGCGATCCAGAAGATAAGCAGAGCCTTCCGAATCCCCGCCGCAGCGTGATCACATCCCGTTGCTTCCGGATAATGATCGCAGTAGCATTTCAATGCGCACTCTTCTGGTACGCCTACAGTTGGTGTACACGACCTGGGATGATACTGGCGCGTGGAGGCGACTTTGAGGGCACGAGGATCATGGACATCGCCGCCATATATGTGCCTGGCGGCTCTGAAGATCCTCATGGGAAGCGAAGGCTAGTCTTTGTGGGCGACATCCACGGCTGCAAGGACGATTTGGCCCACCTGCTTGAGAAGGTGGGCTTCGACAAAAAGACAGACCATCTGATAGCGACCGGCGATGTCGTCTCCAAGGGTCCCGATAGTCCGGGCGTACTGGACGAGCTCATGCGCCTGGGTGCTCAGAGTGTCCGTGGGAACCACGAAGATCGCCTCCTGGAAGCCGCGAAGACACTCTCCGGCAGCAACCTTCGTCCGCAAAGCGCCGCAGCGACTAGCCGCCAAGGCCACTCGAAGGACGAGACGCTTCTGCGGCAGATGAAAACGAGGCACCTGAAGTACCTGGAGGATATGCCGCTCATGCTCCGGATACCCGTCTTGCCTCAAGCGACCGCTTCCAGTAAGCACGGCAAAAAGGAGCACATCATCGCCTCCGAGATCTTGGTCGTGCACGCCGGTCTCGTTCCTCATGTGCCTTTGCGCCGGCAAGATCCATACTTCGTAATGAACATGCGCTCGATAGACCGCCGCACGCACGTCCCGTCCGCGCTTCGCGAGACGAAGCACGGGAGAAGTCGGCCGTGGATGGAGCTGTGGAACTGGTATAACGACCGCGTCGCTTCTGGGCGGTCGTTGAAGGACTTCCATATCTACAGCGAAAGCGACTGGGAGGCTCAGCTAGCACGAGTTTCGTCTGGCCCTCTGCTGGGCCGTCTGTGGGAGGCTGTCACTGGTGGCGGATTGCCCCCCAATGCCGCAAAGAGGCCGAAGCCGCAAACTGTGGTGTATGGGCACGATAGCAAGATGGGTCTGCAACTGCATTGCTGGAGTAAGGGACTGGATTCGGCATGTGTGGGCGGTGGGAAGTTGAGCGCTTTGGTGCTGGATGCCAAGGGTAGCATGGAGATTGTGAGTGTGGGATGCAAGAATCACAAAGGTTAAAGATGGTGTTTTGCATGAGAGCGAATGGTATGCATATGGGCGTCGCGTGCTGCTCGCGCATATGTTTTGTGATTTTAGCGAGGCGCTGGTGGTTAGGTTGCAGAGTCCTTTTGTTATATTTGTATACAGCTTACAGGGATACATCTGGAACCAGTCCAGTATCGACTCATTCTTTAGCAGTGTGACCAAAGGAGTTCGCGCGTATCATCGCGCTCAAAAAGACGAGGTGAACCAAGGCCTAGGGTCCATGCCTCCAGACGGCAACTCATCAAACAGGCCGGTTCAGTGGACTACCATTCAATATTCCGACACCTGAGCATATGCTACAAAGATTGGAGGAGCCCGGTGATCGTATACAACTGTCTCTCAACATGAGTGTAGTGTGTGGGATATTTCACAATATGGGCGCCCTATTTGCGTGTCTGATCCGTCCTCCGTCAGCAGCTTATCAGCCTCTGTAGTACTGACTGGCTTCAGTGTGCGCCTTCTACGTGCGCATTTTTGCCTGTCTTTCCTGCAGTGGCTTTGCCTTCCGGAACACTCGCACCCTCCATCCCAGGACCCCCTTTCTTCCTCTACGGACGCCAACGCCCAAGCCTCGTCTGCCACGATGCACATCAGCTCAGGGTGGCAATCGCGCACAAAATTCAGGATACCGAACACGTCGACCACGTGTTGGAAGCAGCCAATGTGTTCACCCAGTGTGGCCATCCAGCCCACAGTCAAGATTATCGCAGTTTGTCTTTCCAAACACCATCGACCAGCATCCGCGAAAGACGCAGCAGTCGGTTCCGAACGCTGCCAGTATCCCCGCAGAGACGGCCGCGCGCCCGCTTGTACTGCTAGTGAGCGTGCTTCTGCCGCGCTCGTAGCCACTTCAGGCCCTGGAATATGGTCATCTTTGGGGCCCCGCATACACGGCGTCCAGCTGGCGATCAGAGGATGAACAAGAACATATCGCATCCGCCGGGTCCCCTAATCCTGATTCCCCACATTGGGCGACCGTCATGGAGAGCCTCTCAGGGCCGAGGGGATCAGCCACAGCCCGCTCTGGACAGGGACCCGGCCGAAAAAGGTAAAATGGAACGGAAAGGGGTAAAGAATAATCGGAAGATCGCTTACTGAGGCGATGATTGCACCTAGCGGCTCGCCGAGCAGTTTCCCGCCGACGTTACACATCCACGAAGATTGCTATCGCAGCTTCTAGTCTCTTCTTAAACGTATATTAACTGTAGTTCAGCGGCGTCGCACCCAAGACCGTCCCACAGCTAGGCACGCTTCTCATGCGTTTCAGAGAACATCGTCTCTGGTTGGGATCTGCCGCATAGTCACCCGTTGCTCAATTTCATGGACCTTCAAGCGATCCGTGTAGCCCATCAAAATCCCAGCCGCATCGTGACAAGCCCAGTCTCCAACCACAAACATCCGCAAATCTCATTCAGTTTCGACTTTGGCCTAGTTGTCGGGGTCGGGTTGTTTAGGTCTCTCTGGACAGTGCAGAGTGCAGCGATGGTACGTCCAGAATGGACCCTTCACAGAACTTGCGCAGCAGTTATCTCGGTTAGTCAATGTCCCCTTTGACGTCATTGGGAAGATCTTGCATGATAATCAGGTCAGGACTGGAGTATTCAGGGTCTGCTTTGCAAATGCCCCACTTTCTCCCCGCCGAAATATGTACTGTCACATGTAGCGGAAATCTACCTCAGAGAAGATAGGCAACTTGGCCGAGCGGTCTAAGGCGGCAGACTCAAGTTCATTACTTTGCTTAGAAAATAGGTATTCTGCTCTCGCAAGAGGCGTGGGTTCGAATCCCACAGTTGTCAATTTATTTTTGGGGTGATATTACGCTCATTTTGGGTTTACCCCGTTGCGCATGTTTAGGCGGGCCACTTGGACATTGGGGCACATTCCGATCTTAAACGGAATGGCCGATAAAGAAAGTGAGCTGACAGGCACATGACCAAGAGTTGAAACCAATTCGATGTGATGAGACCACGACCAGAATAGACTCGGCGTGCCGACGATGAGATGAACGTACATACGTTGTCGCGCTCGGATGCTCAGTCGTCCCGCGCTATCGTAACCCGCCTGGCAAGAGGGGGGAGGATGGATGAATTCTCGACGTTATGAAGGGAAATATAGGCATGCCCTGTGTCGGTACCGAGATGCTGCGACACTTCCGTGATGGAGATCTCCGGAAGCGGCAACTTGGGTTCCTCGCATATCCCCGGCGAAGCGGGTTCCAGAACATGCCCTTGTCTATACCCCTGCCTTTCTGGCCACTGTCCAGTCACAGGTGACCTGGGGAAAGCTTCGAGCTTCATCAGCCTCCTCATCCTTCCCCCTCGGATGCCGGAACCGTTGCATCTAGCCAATCCCGTGCTGTCCCTGGAGCTGCCGTGAAAGCGGCAGAAGGACCCTGTCGAATCTGCCGGACCTACCAGCAGATGGTCGGCCCTCAGACCACGCAGACCTGCAGACAGAGAACCTGAGAGCGAGGACCGTGACTATATATAGTCTTGGCGTGACAATAAGGTTTAGCACCCGGGCCCTCCTTTCAAAAACTACCGGTAGAGGACGTTTCGGAATCGGAACTAAACGACCCTGCATGACCCCCTTGACCGGCTTGTCAACGGCTGCCATCCAAAGGCTGTCAACTTGTTTCCCTAGGTAACAACGGCTTGACAGCTTGGGCGCATTTTGAGTCTTTGACAGACAGGCCACATGGCTCAAGGTGAAGTGACAGATCGATCAGGTCTTTCCAAGCCCACCATGGCTGTTGTTCATCTAACACGGCCTGTTCTCATAGGATGTCTACTACTCCAGTTCTGGCACCCAATGCTGCTATGGACTCCAGGCAAGATTCAATATCACAAGGCAGATTCCGGCACGTCGAAACGTTGCAAAACAGGCTGACCATCCTAGATGGTAATTAAGCGGATTGATGGACAGTCCTGAAGTTCATCCAGACCGGGAGTGACAGAACCTCCTCACCGGACGGCTACTACAACCAAGGTACATCACCGGCACGAGGTACCCATCAGGCTGCTGACATGGTAAGGTCCTATTCCGAGTAAGGTTATCTGGATTCTGGGGTTTTCGCCGCCTCCATTGGCCGTCCTATCCATTGGCCGTCCTATCCATAGGCCTGCCTCGGCCAGGTGGTCTTCCGCGCATAACCCGTGACCTTCTCGTGCCTGTAACGGCAGAGAAGAGCATCAGATCAACCGCGTGGCCCCTCGCCAACCCAATCTGGCTATCCCAACAGCCCCGAGAGATCTTGGCTATTGGGGCTCGCACCCACACAAGGCCGTGCGTGGGTCAGGTAGCCTTTGGGCCTTCGGATGATTTCTACCTGACAAGCCTTCTCTGCGCTTGAGCTTAAACACGGTCTCCATCCGTGACTCCCCTGCCATGACTCGTTTTACCCAATGTGCATCCGTCCAGCGAAGCCTCCATCCTGACACGCCCCGGATCCCTCCTTCGATGACATCCCGAGATATTCTTGCCTCCCAGAGGCTTGGCATTGTTTCTAGACCTCATGCCAACCGATCGTGCCGCCTTGCCATCTGATATATAAGACCAAGCTGGCATGCTTCTAGTAGCAGTCTTCTTTCTGTTTATCACCACCATCCAAAACCATCCCTTCCAACCTACTCAGTCATTCCTTCAGAGGTAAGATCACAAATCCCACCCCCATCTCCTTCGAGAACATCATCACTAACATACAGACCAGCTGTGCTCGTTGTTCGCTTCACTCTTTATATAATACTTTCGTTGAACTTTCGAGGTATGTCACACACCCAATGCCATCGAGGCTCCTACTCCAGAGCCACTTGGGACCCATCAGCTTACCAGATCTCCCAGCTGTGCTCACGTTACTATTAATATTTTAATACCCTCTCCTCAACAATCCCCACAACCCCCACAACCATCAACATGAAGGCCTCCACCATGATCGTCAGCGCCCTCGCGGCCGTTGCCAGCGCGGCGCCCGCCACCTCGACGTCGACCCCGAAGCGCAGCTCCGTCGACCTCAACGCCTTCAACCAGTTCAACTTCAACTCGCTAGACCTGCAGTACTTCAACGCCATCAACGCCTTCGACCTGCAGTCGTTCGCGCAGCTGTCGGCCTTCAACAACCTCGACATCGGCGGCTTCCAAGCCCTCTTCTCCAACGACGTCTTCGACATCAACGCCCTGCTGCAGCTGCAGCAGATCGCCCTGCTGTCGCAGCTCGGCGGCCTCGGCGTCTTCGCCAACTTCGACCTGTCGGCCGTACAGTTCGCCGTCGTCGACCTCGGCCTCGTCAGCGCCATCGGCGGCTTCGACGTCAGCTCCCTCATCGACCAGAGCCTGGTCAGCCAGATCCAGACCGTCGTCCAGACGACGCGGATCACCACCGTCGCCGTCTAAGCGCGTAGCGGGCGGGCTGTCCGGGCCGCAGTCTTCGGCAAGCCAACAGCTCCCTTCCAACATGGGCGGCAAACCTTAGCGAAGGGGGACTCGGCCTGGATCCGGCTGCTACTCATACGGCGGTGCCGGGGTCGAGGATGCGGGTGGGCTGGGTGGTTCATGGCGGGGATCGCAGTAGGCAATAGACGCGAAGCGGGAGCGGATTATATGAATATCCTTGTTTCCTTCCATGTAAACCTCCGCTCTCTTTCTCGCCGGGGCCAGACAGGAATATCAACGCTCCTTTTACCTGTTCACACAAGCTGCTGCGATCTGTCCCTCTCCGCTTATCCACCCCCACACGCCCTGCCACCGCAAGTCACGATGCCAGAAGAAAAGAACGAAAATAGCACAAGCCGGTTATGGGCCTTCGGGTAGGGGAATGAGAAAGGGGGGAGTGGAACGAAACCTCGGGATGCAATGGGCTGGGCTGGAAGGGATCGGTATGCTTTGGGGTCATTGGGGTTGGTGTTGGATACATGCAGAAGATCAGGTTTTCTCTCTCATCGGGGCTAATACATACATAAATCGTACGTCTACGACAACGGTCTTCTCATTGGTGACTGCAGAGTTCTCTGGTTCGGAAGACCGTCGATAGCCTCACGTCATCAGTGACAATTCAGTCAGATAATCGAGTGATCGTGAGCCTTCCCCTTGTGCCTTGCCGGTAGAAGCAATTGTGTGCTTGCAGGAAACCTCGCACGTGGTGGTGATTGATAAGAACACTGTTGGACAATGGCGGGGAGGTCGAGGCCAAGAGGAGCCGCGTCGCTTGCATCCCTGGGTCGAGGGTGAAACGTGGGGATGTTTATCAAACATGGCAGCCAGAGATCCGAGCCGAAGTTTAAAAAAAGTTCATGCCATCCAATCCCGCCAAGATTTCATCCGAACATCCCTCGGCGTGGTGATCTGGGTTCATGTTTAACCTAGTCGCTTTGAACATGCTCGATCGGAGGTAAGGACTAATGGCTGGCACACCAGGTGGTCACACAGAGTACCAGAGTCTGAGGGCTCACTCGCACCACAAGGCAATCATCGCTCAGCGACTACCGCCTATCAGCTGGAAGAGCTCATGACCGACGCTTGTCTTGTCTCACGAACAACGGACCGAGCACAACCGAAGGTCCTCGATCTCAAATCTGGCTGACCTTGGTGCACTGACAAGACCATATCGCTGGAGCTGTCGACAGGCTTCACCAATAAGCACGCTTGCTCCTGACTCAGAGAAGCTCGCGGAGTATAGAGACACACACTCATTGAAAAGCCGAGAGTATGGGGCAGGGCGCACAGCTCACATGTCCATGGAGAACGGTCGAGTTTCGCGGACGACTCGATATCCGCCCACCTGAATTCCTGTCATCCCCCAGCAATGGGAGCTCAGTCCCTGGCCACCATCGAGTAGAAGTCATGAGAAGCGTGTCCATAAACTCCGGCCATCAATACATGCGTGCGAGATATGCAGCCTCGAGAAAGCGATGGGGGTCAGTGGTATAATGCCCATGCAAGCCAAGACGGGCTACTGCTGCCACCCATCACACCTCCGCTGGACCGCGAGGCTCTAGCTGCAATGCAACACAGCCAATACCAGACACGAGCAATGATCTAATAGTACCTCCCAGAGAGGGGTGCAGACAGGAACGAGGTCACCAAATGCAGTAGACTACAGTCTGTTCGTGGCGTCACAGACACACACCCAGCCTCTCTTGGCCGTCGCTTGGCTTGCCTCAAGGCTTTGAGGTCGATGATATCTCTCCTCTACCGTCGACGGGGAAAGGGTACACGACACTACATAGTATTTGTGAAATTGACGAGGCTTTTCTTGCTCTGTCGGGCGTATTCGAGGTTGTGTTGTTGTGTGGTGCCAAGCCAGGCAACGAATCGACCCCCATGTAGTATTCGAGCTGAAGCCAGTGAGGAAGACGATATGGTCTCGTAAGGGGCTGCGCCACACTGCGAACGCGTCCCGACGTAGTCACGAGGTAAACTGTCTCGTGTTGCACTGCACAATGCCCAGCAACTGTGAATTTGGCGGCTGCGAGCAGCCACTTAGGGTAAGCTGTCGATAGGCAAGTGCTGCTTCAGGCCGGCAAAGCCCGAGGTCACAGATGAATATTGACCTGGAGTAGGTACTGTTTACCAATCTCACGAGTCACCGGTAGATCATCAATTACACCGCATACTTACCATACCATTTCGTACCTCAGCTCACCTCAACTAGGCACCCACCACCACCACAACATGCAGTGCACACAGCTCCGGGCAGTGCAAAAAGCGAAAGGACGGCACATGAACCGCAGGTCAACCGCACCATCGCGAGTAGCCCGCGGGGGCTGACAGCGAGATCCGCTGAATGGATCGGGGAATGGCGGCCATGCCATTTGCCTGCGCCAAAAGGACGCTGCTCTGGGAATAGGGGAGGCAGAGCTTAGACATATGTATGAAAGTCCTGCTCCGTGCTTACCGCATGTCCCAACTTAAACTGGGCTTCAATTTGCCCTTACTCGGAATCGCCTCTGTGGTCTATATCATATATGTCTGTATTACCGTTGTCTGTGCCTGCCCTCTCCTCTGATCCTAGAAGCAAGAGCACTACAGCTTCAAGTACACGATAAGGTAGCTCGCACAGTTGCACAGAGCAAACCTCACCCGAGTCGACAGAACACCGAGTAACTCCGCCAAAGCCCGCCGCCATGAGACGCTCCTTCCTAACCCTCACGCTCGCCGCGAGCGCCTTCGCTCCCACATACGGCGCCGCCAGCCCAGCTACATCACACGCCAATGCCGTCTCGCGGTCCGTCCAAAGCCTCACGCACGCACCTCGCGACATAGCCTGGAGCCCAAGGGACCTCGCGCCTACTTCTGCGTACTCCCCTCGTAACGACGATGAGGACGAAAACGAAGACGACAACGACGAAGACGAAGGCACTCCACCAGCCCCCGACATCATATTCCAGGACCAAGACAACGACGACCACTCCAGCGACAGAGACGACGAGACTATCGACGAGCTCGACGACGACAACGACGGCGCCGGCGCCGGCACCATCGCAGGCGGCATAGTCGGCGGCCTGCTGGCACTGCTACTCCTCCTGTCCATCTGGTACTGGATCGTGATCCGGCCGCGGCGGCGCGAGCGGCTGCGGCGTGAGAACCCGGGGGCGCTCAAGGACGAGGAGGATCTGGCGAGCCACATCGCGGTGGACCTGCGGAGGGACGTTGGTGGTCAGGGTGTGGGGAAGAACCACGCTCTATCATCGTACCCGGCCGCCACGCCGCGGTCGCCGGTGCAGCAGCAGGGACAGGGCGACCCGGGATCGAGATCGGGACTCGAACCGGGATCGGGTCTAGGAGGAGGAGTGACAGCACCGGTGCAGACGGCCACATCGACTGGCCAGGTGGCGCCGGGGCAGACGTACTCTTCCTCCTCCCCCTCCACCCTTACCCCTATGTCTAGCCCTATCCCTATCCCTGGCCCGAATGCCCCCTCGGCACCATCACCCGCATCCGCCTACCCGCGCGACGAGAAAATCCCGACGGCCCGGACGCCCGCAGCGCCACCCGAGTACAAGGAGGAGGCCGCCGGCAGCATCAACCCGCAGTTACCGTTACCACCAATAATGGTGCCGGCCTGGAAGCTGGACTCCTTTCCGCCTGCGCAGCCGCAATGGAATCGAGAAGATCATCATCATCATCATCATGGGCCGCCGCTGCGCGAGCAGCAGCATATGGCGAGGTATTGAGAAGATTATTGGACTGGACTGGACCGGAGAGCGGGTTGGGTAAGCGAGGCGATGAGGTGGGTGGGAGCGGGTGGGTTAGAGATGGGTATCTAGATACATGAAGAAGTTGATTTAGTGTCTGGGAGGTGTCAGTAGCAAGTTGAATACCCTTCGATAGAATCGATAGTGTTTCAGCAGTTGTGTGTGCTTGTCTGGTGTGTGAAGCTGCTATCTCGCAGACTCGAGTTTGTCTGTCTTGATATGTGAAAATGTCGCTGTCGTTTCACTTCTTCGCACTGACGTTTCCAATGAGACGATCTCACTTGATAGTAGGCACCTACATCGAGACTTCAGCGTATGTATTGCTTATACGTCTTTTGCTGGATAACACTGTCTGGCAGGTATATGCATATGTGGCTTTGAGGAGGACCTGTCTGATTACCCAAATACATTGAGCGCCTTGTTTAGAAGACTCGGCACTGTCGACATATCCCAGGCCGTACTGTGCCCAGGGCACATAGCCGCACCAGGACTTGGACGTCCATGCCGGCTAAAAGGCGTAAATAGTATCTTACATGCCGCTAAAAGAGAAAGATCCAGTACAAATATCAGGTAGATCATACCTCGTCAATATCGTCGAAGAACGTATTGGCCGTCATGCGGCTGACCCATAACCATGTTTCGTCTCAAGTGACCACGGAGCCGGGTGGGACGTGGTGCCTCCACTCCGACACACGGTTCATGCCCTGCCCCTGCCCCGTCAGACCAGCGAGCACCGAGTCTTTCGGCGGTTCTCTCCTCCCGCGAGTTGACTGTCTCCGGCTTGCTGGAGCATGAAGAGCTACTTCCTCCATGTAGTCGCGGGTGGTGGCTCTCCTCGGCACCACTCGTTCGGCAAGCCGTGGGTTTCTTGGACTATCGTACAGATCCTCTTCCGCCGTGTGTCGTCTCATGAGCGGGGCCGGCACTATAGGGGGTTGGGGTGGCGGAGGGGGTCCCATTGCTCGTGAGGTAATAGGGGGAGGCGCCATAGGGTGGGCGAAAGGTCGATGACCTGGGCTGCCACCCTGGCGCTGCTCTGAAAACCGGTCCGCAAGTCGGCGTTCCATCGAACTAGTACGTAGCCCACGAGCTCTATTCACGCCAGCGACATAATCGGTGGCAGAGTTGGCCCTTTCAAAGGTGGCCACTGGGGCCGGAGGTGGAGGAGGTGGTGGTGGTACAATAATATTCGGTGCTCCGCGTCTGTAATCATCATTCATGAAGTGGCCAGCCGTATTGCCAAGACCGACCACATCGCCCAAGCCACCTCGGTAGTCGTCTTCGCGATCGTCGTACTGGAGACGTCGAGCAAGTTCTTCGTCTCGCTGCTCTTGAACTCGTCGCAGAAGCATTTCTTCCGCGTAGTGGTTGGGTCGGGGTCGCACACCTGGGTAAAGTGCCCTCCTAGTTCTATAGTCCCGTGGAGAGACATCGCTAAGGCTTCGTCGGCCATGATCCGTCATAGGGACCGGTATCTGCATGTGGTCCAATCTGTCTTCTTCAACCGTGTTGTGGTTGAACCAAGGACATTCACAAGTCTTCCACTTCTCTCCACATATCATACAAAACTCGGCAGTACAACGACTAGGCGGAAGTTAGAGATCCACGACGGCACAGATGAGAGTGGGGAAGTGGGCATACCAGGTCATATGGTTGCAGCCTTCCTTCAGCTCAACCATTTCCCGGCAGCTGAAGCAACGCTGCCAACCAAGTTCCTTCCCTTGCTGTAGAATTTGGTTCGTCTCCTCATCGGCAGGACAGTGCTTCGAGTCGTGCCACTTATTGTTACAGGTACAGCAGACTCGCGTACTGCATCTACTACACTTGCCCATCTTACGACCACTCCGATGGCGGTGGATTTGCGCTGGCATGATCCACGCGCCGCATTTCCTACCTGGACAATAAATGCGATTGCGAGTGGAGAACTCGGCAAACTTGCGGTTCCAGGTCCTTTTAAATTCGGCGTCAAACAGCCGGTCGACATGCTTCAGCGGAATGCATTCAGCGGAACAGCATTTCGGCGGCATATGCTGCGGATCCTTCACCGAGATCTTGAAATTTCGTTTCAGACACGACCGGCACATCCGATGCCCACATTTGAGTTTGGGTGCTTTCGTGGAGGGCAGGTCATCGAGACAAACCACACATTCAACACTGGACAAACTTTAGCTTGGTATGCGAGTCCGGGAATTTGCAGGCTTACGTCTTTACCGGCTTGTCCTGATGGTGCAGATGGGCGGGTTGACCGAAGAAACTGCCCAGAAATGTTGACGATCGTCTTGATGAGGAGCTCATACTCTGTGACGAGGTCACATGGGAGCTGGGAGCGGTTTGCGACCGTGAGAGTGGAGGATTGCCAGAGTATACTACCTCGGACTCGTAGTATCTCTTATGTGGGCTGACACGGCTAGCGTCAGTGAATTCAATGTTCCACCACGACCTTCTACCCACGTACCGCTTGGATGAGGAGCCGGAGCGTCCTTCACCGTGATGATCGCGATGGTGGCGATGCCTGCGGGAACCACTTGGAGATCTCGAACGGTGTCTATGACTTCTTGGAGATGACGATCGCTTCTCGTGGATCGGGGCGGGTTCCTCATATTCGGGTTCCGAGTCGCTCTCTTCCACCTCTACGACACTCTTCCTGTGTCCCCGGCGAGTTCGAGGATGCTCAGGGCGGGCAGGTACTGGGTCAGGAACAGCCGGCGCTACTCTGATCCGCTCTTTGAGCCGGCGTTCTGTCCTATCATCCTGCGTAGATGCAGAGGACGAAGAGTCGGCGCTCGAACTTCTGGATGACGACCCCGACGAGGGATCCGAGTCGGCGGCTGAACGATATGTACGGGACGATCTCTTGAGTGTCGAGACGCTGATAGTCTGGCTCGGTCGACTGCTGCACTTGGAAACCGACCTCGACGTCAACCTAGACCTCAACCGCTCCTCTTCCTCATCGTCTTCGTCGTCGTCGTACACCTGCCGACTCCTGCCACTTCGATGTGTAACGGTCGCTGAGCGGGCCATCAGCTGCGGGGGTGGAGGAGGAGGCATCGAGCGGCGGACATGCAGGTCTTCGGAGAGTCGTGCACGTCGATGGGAAGAGTGGGTTGGCCTCCTGTCGTCGGGTCTTTGTACTTCAGGATGTCGGGCTCGATGGGGCAGCGAATCAGGGAATGGCGGCCGGCGCGACTCCCTATCATGGTGGCGAGACGGAGGTGAATGGCGTTGATGCCTGGTCGGATGGTTGCCTTCTCCATCCTGCAAGTAGGCCATTCGTCCGCAGTGTCCTACCAGCCTGCCCGTTGCCAGCCCCGTGCCTACCAAGGTAGTAAAGCACCGCCTGCTCGGTTGGCTGAGGCGACCTGCCGACGTGCGATGTGTGGGAGAGACAGCTGGTGACTGCTGAGTGGCTGGCCGCATACACACTCGTCGGCGTGATTGGACAGGCAGGTTGCACTCTTCTAGCTAGAAGAGGGTTATGCAGCATCGGGGCAGGAGGTATTCCCCAACAGATATGGAACTCGCACGACGGTGATGGGGGATGTCAGTCTGGCAGATGAGCTTGCGACGCAAGGAATCTTGGGAGTTCCGAGAAGCCGAACAGAGCAATTGGCTTGTGATGAACCGTCTGTCCTGTCGTAAGATCAAGAGAAGATGAACAGGCCTCTCTGCATGTCCTGGAGGCTGGAGTCCTCCGTCTTTCGCTGCCCCCCTGCGCCGCGCAGGTACACCTGTGACTTCACCTTGGCTGCTTGATACAGCAGAGATGGGTAGTGGCCCACAGGGTTCATGGGTGGGTATGTGTCCACCAAGAACGCCGCCCTGGACGAGATCCCGTTGGTTGCGTCGGACAGAGATGGAGGCTGGCTGTCTGGCTGGCTGTCTGGCTGTCTCTGAAGTTTTGGCGCCACGAGCGCACATTCAGTATTGTCCTCTCATTGGAGGTTCAGGTCTCTAGTGCTGCTGCCCCTCTCTGGCTTACATGTACCTTCAGATGTCACCCCGAAACGAACCCCAAGCCCTCGGTCGTGTCACTCAATAATAATCATAAGAGGAGATCTCTCGTGTGGTGCCACTGTCTCGGAGTGGGAATGGGTACTGCTGATAATTATTACCCGTGCCACGCCCCACTTTATTCAGGATTCGCTCGGGCTCACCAGCTAAAGCTGGTGCTGGACACCAAAACACCCAGTTTCTCAACCATTCCCTCTAGATCACACTTTTCTTCAGCAGCTTCAAAGCATATTTAATTCGGTAAAATGGAAGCACGCTTGCAGGAAGCTGTCCAGCATATTGGAACCCATTCTAGCTCGAAAGTTGCCACGGTAGCCCGCGAATTTGACGTATCTTGCGATCGCCTTTAAAACCGTCTTAAGGGCCGCCCAGCAAGAAAAGGCTAACCAGCAGCAAATACAAAGCTAACACCTGTTAAAGAGGTTGCAATATGTCATTACATTGATCGTCTTGATCGTATTAACCTTGCTGTACGCGCTGAGTTTATTATTAACACTATAAATCACATTCTGAGCGAGCGAGCGCCTTCAGTTATACGGAACAGCCCACCTACTGTTGGCCAAAAATGGACCAGTCGCTTTATCAAGCGCTATGGATACCACCAGCGGCTTCAGAAGCAGCTTCACGCAGACCAAGAGGCATCAGAAGACATCGAGCGAGTCGCTCAGTACTTTGAGAAGCTCAAAAAGACATGCAAAGCAGAGGGTATCCCTCCCGAAGATATCTGGAACATGGACGAGACTGGCTTTCGAATAGGTGTTGGGAAGAACCAGCTCATTGTTACCAAACGAAAGAGAGCCCACTATTTCAGCACCCCTGAAAATAGGGAATCTGTTACTGCTATCGAAGCCATCTCTGCGGGTAGAGAATACATACCAGCCTTTCTGATTCTGGCAGGCCAGCTCCATATGGCCTAATGATATCAACAACCTGAACTACATAGAGATACAGCTATTATCCCTTCTTTTAGCGGCTATTCAAACGATTGTGACGGCCTGCACAGACCTTCCCACATGACAAGTGGATACTTCCCAATAGGGGAAGGATCTGACCAGAGGATCCCCTTAAAGGGGCAACCTCCCACTGTACCTATCTCTCTCTCTCTTCCTTTCCTCTCTAGTCTTGATATTCTCGTCAATAGAGTAATAGCTGCTTGCTGCAGGCCATGTCCCAGCTCCTCAGTATGCTCGCCGTGACAACGATCAGATCAGCTTGGAATGGCTAAAGCATTTTGAAAAACACACAGCAGCAAAGGCCATTAGGACGAAACGGCTCCTTATTCTGGATGGCCATGGTTCACACCATGCAATTGAATTTATTCAATATTGCGAAGATCACGGCATCATCCCTTTTGGCATGCCTCCAAACCTGATGCACCTACTGCAGCCGCTAGACGTGGTAGTCTTCCAGCCGCTAAAGCATTATCACGCAAAGGCACTGGACTTAATGGTCCGCGATGGCCTGGTGAACATCACGAAGCTTGAGTTTCTTAGCTGTATTCAGCAGGTCCGCCAGCAAGCATTCAAGTCTAGTACCATTCTCTCTGCCTTTCAGAAGACTGGTCAAGGAGTCACGCAAACAGAGGCTTTCTAAGAGACTGGCACCGGCGGAAATCTACGAATCTGGCCACAGTTGCAGGTGGTTGAGGCGTTTCTAGTTAGATAGATCGAAAAACTGGGTGTTTTGGTGATCTGGGTGTTTTGGTGTCCAGCACCAGCTTTAGCTGGTGAGCCCGAGCGAATCCTGAATAAAGTGGGGCGTGGCACGGTAGGGGTCAGACAGTCCCAGTACAGGGTTGTACCAAGCTGATGATCTACGCCGCCGCCGCCGCCGCCGCCGCTCTGCGAACCACCCGAACCGTCCCATTCCCTGCCGCCTTGGTCCTTGCTGCCGTCGTACTGAAAGCACTTCACCGTTGCCTACCTTACCAACAGCGACCCGCCTCGAATATGTGAACTCTAGGCTATTCTTGCCGTGTCACCATGTGCCTGTCTGTGACTCAAAAAAGAAGGCGACGGCAAGGCTACAGAAGATGCATATGCAGCGTCGTTCCAGTTCCTGAACGGACTCACAACAGGATTGCGAAGCGGTCAGTCGACATTAGGAGAGCTTGGTGGAGAAGACAGAAGATCTCCTAGCGTTCCTCTGTCTATCAGTCTAGGCATCGCATCATTGCACACCAGTTGACCAAGGCTGCAAGCCCGTGTTTGAAAGTGTGGTATCGGCTCGTTGGCGTACTTAGACCGCCTCAACACGCGATACCCGCACCGAGCTCTCCCCCTTTCCCTTCCAAGACCCAGAAGTATACAGGACTGCGATGCTCATGAGAAAGATATAACGGTGCGCGCCTTCGCCACAGTCCAGACTCGAGTTCTTGCCGGTGTGTAGGTGTAGCTCGGGCCGAACTATCATGACGATGGTTATCCGAACAGTACGTGCTTTGACTGTTGAAGCCGCCTGGCGATCTGAGTGTCAGTGCTATGCCTACAGTTTCCCCCCTGTTTTTTTAAACAGTAGAGCTGGTCAATGACAGGCCTCGAAACAAGCGCCAGAGGTCACTTCAAGGGTTGGTTTATGCCATTTCCTTCAGAAATCGATACCTTCACTGGTCTGTGTCCAGTCCCAGTTCCACTGTTCAAAAAAACAGGGGGGAAACTGAACCTCCTTTACGAGTGGAGTTACCTATGCGCAGCGGACTCAAGGCCCACACGGGCGCTGGGAGATCGTGTGTTGGTTTAAGTAGGAAACGCCGTGAAGGAGCACGTTACATTTGTTGATGACTTGAGGCTGATCTGTAACATCCACGTGAGTATTTAATTTAGCTAGTACGTGAGTGCCATTTGCAATATGCATATGTCCATGGGCCAATCCTCGTAAAATACTTTGTTGCTTGTGTCAAAATGATGATCGTATACTTAATGGATGATACTCTGATGGAAGTTTATTAGCTTTGCATTCCCCGAGTGAGTTGTTTAGAAGACCTGACATATACGTCTGAAAGGCCCGGAGTTCTGGACCTGGATCTATATACATGTAGGTGCGTAGCAGCAAGTCTTAAATGGGCAAATACAGAAGCAAATACAATTTCTCGTACCTGGACAACTCCGAGCTCGCAATCTGGGCTGGATGAGCTGAATGCCTCCCAGCAAGAAGCCTACATCAGATGAACTAGGTATTCACTTAGATTCACCCCTGCATTATGAGCAACTTTGGTGATATATCAACTCCATCTACATACAACTAAGTATAAGTAGTTGCAAATTAAGAAAACTCTTAACAATGTTCAATGTTCTTCGCAAACTTCGGCGGAATGGTAAAGGATCTGTAGGGGCTCAACATGAATGCAGCTCTTTGCGGCTAGGGGCCACCGCGATGTTCAGACGAAGCCGGCAGCTGCCCATGGCTGTCAGGGCTGCCAGGACCAGGGTCGCGGTGGGGGTCACAGGTCACACCGTCACTGCCCTGTGCATGCCCGCATCCATGCCCCTGAATACCTTAGTGAATGGCCCGGGGCCCGGGGCTTGGACTTTTGGAGATGCATGGCGGGCTGCGGATCATCCGTCATCGTCGCGCCGCCGACGTTCACCAACATTGAATTGCTCTGCACGCGCGTGCTTATTCCTCGTCTCACAATCGGCATTTTGGACTCTCTTTCCGTGACCACCTTCCTGTCTGTCTCTCAGAATCCGGCACTACCTAGGTACATACTTACAATAGCTTTACAGAATAACTACAAAGCCTCTTCACTCGCTTTCAACGAACCGAAACCTGTACATCAATTGCCATGGTTTCCTTATAACGCCGTCCTTGGTCTAGATAACCGTCACCGCCTTGCGATCCGGGCCCGCGGCAGATGATATCGCGAGTGCAATCGGCTCATTGTTGAGCAGTCTGTCGACACTATGCTTCTCCTCCACCAAGTGGGCAGCATCAAGATAGGGGAGGTCATTCGCTACACCGTCACCTATACGCCTTCCCACGACCGTATCCTACCATCGCCCAATATCCTCCACCTACGCGTCCGCAACACATCGCCCCTTCCCCTACGCGCCGCATTCGTCCACGGGCCGTATACGCTCAACGTTTCCGCATACCCCTCCCACTATGATCCGAATACCAAGTTCGAGGATCCCCGCCGCTATGGAGTACCCGAGTTCGAGCCCATGCTCAAGGCCGCGGGGACGTGGTCATGCCAGTTGATCGTGCCCGACAATATACAACAGAGCGCTGGAATGGGAGCCGCGAGGGGTGATTTCGGGTATGGCGCTGAAGAGGGGGAAGAACCCACCAGCGCAAGCTGGATAATCGAAATCGCGAGTCAGGTCATCTTCTCGTCCAGCGCAGCTGTCGGCTATGAAGTCTTGCTCGCGCGCGACGAGAAGAGCTTGAACCTAGGCAGTACGCCAGTGAATAGGGGACAATCACAGGTTCCACAACCAGGAAGGGTCGTCGATTTCCAACAGAGTATCGGCTCGAAAGACGGTCACCACCCAGCGCAGTTGAAAGGGGTTTTTTCAAAAGCCATCACGCTCAAGGTAGAGGATACGGCAAGCCTCTGGAATACACCGCAGCTGCCCGGCTGGGACGACTGGGATCACGGGAGATCTGAGGGTTCGGACGACCCTGCTATCAACAGTGTCACCAGTCCAGCAAGCCCCGAGGGTGGCCGTTCGAGTAGCAAGAATCCCAAGAAAGTACACTTGGTAGTGTTGACGCACGGCCTGCATAGTAATCTGGGCGCTGATATGCTATACCTTAAAGAAAGCATCGATGCATCTGTCAAGCAGGCGAGGACCGACGCCAAGGTGAGGAGGGCTCGAGAGAAAGCGGAGAGAGATGCCAACAAGACGGATGGCCAAGCGGACAGGGACGCCAATGGGACAGACAACCCAGAGAAGACGACCGAGGAAAGAACCAGAGAGACGGCCGAGTCACGAACAGAAGAGGACGAAGAGGAATATGAAGACGAGGAAGTCATCGTACGGGGTTTCTCAGGTAATGCAACACGGACGGAGAGGGGCATCAAGTTCCTGGGTAAGCGCCTGGCACGTTATGTTCTTTCCATGACATACCCAGACCAGCCGTTTCTCCCATCGACGAAAAAAGCAGCTGAAAGTTTTGCGACTTCCATGAAGGGCAACGGAGGGAAGACGGATGGTAATGGCCAGTCAGCTCACAGGCACAGCACAATCCACAAGGGCCCACACCATGAGGAGAATCGGTTGTTCCAAATCACCAGCATCAGTTTCGTTGGCCATTCGCTTGGTGGGCTTGTTCAGACGTATGCGGTGGCTTACATACAGAAGCATTCACCCCAGTTCTTCAACCTGATACGGCCACTGAACTTCATCACTCTAGCATCCCCACTCTTGGGCTTGAGCAATGAAAACCCCCTCTATGTCAAGTTCGCACTCGATTTCGGCCTTGTTGGGAGGACCGGTCAAGACCTTGGCCTCACTTGGAGAGCACCGACAATAGCCAGGAGTGGCTGGGGCGCCTTGGTTGGTACTCTCGGCGAGAGCGCTCACAAGAAAGTCATGGGTGAAGAACAGCCAGAGTCAAAGCCACTGCTGCGTATTCTACCTACTGGCCCTGCACATACAGCATTGAAGAAGTTTCGCAATCGGACAGTGTACTCCAACGTTGTGAACGATGGAATTGTACCCCTTCGCACAAGTTGCTTGCTGTTTTTGGACTGGCAGGGCCTGGGTCGAGTAGACAAGGCTCGAAGGGAGGCCGGTCTTATGGAGACAATGGTTGGATTCGGATGGGCCGAGTTGACGGGTGCGAATGTAACATCCGCTCGGAAGGGTCCCTGGACGCCAGACACCGAAGAGGCCCCTTCTCAGCCGGGCGCGAATCCCGAACCGGAAGCAACACATGAGTCTCGCGAGGTGCCTTTGCCACCAAGCAATGCTACGGCTGAGGATGACAGGCGAAGCCTCAACCTGACAACATCGTCTCAAGAAGCAGCTCCGCATCAAAATTCCCAAACGAACAACGATTACCCCTTCTCGGGATTCTTTAACTTCTTCAAGAGTAATGAGTCGTCCAAAGCAGCAACTGAAAAGACATCTCAGCGTTCTCCTAAAGGAAGCAAAATCTACAAACGCAGTCAAACTCTTAAAATAGACGACGCATCTGCAGACTCGGCGTCTTCGAGCAAGTCCAAGGTGTCTTCCGGTAATGAGTTACATGAAGACCAAGAAAGCGGAGTCTCGGCGCCTCCCCGAACAAGCTTCTTTGAGGCTGCTGGGGATATACTCAATCCCAAACTGCCTACAATGGAATATATCCTCGACCCCTCACGCCGTCCGCGGACGATATTCCACGATCGTGTCTACCATCCTTCCGACATTCCACCACCCCCGCTGAAGAAGCGCCCTACTGGAACATTGGCGATCCGTCGGAGAGGAACCAGTCAGAACCAGTCCTTATCACCGAAGGGGGAGAATGATGAAACCTCTTCACAATCTTCCCAGTTCGGTGTCAAACATGAGGACTCGGGTCTATCGACACGCGATTACGATGACATTAAACACACTGACCCGGATAGGGATCCTGAGGAGATGATCGATACTTCCAACATGAAGGTCGAGGAGAAGATCGCGAGAGCCTACCACCGCGACTTGAGCTGGCGGAAGGTGTTGGTCAAGCTTGAGCCGGATGCCCACAACAACATCATCGTGCGTCGAACGTTCGCCAATGCGTTCGGCTGGCCGGTTGTAAAGCATCTAGTAGATGCCCACTTCAGTGATAGTGCTGCTGCCCGCACCCGCGATGAGAACGAAGACAACATCGACCGTGCGAAAGCGATGTATAAGTCTCCTGACACCACCGGCGCTGAGACCGGCACACAGCATGACGCACAACCCCACAGTGGCACCGTCGGCTTAGACACCGGCGGTAACATGGACGCACAAACTGAAGATGATGCCCACCATACTGTGCCAATCAAGAGCCAGCCTTTAAAGCTGCGAGACCAGGGACGCACCAATAGTGAGGTTCTCGAGGCAGTCGACGCCGTGCCGGACCTACCGACCGCGGACCAGAAAAGTAGGGCTTCCCATAGCTCCCGGGAATCGCCTCCCCGGCCGGGCTATGATAGACTCGACTCAGCGACTTGGAGCGATCGTGACTTCGCCGACAGCGGCGATGATAGCGAAGTAGACATGGAAATGGCATACGGACGATACAGCCAGAAACCTCAGACTTCGGCTGGAGACAAGGGCAAGGAGACCGAAAGGAGCAGTTCTCCGGTCTGGAACTGGACTGAAAAGATCGTCGGAAAGGGTCCTTCTAAGAAAGGGAAAGGCCCTCAGAGTCCAACAAGCCCTGGGCCCGGCAGCGGCCACAGTCCAGGAGGCGCCGGTGGGATCCAGCAGTGAGACGAGGGACACTGTAAACATAGGGCATCCCGATGGCACTATTGTGGGTTCGCATAGCATACAAGCATGGCAAAGCGGGACATAGAGACTGGGTGATTATATACATGTACGTATACGATGCTGTCGAGTTTGCCCGTTCTTCTTGGGGGTCGGGTCCGTCGGGCGGGCTATAGAAATAGATAGGTACCGCAGAGTTCATAGATGAGAAACACGGCGCCCCCCTGGTTTGGTTCTTGATAATAATCGATTAATCGTCCTTTGGCTTGTTGAAGGACTGTGCAAAACATTTTAGATGGGTTATCTTGATTTTTTCCGTGAGCCGCGAGGGAATGAGCGGAGTATGATAGTAGCGGTCTTTACGATTTACGATCTTAATAAAGTAACAATACTTAACCTTAATGTGTTAATATAATTTAATGAGAATTTCATACAAGCTTAGAGCCTATTAATAGTGTTAGTTTATTGACTCTAGTTTGTCGTTTCTAGAACTTTTCAGCTCTAATGTTGCGAAGGTTGTGCCCGCCCCTTCAAGGGACGGCGTCCCCTTAATAAGAGCCCTAACTAGTAGACTTAAGATTCAATACTCAAATACCCTCAAGGTGCCTGTCAGTAGGTCGCGAGTATTAATTCACACAGAAACTAGTTATATTTCCTAATATAAGGTAGGATGAAGGGAAGACAACACTCGGGCAGAGTACCTGTCTCCCTCGGACCTATGAACGCAAACCTCGCCGGTTTACAAGATGGCAACTAAACGAGAAATTTGGCTTGGTTGTGCGCCTAGCAAGTGATTGCCCCGTTGTAATGAAACAGCATCGCCACAGCCGAAGGGGGAATGATCTCCTCGCAAACATTCCCTCGCCGTCTTAGGCAAGCACAAATAGGGAGCTGTTGTACATTGACACGACAAGATGATGTGATTCGGCTCCAAATACGTAGCATCGTGTTCTCGCCGAACTAACAAGGAGCATTCATGCCATTGTCAATAATGCCTGGTGTTCGTGGCTGAAGTTTCATTCAACGTGGGCTAGTAACGAACACCCCGGTCGTAGTAATCCCTCTGGAAGCAAGGCTAGCTCACCATCCTCATGCACGCCATAATCAAACATTTGACTCCCGAGACAGCATTACCGAGGGAGAATCGTATGCAAGCCGCGAGCATCATGCGTCTCAGTTTGCGATTAGTGAATATATTTCCATGATATGCTTCGTGCATTCTAAAACGACATCATGGAGAAGTCAGTCCCTAGAACTATTAGGTTTTATTAAAGCATACGTTCAGGTCGAAGAACGCAGGCATCTCGTCAGAGAGAGAAAAGGTGAGCTCACTCCCTACTTACAGCTACAGAGAGCAGGGCCCTGGAAGAAGACCACACAAGAAACGCGTACGAAAGGCGGCTCGAATATTTATCGGTGTGACTGATAATCCCAACTACCTTACGTAGTGCGAAATAACGACTTAACTACCCATCCCATTGCCTAAGAACACTTGGGAATCCCCCAAGATCTAGAATAACCAGTCGACGGCATCACGATAGCCACCCTAAGTATCTACCAATGTACCCAAGCCGCAAGCCAACACCGAGGACACGGAGTACGCAACCGACGACCCAGGTACAAGCGCGTGATGGGGAGCGCTGCAACCACAGCTTGGATCTTCCGAAGAGAAGCCCATGATCGTCGAGTAGCAACGGAATATATTCATCCAGCTTCATGCTCAACGAGGCTATGCGACAGTCCAGGCACCTGGACTAGGGAGAGAGTGTGTGCGGTGCGTGTGCGTGTGCGCATCGTGACACCAGCAATCACCACAACCCCTTGCCCAACACCGAGTCCGACACGGAGCAGAGCAGGGCACACACACAGCGTCCGCAACATGCACCGCCAACAGGTTGGTCACCAGTTGTATCCGTCGTAGCAGCCAGCGAATCAGCATACGGCCCACGAGAGAGCACACAGCAGCAGCCTTGAGGAACCCTCTCCGCTACTCATCGTCTCAAGCCGGTGTTTTAGGCCACTGCGACAAGGTAGGTATATCGGACACAGGTCAATCGGTCACAGGTTCCAAATCGCTACACACCACCTCATCACACAGGCACGGCGGAGCAGACGCGCCACATCACCCGGTTGCAACCACATCCCGTCACAAACCCGGTCATTCAGTGCGCCTGCAGCGCGGGACAAGGCGGCATCGCATGCAAGGAGACGGATTAGACGCACAGCATACATGGGTACTACTATATGTGCTCTCTCAAATCTCCGCACCAGAAGCCACCACCAGCCGGCTCCGCGCTCCAGCATATGAGCGAGAGAAGCCCCAGTGGCCTCTCGATAGCGGTCATGGTGGTCATGGTGGTAGTGGTGGTGTAGAATACCTCCTATAGGAAGGGGGGGAGGGAGGCAGGGTGCAGTGCAGTGGTGCTATATATGATCTGCCTTGGCGCTGCAGCAGTCTGAAGATGGCAATATCCCGCTGACGGCGGGCCAACCCGCGCGATCTCCAGGAACGACGGCTCACGCATCCGGCTCCGTGGTATCTGTGGTCGGGCAGGCACACCGGTGAGGTCCCAGGGCTGGACCGGGGTGCAAGGTAATAAATGCGCCCCTGTTCTGTGCAGCACGCGTCATGTCATGCGGCGCATCGTTCAAGCGGGAATGTCACACGGTTCTTCAGCCATCTCTGCTCTCTATTTTCCCGCCATCCTAGAGCCAAAGCTGCTCTCGACCGGTCTAGAAACGGCTGCAGAAGGGCGGGGGATCTGCCAGCAAGCACTATGGCAACAATAGTCAAGTTGACCAGGACGCTACAGCCCCTTAATCCGAGTCGCCGTTACGGTAGCGAAAGCCTATGCACCTCGTAGTTGAGATAGATGAGCGCAGTTTGGTAGTCCCGGCAGCCAGAGCTCCCATTCCAGGTTGTGCGCACATCCATCGGCGCAATCCTACCTTCTTGTGCGACTACTACAGCAGATCGATCCCTTCTCCCTCCCTGTGAGACTGGTCATCTAGATGATCGATCAGACGCACTGCGTCGCATTGCCGGCCATCTACCCCGTCCACGAACACCCAAGGCGAGTGTATGGCGGCCGCGGATGAACCTATTGGAACACAAAGCCCGACGGAGGCAGAGGTAGAAGTCATGTTCCTCCTATGATACATATATAGTAGCCAGAAACAAGCCTCCCAAGGCTGACCTTTATTGGTGGTCGAGCTTGGAGCTTCGGAGGATTGCACGGCGCTGGACCCTGAAAGGTAGATATAGTGAAAGGGAAATGCACTACGACGATGCGATGCAACCCTTTCGGGCCAAGAGCTGCCGCAAGCCGCCTAAAGACATGATAATGGGCCGCGATGAATCCTCAATGATACATTGCATAACGTCCTGCGCAGTATGCATTGACGCAGCGACGATATCCTGTTGCGGTCCGTCTCAGCTGACACAAACCCTGATATCTGCAATGTGGCTTGAACGCGTACATATGACCCAGCCATCTGTAAGATAAAACTTGGAACCTGCAGGACTCCAATGCAGACAGGTGTGTTTCTATCTAGAAGAGCTTCTGCACTTGATGCTGGATATCATGTATGTGGGCACAGAAACTGGCAGTTGCACTGCAGGTGGCAGAATTTTAGCATGTGGAAACCTCCGAGGCCGGTTGTCCGTACTGTAGCTGATGCTTTGAATCATGGTTCCCTTGCTGCCTTAAACCATAATGCAGAGTTTTGGGATGAGGATGGCCTGTTTTGAGAAGCGCCGCGAAGGACCGAGGTGTGGAGCGACGGGCGAGGCCGGGTCTCGAGCATGACGAGAAGCCGACATTTGACCGACTTTCTATGGTCCTTGTGCTGTGTTGGGCCCCGGCGGAGCCGCAAATGCCCCGTGCTGCCAGTCCTCGAAAGCAATCATAACTCCAAGCGGCTCTTGAATGCGGATGCGGGTTTCAAGCGCCCAAGCCACCACAATGAGGCTCTGAGCTGGCACCAATGACTAGGTCGTGGAGTTTGTAAAGACCCGAAATCTCGGTCTCAAGTGGACTCGTTGTCCTCGTCGGTGCTCTGTGCCAGATGACCCTCGGCGTCTTCATCGACTCGGTTGGCATCGTCGTCGATCTGGCCGACGAGGAGGTCTTCGCTGCCTTGCCACTGTGGTGGCATGCTCGGCATTTCAGTCGTGTCCTCATCCTCCCAGCCGTAGTCCTCGCCCTCGCTATCGGGAATCTCAAAACCTGTCTGATCGAGCTTTCTCTTTTGATGGGGCGTTGCACTCAGGGTCAGAGAGGGTTGCGTTCCATGTAGTTCCGCATCGATGAGACCGTCCTGTGCGAGTCAGTACCACGGCACTGATACTGAACCAATGCACTACTCACCGTCTGAATGTCAAACGCAAATACTGGCCCTATCCCCCCGGAGTCGACTTTGCCATGGTGCTTTTGAATCCCTACGAGATGCATGTCGTGCACTGCATCACCTCTCATCACCCAATCTCTGAAGAGAACCAGCCGGGTGGCAATGCCTTGCTCCCAGGAACCGGCATTTATGGCTGGGATCAGTGTAGCACCACGCTCGAGTTGCATTCTCGTGGCACATTGAGATAGGACGACAATAACCAGGTCTCTCGTGGCAGAAAGCTTCTGAAGTGCCGAAATGAGAAATTGAAGAACCTGCAGCCGCCTCGCCGAGGGTCCTCGCCCTGTGCACCGTGTGTGTCAACGCCTCATTGCCAATCACCGACCGGAAGAGTGCTGGAGACTTACCCTTTGGAGGTTGTCGAGTCTCGAGGTTCTTTGGGAAAGTCTGGTTCACTAGACCAGACAGGTTATCAATTACAACCAGGGAGGTATCCGCGGGAATGCTGGACGTCGTCGGTTTGCAGATCAACCCGATGAGATGTGCCAAGCTCGGTGTGACAAAATGGAGCAGGTTGTTTAATTGGTCTTCTGTTACATTATCTGTAGAAGCCGTCTGCGATGCTGGTCTTCGTGTAGAGCTCATAATTTCACCAAGTCTCTGATGGCATATTGGATGAAACGCATCTGAACTCGAATCAGCAACCCCTCCAACAGGCGAGCCAAGAAGATACAGTAGGGGTAACAACCATCTAATCAACGGGGCGGGAGTAAGACTAACCTACCCAAACGACCTTGCTGCCGTCCCGCAGAGTGTTCGCAGCGAGTTGCATACTGGTGCAGACAATCAGTGCATGAGCCAATATACGTGCCGTCGCGCGGCAATAGGCGATCTTACGCGAAGGCAGTCTTCCCAGACCCCGGAGGGCCCCAGACCTCGACGACTTGACCCTTCTCTATACCGCCAAGATCTGGATCAGCCGTGGAAACGTCATTGACAGCGCTGTCGAGACCGTCGAGGCCGGTTGAGAGAAACCTTCTCGGGTCCGACTTGAGATCCTCGAGCGCCTGCGCAGCCGAGACTGTCGGTAATCGATCTAGGCGAGTCGGTCAGCGATGTGCAACTCGTGCAGCAGACTGGCTAAGTGCAGTTGAGTCGCTTACGGGTGGAGGTCAAGTCGAAGCTCGAGACATCTTGTCCGTGTATGGCCTCGTACCTGTCCATGGCCACTTATGGGAGACCGCCTCGGATGAACAGCTTTGGCTCTACGGCCTCCTCATTGGTCTTACTAATTATTAGCATGAAGGCTTTGTGTGCTGAGCCTCACCATTCCAAGTTCCAACTTTGAAGGCCCATCGAAGTCTTGATGCAGGTCGCGCCCGAGTCGAGCAGCGCCTGCCAGAATAATAAATCCCCCAAACAACCACCCCTACAACCACCCCGCCGCACTTGCACGTGACGCGGGGTCCTCCTATTGCCATTTTGCATTTTGGCAACCGACGCTCACGTCAAGACATCACATAGGTACAGCATTGAACCTCGAAACGTTTTATTCGTTAACTATGTCTTGTTCCGATGACTTTGACCTCCCATTATGCATTACTCCCTTCAGGCAGATTGGATCTAGGAATACATACTATCAACTTGGAGAGCTCAGATGCTAATAGGAAGCTTCAACCTCGTAGATAGGCCATCGACCACGACACAACCGCGCGTAATCCGACGACTCGCGGAACTCTCAGCAACCGACAGCCAGGCGTTGGTTCCGGGCTTTGCGTAATTAACTTCAATCTAAAGTTTGTGAAAATCGATGGCGATACAGGTAATGGTAAGAGATTCTCTAAATGGACTTTGACATAATGAGACCGCCCATGGCTCTGTTGAAATCCCCATGAGATTGATCCGATGCATATCCCGAATTGGTGCGGTGTTGAGCTAGGTATTCGCTGGGGAGCTGGGCAGCGATATGTAGACGACATCATTAGGATTCAGGCACGTCAGGCTCGTGGTAGGCACCTCATCCATCCTCCAAGCCTTACAGCGCTACTTATCAGCATCATCGACGCACGACACTTGACCCCTGGGGTCGCAAGCTCTCCGCATGTGGGCTACTGCGGCATCCTTCTGATACGGGCGGCAACACCGCTGTGAGTTCGTGGTGTAGGAGTGTTTGCCCATCGGAGGAGGTACTTGCTGTGCACGCACGCCGACCACAAGATCACGACTTTGTCTCTCTCTCGCGAACGCTATCACAACAAGTGACACGTGGGCAAACGTCTCGCCCCGAGTCTTTGGGTTCGCTAGACGAGCTAGAAAAGCTAGAAGGCCTGGAGATGAGGAGACCTACTGGAGAAAATCCCACCGAGTACCGGGCCGTCTCGAAAGAATCCGCCGGCGTTATCAAGAGACCGTCCAAAGTTAGTGCGCATACACCCATACCTACGTGTCCAAATTGTAGGCCGATGGCTGCATATGTAGACGGTAGACAACAAGGCTCAACCTCGGGAGCCCTAGACCTCTGAAAGAAGGCTTCTTCGCTCCCAAGACATCCACCGTCTTGCAGTTCAGTGCTGGGAAGCTCGGTGTGCGGTTGTTGCGGAACAGAGGGGTCTTGAACCCTCTTCCAGTCGTAAGATACGGTAGTGGAACTTGCTCTAATCCTGGCACTGCGCCCGCCGCCCAGGGCTGCCAGGTTGAGGAATGGGCCTCCGCGACCATTGATAGCGTCGTCAGGACCGGAATCCGTCTCACCAATGCTCTACGCTATGCCTCGCAGACAGAGCGTTCGCATGAACATGTCCGTGAGTTGGAGGCCGCGTAGATAGTCGGAATAGACCTCTGAGAGGCCTTGTCACAAGCCAACAAGGGAATCTATCTGCCAAGGCGGACTTTCACAACGCAGCCAAGCAGACCAGGCGCCTGGTCGCAACGTGCGCATGGGCGAGGATGGGGTAGCTCCCCTTCCCCCTTCCGGCCAGCCCTTTCGAGTCTTCGACATGGATTGACATGGAGAGGCTCGGGGGCCAGCGGCGCCAGCCTTGATAGGCTCGCGTAGCCCGTCGTTGGGAGTTGGGACCCGGTCCGTACCCTCTTTAGAGTTACATAGCAGTGCCATCTCCAGATCGCTGACAGGGGCTTTTATGCAGGTACGTCTGGCTGTGTCGGGGCGAAGTTTCAAACTACCGAATGCGCGTCCCTTGCTGGCTGAGCTGATGCCATGTGAATCAGCACACAAACGTGTCTAGCTCGGTAACTTGGGACGACGTCCCTATCGTTCCAGAAAAACACGATTAGTATTTCGGGTCAACGGTAGTCAACCCGTCTCTGCTATACCGTGGCTAGCCATATGAGGAGAAACCGGAGGGGTGACAGCAATGAGAAGGCTGATGGTCCACCTATGGTAGACAGCCTCGGGAATTGTCCGATTCTCTCATGACAGCATTGCAGTTGATAATATATGAACTTCCGGAGGCCACAAGTCAACAGGGTTCGGGCGGACGTCGGACCAGCGGGTCGTCTCGGTCAAAATACCGCAGAAAACGAAGCGAAGGCATACCTCGGGGGAATTCGGGACGACCGAGGGAAGATTGGGAAGCGACACTGGCGACACTGGCGACACTGGCGACGGGGCATATGGGGCATATGGGGGGCATATGGGGCACATGGGGCGGATGGGGCTGGGGCGAGATGGGGCAAGATGGGGCAGAGATACCGCTTGGCGTGGGAAATCCTGGTTCGTGATCTTTGATGCTAGCGGGACGACGTGGGAGTTCCCGAGTCCGTAATAGGAGCTAGGTTAGCGCATTTATCAACCGCGCGATAGCTGAAGAAATAGGGATGATTCGCGTTTTGGGCCTCCGGTCGAGTCCCCATATGTTGCTCCTATTCTTCCGGCTAGTTTCCAGAGGCGCCCCGGCGATTATGATATTACCTGATTGATGTGCGCCGCGGTATAAATGACAGCCGAGCTAAATGAGGCCGGAGCAACGGATCAATACCGGGCTCCTGTGGTCCGAGTGGAAATCGAACTCGTAGCCTTTCCTCGGCGTTAACCATTTCCCACAATCCCATGTTGATAGCGTCTGTCGTCAACCTGCGTGACTCGTGTAGTGACACAAGTCTGGATCTAGGCCTCTGCTGCTGTCGAGTAATATTTGCCCGAGCACGGAAATTCCCATTGATAGCCCGCAGAGCTAAGATCGTTGGACCCTTTTGCCAATGGTGACATGATTCTGGAATCCCTCCTCATCAACTGTTTGATGGATTAGGTAGCATAGCTGCCGCATCCATGGGGTTCGAACTACTAGCTTGCGCCGTTGTCGATGTCACGATGTGTGAGAGCTGCTGGAGGAGGAGGAGGAGGGAGTCTGGGCCTGGCTATCAGCCTCCCCTGCTGTGTCACAGCGGGCCGTATGTATTGGCTTGATACTTGGCACGGAGCTCTTGCATTATCATTGTACGATAGGTGTTACATGAGTCGATATATTCCGGAGAACAACACCCCCTGGTCGTATGATGATCGGCTCAGACGGTGTGCTGGGCAGCTGCCGGGTTGTCGATTAGCATCCGGCCCCGTAATGGTGATGCTCCTGATCGTCCGGACGTGAGGGAGCAGGCTGCCGGCTAGGGATGGAGTCTGGGAAATACGATACAATACAAATATTGTATAATATGGTATTGTATTGTATCTTTCAATAGAAAACGTATGTTTATTGGTAGTGACGTAGTGGATGGTACCTGGTAGTACCACGGACCACCCAGATTTGGCTCGGAAATTGTCGGCGACCGATAGTTGACCCACATGCAGCTGGCCGGAGGCTGTCCCGGAGGTTATTCCGGCCCGAATGATACAATACGGTATAATACGTATTATATGCGTGTATTGTATTGTATAGTGTTTTTCTGAAATCCACGGTATTTTTCCACCCCTACTGCCGGCAGCTCTCATGGCGAAGATTGCCCCAGATTCGCCATCATCTACTAGAGACGACTGCCGAACCAGACCATCTGCTATCGCTGGTTTTGACACGTGCGACTACAGTACTACTAGCGAGATGATCGCCGCAATCAGTTCTGAATAGATTAATAGCTGCTCCGGGTTGCCTCATCAGGAAAAACGGACTCCAGACTCCAGGCTTCAAGAGTTATGCTAGCGTTATTGGATCTGGGCATCTCAACATCCCGGGCAACTGGAGATGTGCGCCGTCCCGTGTCAGCTGTGTGGGGAAGGCCAGAGATGCGTTACAACTCGAAGGTGATTCGCACGCATGTGGGCAAGGGGACGGCGGACAGTTGCAATCTGAGCCTGTGTCAGGCGAGTCTCGTATGATCGCGAACATCATTGTTGAATGATCATGTCGAGGTGTTGCTGTCGCACGCGCGAAGGTGCAAGAGACTTGTACATTGGATGGATAGCTTGCGGCCCGGGCATAAAATACTGAAGACAGGTGCTGGGCCTCAACCCGACTGCCCTTTGGCCCCTTTCAGCCTCCCCAGAGTCACTTCTCCGGATTCCGGCAATCTACCCCGGTGTGGGGTCGAGGTATAGGTAGGTTCAGCACTTGCACGCTCGAAACTTTCTCTTCACTGCCCAGGCGTTCAGCGGCTGCGTATTGTTTCATCTTGTGCGCCGCTAACACCAGATACTCGTAGTCATAAATAATAGGGGGTGCCACGGCGTACGTGCGAGGCAACCTGTGGCCCTCCCCGGAATAACTGCAGTCAGCAGTAACGGTGGTCAGTTGGCACGCAACCAGGTACAAATCCGAACAATGTTTCCGGGGACGAGACTTGTTGCAAGCCAAACAGTGCTGTCCGAACAGCCAAGCGTTGCCCAGCGAGCCTCGACGGGCGTTTCCCGGGGCTGAGTACCGTAATGCTTACTGGCGTACTCGCATCATCGATGCCAATGGTCGCACGCAAAATCGCTGAGAATCATTGATGACGAAGCAGCGTCATTCCGTTGAATCCGTGAAGCAGGCAAAGGATGTACCGGTAGTCTTGGTATATGTAAGGTGGAGGGTGCACATATGATAAAGAAAGAGAATGAGGGACAATCTTCCTCCGTGATGTAGGTATCATGAGGTATGCCCTTTTCGTCACCCGTGCCCCCACGTTTTCCGCCTCGCTTGGAAGCTTGGCATGGATACGTGGTTTTTCGGTAAGCAACACGGCGGTTTCCTGACTCAAGTTGGAACCCCCTTCCTTGTTGTCACCCGCCTGCTCGCTCTGCTCACCGAGCGCATCGTCATCGTCAGCACGTGCGTCGTGGCGGTTAAAGATAGATCCATCATGCAACCTCCCGATGATAAGAAGCCTAGCCTTGGCCCCTATACCATCAGCCCAGATGATGCTAACTCATCACACGGACCCCTACTCGAGCCACAGCAGGGTGAGTGATGGCACATGATCACCGGTGCTGAGGGATCGAACTTGGGGGCACTGATAAGAAACCGAAGACCAAGTTGCCAAGGCCAAGACCAACGCATTCGTTGGAAGAAGACGGTCCAGGCGTATGGGGAGATCCTAATAATACGCCTTGATACATAGCGCCGGTGTAGATCTGTGGGGGAGGGCATCGCAGAGGTCGATAGGCTCAGTACCTACTACTAGCCATAGCCAGCCCACGACAATGATGGCATTTACCCCAGGTTTGCACCGGCAGCAGCCATTTGAGATTTGAGTTGACAATGGCGAAGATCGCACTCCAGTTGCCTGCAGTAGACTCTGGACTGTGGACTGTGGACTGTGGATGAGCTTGAGCTGTTATTCCCCGCGTTTATCTCCTTGTCTAGTCTGATGACTCCTGACGCCGAGATTGCCCCAGACGCCGGCCTGCGATACTATCGTGCTCCGGCTTCAACTAGTCGACTGCCAGGACTGGCGGAGAGATGATTGTCGCGAGGTAAGGCCGCAGCCGCGCCCGGGACTAGAATTCGGGAGTCACTGGGAGGCACTGGGAGGCACTGGGAGGCACTGGGAGGCACTGGGAGGCACTGAGAGGCACTGGGAGGCACTGGGAGACCAGCTGAGGTGAGCTTGCAGAGTCGAGACTATTCTTGTTAACAAACGTCAATGAAACTGAGCAACCACTCATCATACTCGCCTTGCATGTTGTGCTAACATCATTAGCACCAAGACGTCCGGTCCCGATTTCTTTTGCGCTCCGCAGTCCACTCATGTCCAGTGTCGGTGTCCCCATCATTATCTTGTGGAGGAGACGGCAAATCTTCGAGAATTATACCGAGTGAGAGTGGGTGAAGGCTCTTATCTACTAAACACACACCCTGCTTCGATACCGCCGAGCTCGGCCCCACGTGCTCCATATCTATTATCGTGAGGTTTTCTTCGGACAAGGCGTCAGAAAATAACACCCACTAGGAGGGCAGAGGCCAGATAGGCAGACACGAGGTGCGGGTGAAGGACCTGGTCTACCGTCTTGGTGACAGGTGTCGCTATTATGCATGGCGCGTCCTTGTTCGTCCAGCAGCATCGGAAGGGAAGATATTGTCCGGACTCGAGAACACTCGTCGAGCTCGACATCATTGAAGTAATGAAATGCGCGCAGCCCACGCCGACTCCAGCATTGCTTGGTGTTGCGGCGCAAATCCTCATGGCGAGTTCCCCACACAGAGTGGGTGTGCCAGTGGTGGATGACTTACATGTTGAGGCTAGAGGAATAGCTTGATCCGTAATAAGGGGGGTTTTGCTGCGGCATATGCGGTCGCATATTTGGAAGGAGACAGATAATAGAAGGCTTCAATATTGCTTCCTGCTCACTTCCGTGCCTTGTTCTATGCCGTCGACTTGGATTCCCTAGGTAGGTATACAACGTAGCAGAGAGGATAGGGCTACGGACGTATTGAACACGGTATTCTGTACGGGTTGTCTTCAGCCACCAACCACCACACCGCCTTCCGGGGGAAGATGAGTCGTGGAGAGACGAGCTAACATGACAAAGCTAGCGGGTTTATTATTAGTTGGATGGCTTAGAAGGGATAATGTTGCATGCACAATGTCTCTGATCTATGGAGAGCTGTTCGTGCCCAATTTGCTTACTTTACCAATAACTGCACAGCCCCTCGTGGCATATGGCATATGGCGGCGTATGACCTCGTTACCATCGTTGGCGTTTCTGGTTCTGCTGATACCTACCTACCTAAGGTAGACAGCCATCGCAGGGAGGCAGAGAGTCCAAGAGTCCAAGAGATAGAGTGTGTTCAGACTGAGGATTCGAAACACATGTCCGCATCCTCTGACCATCACCAGTGACCAGTGACCAGTGACCAGACCTCGACACGAGCAATACCGGAGTGTCTCTCTCTCTCACACCCCACCTGCCCTGCCCGGCCCTGTACCCACCCCCCGGCCCCCTTATGGCCCTCCTCTGGGGCCACGCACGAGGCGGGCAGGCGGGCGAGATGGAAGAATTAATGAACGCGTTGGATTTGTGCATAGCGGTTTTCTTGCACAATTCTCAACGGCCAGCCAATCTTGCATTTGCAGTCCCCAGTCGCCAGTAACCATGCAATCAGCACATGCAATGACTCTGTTGATTGTGAATTTTTCCAAATCTTTCGTAATGTGACAATGTACACAACACACCACTGCACCACTGCAGGGCGCGCTGCCTCCACGTTCCTCCTCCCCCAGGGGAACCCCCCTTGGCTTAGTGGGGCCCCCCTGCGAAGGAGGCCTGGTCCAACCAGAAGCCGCCGTTGGCAGCCGCTTCTCCCGTTCTTGGTCCAATTCAGGGTTCCAGCCCCCCCAGGCCTCCCCCCACACAGGTAGGGATAAGCTGGGTTCCTCAACGGCAGGGCTCCGGAGGGACGAGGGCGGGACCCGGTCACAGCTGGAGAGGGACCGCCGAGTGACAAGCCGCCAGGTACCTGCTGCAGGCTGCACTGTACACTGTAGACACCTGCTGTAGACACCTCCAGCAGCTGTAGACACCCAGACACCCTGTTGGGCCGTGTACAGCACCCAAGGGCTCCAAGGCAGGCGCACGCCTGGCGCACACCCAACCTGCTAACGGTAGCCACCCCCAGCCCGCCAACCCGCCAGAATGAAAAAGTTTGGGCTCTCCACGAGTTTTCCGACCCGCCCGCAACACTACACCTCTCACTTCATTTAAAATCCTACCGCAACCCCATCCCCCATCCCCCCAAAAGCTTTCCCCCTTCGAAAACTGTACCCATATCACCACACCACACAGCGCCCTCGACCACGCCAACCTCGACAACGACACCTGTTACGAACCGTCTTACACCTCGAGGACTTCAACATACAAATACACCAGGGCATCTCGAGAGACGTGCGGGACGGCGGCCTGTCGGCATACATCGTCATCAACCACCGGAGCGTTGTAGCAAGGGAAAGACAGTGCCCACTTGGCCGGCGATCACATGCAACGCTCACAGTCAGCGGTGGATTTTTCCAACCTGCTGAATCCCGAGCCTTCGACGACAAACATAACACCAAGTCCCAGCGACATAGCCAGGCAGTCCGTGGATTCCGAGGGAGACATTGATATGGCTACCGTCAGCGTCATCCGGCCCAACGGGCCTCTGCCAGGTGGTCAACCGACCGAGGCCGCCAACGAACTGCCACGACCATACAAGTGCCCCTTGTGCGATAAGGCCTTCCACCGCCTGGAGCATCAGACAAGGCATATCAGGACTCATACCGGCGAAAAACCACACGCCTGCCAATTCCCTGGTTGCAGCAAGAAGTTCTCCCGCTCTGATGAGCTCACTCGACACTCGAGGATACACAACAACCCAAACTCGAGGAGGGGGAACAAGGCTGGCCACTCAGCCCATCACCACGCTCTGGGCCACGCCCTGGGACACGAGTCCATGATGCTGCCTCCCTCCGGAGCCAGATCCGCCAAGTCGGCTCCTAATTCCACGATGGTATCGCCCAATGTGTCCCCACCTCATTCTTACTCTTCATATGCGATGCCACATCCTGGATATTTTGGCCGGAGTATGGGTAATCCCGACATGGGCATTCTGGCGAATGCTGCTCACCTGGTCGAGCGAGAAAGCCTGTCTCCTCTCCAGCACAACTCGGCGAGACATCACCCATACTACTCCCATAGCCTCCACAGCTCGCGCAATCATCTGCCTTCACTCTCGGCCTACCACATGTCAAGGGCGCACTCAAATGATGACAGCCGGGATGACCATTACTCGCATCCTCTCCGCCATTCAAAACGGTCGAGACCAAACTCGCCCAACTCGACTGCACCATCATCACCCACCTTCTCCCATGACTCTCTGTCCCCTACTCCTGACCACACTCCGCTGGCTACCCCGGCACACTCACCGCGCCTCCGACCATATGCCAACATCGAGCTGCCTACCCTTCGCAATCTGACCCTGGCGCAGCACACCCCGGCGCTCGCACCTATGGAGCCGCACTTGGAAGGCTCAAACCAGCAGCAACAACAACAAACATCTGTGCCGTCCAGCAATGGTCCTCGGCCCACGGGTATGTCTTTGACAGATATTATCAGCCGGCCCGACAGCAGCAGAAAACTGCCTGTTCCGCAGCCCAAGGTTGCGGTTCACGACCTTCTGGCCAACGACGGATATAACAACAGCGGTCGCAGTTCGGCGAGCGGCAGTCTTGCGGGTGGCGATTTGATGGATCGAATGTAATTTGCGACTGCGGCGAATCATTGGATTCCATTCACGACATGAATCATGACTTTACTGGATCATAGAGGTTTATATAGAAAGAGGCGGGGGGCGTTTCCCATGGCGACTTGTCAGAGCATCGGCGTTCATCCCCGCTCCCGTAATACGACTCGGCGCTTATGTTTAGCAAGCGACCTTCTGAATACCGGAATAGCTGGACTACAGATCGGGGACCATTTACGTGTTATAGACTTGAGACCCTCATCGGCGGCTAGATCTTCTCCTTTACAACGAGGCTTTTTCAGAGGCCTCCTCTTCTCACCTTCAGGCTTCTCCTGGGCGACGGGAGCGAAATCGCGAATACCAACCTCGTTTATATTGTCCCACTCAATACTACTTTTCTCCAGCATCTCAAACTCATAGACAGCGGCTACGGACGGTTCCGGCCTTGGGTTATGAAGTTTGGCCGGAGGTGCTGATAGGGCGAACCAAAAGCCGGGCGGCCATCTCTTTTCCATTTCCTGATCTAGGTACCACTACCAGCTACGGGGTTGATACTGGGTTGATACTGGGTTGGGCTCCTCAATTGTCGTTGCGATAGTCGGTAGCGTTCCGGCGCGCCTCGGGCTTGGCGGCAACCTTCTTGACAATGGATCTGGTTATAGAGAGAAAGCATTCATAATGGAACACACTTGCGGAGATATCTCCGTTCTCCAGGCAGGGTTCGCCTCCCGCTCTCTCGTGACGCTAGAAATACATCATTGAACTACCTACTCACCACGAAGGTCCGAATGCCTAGGTTCCCTTATAGATTTGCTGCTTGAACTTTCTTCGTTTCCTTTTCACTACTGTACATCTCTACATGTACTCCGTACCTACCTATATCGGGGTGTTGAAGTTTTTCAATAGGTAAGGTTCCCCGGATTCTCAACCTTGATAAGATCTCGCCCGCGTCACCCCTTCCCCAGTTGCTTTTTTTACTTTTTCGTAGACGGGATGACATCACGGCCACGGCAATGAAAAGAAAACCGCGCTTCTACCTCTTAGACTCCATCCAGGTTATCTTATTTAGTTTGTTGTTACCGCTGTTTTTCTCTTTCTGTTTTTTTATAAAATAATAAAATAATAAAATAAAAAAAGGGAAAATACCTGGGGCAAGTTTCATTCAGTCACTGACTGACTCTGTAGTCCGACTGGTCTGTCGGGCGGCCGGTCCCATCCCGTTCTGCTCACCGATATCCCCAGCCCCAGACCATGGCTCGGCCTTGCGCTGCTGTGTGAGGTGTCGGGCATTGCATGCGGCGTCGCGTCGCATGTAGACTTGCAGAGATTCGGTGAGAAGCTGCGCATGTACGAGCACGCAACTGTTCGTGCATGGTACATTGCACCCTATATCTCTGGGTGATATATCCAGTGATTACTGGTCCGTGAGGCCGTCTATCTGCGCAGGTATGGTATGTACATACGTTCCCCGGATGGTAAGGCCCCCCGCATCCTCCACACCTCTTATGTAAGTAAGGGCGTACCTTAGGGATCTTGCGCGGGACGGGAGGTCCCAAGCTCAATTGTCAAAGCTGGCGCCTGTTTCTGTCTCTCCAGTCTGCGCATTTACGATGTATTATTTTTCTCTACCCAAGCTAAGTAACTTTCTTTCTCTTCTTCTTCTTGGCCGGATTCTTGGCCGGATTCTTCTTCTTGGCCGGATGCGGTACCTGCCGTATGGTACGGTGAACCCTCCACAAGTCTACCTACTTTACCTAGCTGCGGCACTCAGGTTCCACATAGAAGAAGCAGCAGCAGCAGCAGAACCCCTATCATCAAGGCACTGCCACCACCCCCCCCAGGAATGAGGCAATCTCATACGGCAGACATACGAAATGCCGTGCTACAGCCTGAAGATGACACATGACAGCAGGCAGGAACAGGCCACAGGGCAGGGCCCAGGCCACAGGCACAGGGCGGCGGCGGCGGCACAGCGTCAGCCATCCTCTCAGCCGTCGTCAGCCCTGCGCGCGGGCATGACATGACAGGACAGGACACGCTACGATACGACACGGGAGCAGCAGCACAGAAAGGGAAAGAAAATCCACTATGCCCGGCCGAATGTCCCCGAGAGGCTGTGGTCCAATCCCTTGATGTTGCGCTGAAGAAGCGGTGTCTTTCTTGGATATTGTGCAGCCTGCCTTGTATCTCTTTCTTCCCGAGACGCGACCTGGTGATGGCTGTACTACACGTACCTACTGAAGAGCCTGGACCGGCTGCCTGTCTGCCTGCCTGCCTGCCGAGTTGGGGTCGCTTTTCCTTCTGTTGGGGGCAGGTAGCTACATACTTGCTGGTCTCGCTGCTCAGCCTCAAGTGGTGCGTAATGAGTAACACATATGTAGTAGCCAAGGAGTCAGTGACCTGATAGAACGAAATACGGATAAAGTCATTTTCAGGTCGGTAGCTGACGTGGTGCGGTGACGCTGGGAAAAGTGCTTGGCTGCTACATGTAAATAGACCCCAGCTGACACGTACTGACAAGTTACATCACTTGCCTGCCCTGGGCTCTGGTGAGAAGACTGAGAACCTACAAGATGGATGGTGTCGAGCCAACACCACCACTCCTGTGTAAGGTTCGTACCTAAGGTATGACATGATGATAAACCAACGTTATTCACCCGCCTAAACGTTTTAACTGACCTCGACTCGCGGTCCCGAGCTAGAGCCTAAGGTTATTAGAAATACTCCACGATCCTACTAGCGCCATGAGGAAAGCATGACGGGGATGACGGGGGGGAATGGGGTACAAGCACGGCACCACCCCTACCTGCCCTCTTCTTTTGCGGGGGCTCCAGCTTGTCGCGGGAAACGGGAAATCTGCCCTGGATCACCTTGTTACATGTCTTGCCGGCCGAACCCTGGTTACGCAGCACTTTCAACAATGGTTCATTACTGTACATGTATGTTTGGAAGAATAGAGGTATAGTAAGGTAGGTCACAAGTCTCCTCTCATATATGACCATTATAGCCAAAGGATGCTGACGACCAAGTTTGAACTCTGCCTTCTCGTGCCTGTTACGGGAATAGGCAAGTCCAAGCCCTGTGGCACCTCATATATCGGCTAACCCCTTACCCTGAGATCAAGAATATGGGGTCGTGTTTGCTCATCTAGTCGAAGGCTTTGGTTATGGAGGGATGGAGGCCGGGGGCGGAGGGTGGGCAACCGGTGGATGAAATGAATGGTTCGACGGCAACCCCCAACATTGGGGAACGGACGCCTGCTGCTGCTGCTGCTGTGCGCGGCTCGCTCGGCGGGCGATTACAGCTAACACGCGCTCGATAAGGGGCGGGATCTGGCCGCGGCCGTCACATCGCACAGTTCTGCTGCCAAGGGCGTCGTCGTCGGTCAGCTCGTTTTTGGGCTACGTCGCCTGATCATGGTCAGATATCTGCAGCATATCTGGGCAGGCAGGCAGGCTGAGAGAAGCCACCACCCGCTGCAGGACAATGGCAGTCAAGTGAGCCAGCGGGAGACACGGGGAGCCAGGCCAGATACGTGCGCGTATGTTGGGAACTCCTTTGTTGTAACTTGTGACGCACGGAGGAGGAGGGTACGTTTAACCAGTCCCGCGGCCATGTCCGTCACAACAATGGTCGCCCGCCAACTAACAACCTTACGTACGCACATGTGTGCCTAGCCGGGGCTGATCAGTCGGATATCATCCTGTCAAATCTGTCACTTGCGACTCGTCTTTCTCGGTCTCCGCAAGTTCTGCGAGACCGAAGATACGACGAATAGGCTGTCGGCAGCGCTGGCGTACCCAGTTTAGGAGAGATGGTTGGCTGACTGATAAGTGATGAGCCGCCGAGCTGAGGTAGAACCTATCACGAAGAAAGTGACGAGTCGACCACCAACGACGATGGCTCCGCTCCTTCCAGACTTTTCCTTTCCCTTCCCCAGTGCTGCCAGGGGTGTGTCGTCTGGGGAACCCTGGTCATGTTATACATTCCCAATCCGTCCACCCACGCCGCCTTTTTGGTGATGGCCATCGCTTTTTTCGGTGACTCTGGTGTCCAGCTCTGGCTCAACCCGGCGGACGCCTATCTTCTGACCCCTGCGACAGAGCGCGCAGGCTTCCGTAAGCCTGCTGGCCGGGAAAGCTTGATTGGTTCTGATTCGACGCCGGACCGATGAGCAGGATGCCTCGAATGGCAAAGACTCAGCTTACGACAGGCCTAATGAGCCTTCACTCCTATGACCAGTAACCCGCCCTCGGTGTCGGGCGGACGAGATGGAATAATTACCGAATTGGCTCCCCCCCCCCACATAATATGCGTGACACAACTTCACTTCTCGGTTGATGTACACAGTAGACGAGGATCTCGCGTCCTCGCGTACACGGACTCGATTGAAGTAGGATGAGAAGGGCACATCCTCCTGTATGTCCAATACATTGGCAAGGGGGGACGTAGATCACTGCAACCCCTTCTTCGACCGCGAGACACACGGGATGGAATCACGATCGGCGAGCGGTGACGACTTCAGTCTAGATATCTGACCGTGTGCCATTCCTCCCCAGATCACTGCCGTCATCTAGTGTATGGGATGAAAGTCCAGACTTCCAGCTCGCCTGCCTATCTATCAAGTGGGATTTCAATAGTCTTGCAGTCCTATTACTGTGCATTCCAAATATCCCGCTGACGATGAGGATTTCGGAGACGGATTCATCAGCAACTCATTAATACAGGGTTGTGCAGGCTGGGCATCCAGGGGTGCGCACTCCGTAACCATAGGGCGGCGTGGGGGTTGCGTCCAACTCCACGGAGTCGAATCCGTGTCTGACCTTGCCGATGCGACGATAACCCCAACTCGCACGACCCAAACCCCACAAATTCCCATTTCGATCATCGCTGGCGTTTATTACAGCCACGAGAGGAAAGCTTTCGGTCGCCTTCTGTCGCCTGTGAGTCTATGATACCTTCCACATGCGAAAAAGGGGGATATTGCCTCGCCAGCTCGCGTACTGTAAGCATGCCCATCCCATGTCTGCAGGGAACTTACATGCATTTCCCCAGATCCCTTTACTCAGGGGTGGGTGCCACGAGGAAGTTGACGGACGAGGATGACGATGCACTGTGGGGAATAAATACGATGGAACCCACTAGATAAGAAGTACAAGGCATTCGGCTGACGATGATACAGGTCAGTACGGAGAGTCTGGTACATGTTCGTACTGTTCGTACTGTTCGTATCAGGCTGTCTGATGGCTGGGGCTCCGGCGTAGAGGATGTCCCGACGTTACACTGCTGCGAATCCTCCTATGTTGTATCGTGGGATTTCCGAGTACCAAACCAAAGACGCTCCTCTTGAGAGTGTCCTAACTTTAGTAAGGAAGCCTTGTTGGGGAATCAACCGACTCCCTCCCAACGACTCAGATCTATAACCAAGGTGAAATCGGCAGCGAAGGGCGCAAGTTTTGCTTCACAATGTCGAAGTCTTGGACCCCTGACAGACGGTATTTCGGCTGGACGTCCCGGATCGCCCACCATGGGTCTGAATGAGACCGGAAACCACAGCCGTGGTTTTCTCGGGGGCTCGAACCGCGGGTTTCACAGTGACCCGAGGACAGCGACTTGATCTCTTTTCGCCTCTGGGAATTTGGAAAGAGTGCAAAATATGCAGATTGCGAGCGCTACTCCTGCGAATCAACCGGGGATCTACAGAACGCCTGGCCAGAGTGCCTGAAACGCGACGTTGCGCTGGTGATGATGACTGCAGAACCGGCGTGTGAGACTGTTGAGAGTATTCGCTTCGCTTCGTATTTAGGCGTTTATGGATTGCCCGGTCATAGTCGCACAAGGAAAGAAGCAAGGGCGCAGGCGAGCAAGCGTACAGGGCCAAAAGGGCAGCTCATTGAGCAATGAGACGACCGAGAGGCATGGGCGACAGCCAAGCGAGTTGCAGCCTTCCCCTCAATGCGGATACCATTGCGCTCGCGAGACAGGCAGAAACGTGCTCTCGGTACGTACGAGATAGATTGGCGAGGAGGGGTTGTGAGATCGGAAGGATTTGGATCCCCTGATTCCCATAGGTAAGTACGTACTTGCGCTCTCGCTTGGCCCGCGATGCTGATCTTACCTCATCTCACGTGTGAAGCGTCCAGGGGGTGGCCGCGCCGTGATGCTATTTCGGGACCGGAGTTTGCCCGCTCAGGGCCCTGATAGGAGGCGGCCGACGTAAGCTGATACGTATCGCCGACCTGCGCCATAGGCACGCGCAGGGACGGCGTCGTTGGGTTCATCCTATCTCCAGCCTCGATGCTACCCCAGGCCATTGACACCGTCTCGACCGGTCTATGAGATAGCGTGGGGAAAGGCCTCGCGGCTTATCTTCGCTTCAGGAGGACGTCAGATATTGATTGCTTGATTGACAGCGTGTTGCCAAGGATACCAATGATGGACCTTCGGGTAGAGGATCAATCAGTTTCTCTTACTTACTTGTACAGGGTCAGACGAAGTCATTCGCGGACGAAGAGCACGTCTACCTGCCCGAGTCGTGCGATATCGCTGTCCCAGCTGAGGTTCCCGAGGGCTGATACGGCGCGCGTGCGAACTTTGTCCTGACTCCTGAGCTGAAGCACATGTCATTGCGGTTAGGATCCATCGTCGTCGTCCCGGACGGCGAAACCCGAAACCTTGAAAGGCTGACTAGGGGGGGTGCCGCAGGTCCGCTCGCGGAGAAGCAGCATCGGATTTTTATTACATCAACCAACCTCATTTTGGCGGCACCTGATGATAGGCACCAGAAATGTGACGAAACCAGCAGATTTCTATCGGGATATATACTCCGTGGCCAGGGCTAGCAGGCTCTGAGTCCTGAACAGTTGCTGACACTCGAGGGCTACGAGGGCTACGAGGGCTACGAGGGTTACGAGGGCTCGTGGTGTTCAGGCGCTCGGATGAACGTGATGCTGACGACAGAAAACGACAGCGGACTGATAAGCTCACAAAAGCCTGCAACCTGTCCTATTCCGGTCAACTTCACATCACCGGTAAAAGTAGATCAAGGCCAGGCTCGCCATCTTCGGAATCCTCATCAAGGCGGAGTATGACCTCCACAGTTCCCCATACCCCAGCCAGGGGGGCTTTACAGTACAGTCTGGGGTCCGACGCAACGGTCATGACATCAGGACCCGATGCGATACACTGCTCACAGCCTTCCAGGTTGTGAAGCTCATCGCTCTCCCAGCAGGGATCTTGATGCTGAAGCGCGGGATCGATTTTCTACTAACCACACACGCACTCTCGTCGAATCGATACTGCAGGCCACATGCCATATCGGACTGGTCTCTTGGCCCCCTGCCCGCCTTGATCTGCAAAGTCTGGCAGTCTGGATCACTAGATATCGACACTATCGCCAACGTCAGCTCTTCGCTTCTCGTCTGGGCCACAAAGCTCCGGGCTGGAAGTAGACGAGGATTCAAGGTTACAGTTTATGTCGCCCGGTTCGCTACAAGGCGGTTGCGTCTCGCTTACGCAAGGAGAGATGCACCGTCGAGATGGAGGCTTTATTCGCTCTTATTATCCGATGCCAGGGCAAGCGGTTCCGACGCCCTGAAGCTTTAGGTTGGTCACCGTTGCCTTCAACGACTTCACATGCCAAAGCATGTGCGAAACGCTCGATTCGTTGGCCTGCATTCGGTCAATGCAGGAGACTATTGCCTATTACTCGGTTCTTACTTGCATCCTGCATCCAGTTTCGTATCTAGCAGTCCATCTACAGTGCAAGGCCGTGCCGATATTTGTGCCACTTTATCGGGATACCCAGGCGTGGGCGCATCCGCAGGCACGGCGGCGTCAACATATCGCAATCTATCCCATTGGGCGCCATGCACCCAAACCCAAAACACCGCAATCTCCTCCTCATAATGAGCCGCAATAAATCTCACATGCCATATTGCTGAGGCATAGGCCCAACCAAACGGATGTCGTCCCCGCAGACGGCAACCTTAGGCATTACGTGATGCAGCCATCCTGATCCTGAGGGGAAGCCTGTCAGGGTAGTATCATCTTCTCCTCACGATGCGGACGTGTGAAGGCATTGCTGCCATCGTGTAGGACTCTGGGTCATCCATGGTTGGTCATCCATGGTTCACCATCGAGATGCCTATATAACCTTGGCTGTCCCCTCTGCTGTGTAACATCCATCAACCAGACATCCAGCTACCGGGACGTAACGACGTTGCACTGTGCCTGACTCCGTCGCCCTCCTTATCCTCCTCCTCCTCCTCCTGCTTGCTGGCCTGCGGGCTCCTACTGTCGTTGCAGACAGTATGGTACCATCCCGTCCGCCATCCGTCCCGTCCGCCATCCGACGACAATGGCATCCAAACGTCGCATTGACGTCTGAGGAAACTATGGGTATGAACCGTGTGGTGGGCAGGCAAAAACCCAGAGCGCCAATGAGGTCCGGTGTCGAGAACACGGTGTTCGTGGACTACGAACCCCCTTCGTGTCACGCAGTCTGATATACCATCCCTGCGTGCGGCAAGAGAGGCAGTGTCGCATTTACACCGCGGGATCTAATCTCATCGCCGAGATTCGATGAGATCCCTACGCTGGCGGGCCATGCGGACGCGACCCGCATGCGCCGGCACTCACCGTCTGCAATGCTGGTCCGATCCGTTGATAGATCGCTGCCGTCGTGCTCGCCGAGCTGCTGCTCGTCCGATCTGGGACCATCTCCGGATCCTGGTGTTGTGCTGTGCTGCGCTGCTGTGTCCAAACACTGCGTGACAGCTGGCTGGAACGGCGGGCCGCGGGAGTGCTGGGCACTGTTGAGTCAGCAAGCTGTCGCTGCATCGATTGGTGTCGCTCCGCATCTAAGCGATTGGGACTCGCGATGGCTGGGTGAGGAGTTGAGCATCTGGGACTGACCTCGGGCCCGAGGCATTGACTTCGTGGTTTGCGGTCTGACTGCAGCTTGGGCTTCCAAAATTAAGACCTCCTGGAGAGCTAGATGAAACGCACGAGCAGGCTGGTTCCATCTTCTCTGAGGTACATCTGGATACCAGGAGTCAAAGTCATCGGGGCAAGGGAAACACTGTGGACACAAGAATGAAGTATGTTGATAGCTTTCAGCGCGCCATGACGACCGTCCGGCCCATCATCCCCATTCATGGGACGATCAGGGTGACTCCAGTTAGACTGCGGATCGTGGTGCCGTAAAACCCTCCCGGTGAGTTCAGTGCGGTCAGAGGGGTGCTGGCAACACCAGTCTGCATGGGAGGAAGGTCCTTTGTTCTGAATACTTGAGGGAAGAGCCAACTTTGCCTTGAGTGCCCCTATTTCCAGGGGTCTCTTGGATTGTTCCATCCTGTATGCTTGTAGATTACAGACCTAGTATGTCGTCGACGCACAGGCACTGAGGTTCACCATCTGGGTCATTGGGAGAAGTTCTCCTGATCCGCACCAGAGGGCAACTTAGTGATCCCCTGAAATACACTGTCTTACTCGTGACCCATATGCTTTTCTTCATAGAGCACTGTCACTAATTCGAGCTTGACACAATGCTGGATGACTGTTGGTGTGTCTCGTGGTGTTTTTTTGTGACGCATGTTCGACTTTCGATCATCACAGACTCTGTAGTGCGAAGAACTGACATGTAACATTACGAGGGCGAATCGGCTCTCCTAGGCCTAGCCACCCCGTGGACCTCCGTTGATAACATCTCGTAACAATAGTTCATAAGCTTGGAACCTCTGCGCTCGTCGCCATACCTACAGACGTCCCTTATGAGTGCTGATGGTGAATCAAAGCCACATGTTCTTCAGATGGTGACCTACGCAGGTTCACAGGAGGAATTATATCTTCTCAAACACTCAACCTCGACGCTCCAAATTGCCCTTGCCCTCTCTCACTTGGGGATGTCGTAGCGTAGGCCTGGAACTGGCTGACAGTCCCGTAAACGGACCGCCTACCATCGGCCTTCTGGTCTAATCACCCCATGAAGAACCCCAACCTCACTGCCTCATGTGTTTTCTGCAAGGTATTCTCCGTCGCTGTTCCTGCTCATGAGACTGGACGTAGCCTAGTTGATATGATGATGATGATTATTGTATTTAACGTGGGGGATCGCTCCTCAGTAGTGCAAACCACGCCTCCCAGAGCCTCTGCATCGCAGGGTTGTGGAGGTATCAAGATAATAATTACAGTCAGTCCCGCTCACGAGCACATCCCCGTTGTTGCGGCGGTATGACTTTGGGGTCATCCCATCTGGTCCTTTAAGAACAGTTATTTATCAGGGACAGATTGATGAGAAGAATTTGCTCTTTTCTATGAATTTTGCCCATTCTGTGTTCCTCTCCCCCAAGGATTGTAAACAGGCTGTCCTAAGCAAGTACCTGGGCAGTAGTCAGTTTTTCCCAAGCCTTTTACAAAAGAAAATATATTGTGGTGTTTTCTTCTCACCGCAGTTGTAGTGGTTATTCGAGTCTATATGCCCAAAATATTCGTGGTATCTAGCAAAGTCGCTATGTCCAGATCTGGCCGCTATAAGTCTGTGTAGAGTGCTCCTTTCAAAATATATAAAGTCCCTTTTAGTTACTGCATGTAAGTATACTTCTTGATACCTAGGTTCTGATTGGTCTTTCTATTATTGATCGAATTCTCTCTTATTTATTTTTTGAGATCTCTTTTTATCTAAGAGATTATAGAAAGGTTCGTTATGTCCGTTTCTAGCATGGCACCCTTTTTTATTAGTGTGTTAGCAGCTTTGTTGCTATCAATATCTCTGTGTCCAGGAAGCCACTTGACGGTCACTCCAGGAGTGTGTGCTGTGGCAAGTTCTTAGAATCGTAGAAAAATGTTCTGTGATGTCTTGGGTGGAGTCCCATTGAGCCTATCTACCACTGACGTATTATCCAGGCAGATATACAGCCATTTTCCGCGTCTAATTGCCCTGGCTGTTGCGGAACCTTGGAGAGCGCCATGGACTTCAGCATCTATTACTTCTGCTTAAAGAAGTCTGCCTTTTTCCTGATATATTTCTTGTGTAGTGTCGCCTTTCCTGATGGTATAACCCCATCCAGTGCGGGTTGTGCCTTGGTCATCCAACTGTGATCCATCTGAGTAGATGACAAGGTCAGTGTTCACGTTTCTCTCCTGTAGCCATTGCTTAAAAAGGGGGTTTTTTTTTTCTTTGTCCTTACGGATTGGGGGCTTTTTTCATGATGATTTGGTGAATATTGGTCTCTGGAAGTCAAGAACTAGTTGGAAGCTCCTTTATAACCTTGTTGGTTCCTTGTGAGCTTGTATTTGGAGCCTGCCGACAAGA